CCTGTTGACGTCACTGTTAGACCATCGATTTCCATGAAAATAAATTTATATGACACTACAGGTTCATCTCCCTTATCTGATCACATATCCTAAGACAATCGATGGTCAAACAATTAAGCAACAACGATATTGTTTGAAATTGATTTGCTGATTGTGCTTAGATACGATTGTATATGCGTGAAGTTAGTGGTAACTATGTCAAACTTTTCTTTCGCGGCTGTATTTTATTGCGCTGATTCCATGAATCTAATTCATTTTATAATCAGACTTGTAAGTGTCAGAAACTTAAATTTAACATGTTTAGGATCAAGTGAAAGTTCACAAGCTTCCATTAAATTTTTGAACTGGTCAGATTCAATTCCAGTCTATATCTGGTAAAAAGTCCAGTTATTTAAATTGGTCGTTTGATGGTTATATTTATAGTTAACTTTACAGACATTACGGAGGAGGTTCACTGCCTTTTGAAAGTCATCTAGACTCATTTCGGTATTAGATGGAGGCAAAGCTAACCAGTCAGTCATTTCGCCCAATAAATGACTTACACAGCATCTAGTTCCTTCAGGAACAAAAATGTTGATTTTGATCAAAACAAAAACACGATACTTGATTGGCACAGACTTTAGTGTGTTTGGTTCTGCACAACCAAAACAACAAGTACTGTGTCCTGATTTGGATCTTCTAGTTACAAGAGGGTTATTTTTTGGGTTTCCGACTTCAGCTGGCTCTTCATCGTCAGACATATCACTGTCTGGTTTGTAGTCAGTTCCATCAGCTGCACTTGGATAAATGTATGCATCATCGGGTGAGGATGAACTAGAGTCTTGATCGACAGTTCCTCTAAAATTATCACTTGTGCCACTAGCACTGAAAGAAACTGATAAAGTACATTGCTGATAATAGCCAGAAGGACCTGAAAGGCATTCGCCAGCAGAGGAACCACAAGATGATGAGCCAGAAGGTTCAGATATCGGAATTTCCTTCGATCTGCGAGGTGAACTTTGTTTAGATGGAAGTAAGGATGAAATAGTTGAGGATTCATCGCAGCTCACACTTTCACTGTTGGCATTAGATGATTTATATTGCTCATTAGCACCATGATTATCACAATCATCCTCAGAGCTGGAATCTGCTATCACAAGCTCTTCTAAAACCGGACTCACGATGGCATTCAATTGCTGAAGATGAGGATATTGTGTTATTAGTTTTTCATCTGCATTCATCTCCGTGTCAGGTGCAATATTGTCTGATTCAGTTTCAACAGAAGACTTAGATCGAGATGTTCCAGAGTTATAACCCTGCATATAGCACTTATTACAAATATCATTTCCAAGTGATATCTGCACATTTGGATATATGGTTCTGAGAAAATGCAGGATTGATTGTTTGTTCAATTTTCTGACCCGTCCACTCTTTCTCCTTGCATTTATCAGGAGGACACGACAAGCAGAACACCTTTCCATGGCCAAAACTGAAGCAAAAATATAATCAATAAAAAGATGATATAAGATGAAAATATAACCATATGATAAGCAAATCAAAGAACATATTCATTTAATTGCAATAACTGTTACCTTTTAAGGATGAGGACTAAAAGCATAGGGAAAAATGCCTAGAAATAGATTTTTTTCAAAATGTTTTTTTCTCATGTAAAAAAGGATTGAGAAAAATATAGCTTTAAACCTTTTCGTCGTACTCGGAGCCGTTTGCGTGAAATTGAACTTAAAATTTTTTTCTGAAAAAACACATATTTTTAAATTAATCTTACCATGCTGATCATGGATTTGAAATCAGTGATGATACGACATGTAGATACTGAGAAAAATGATAAAAACTTTTCCTAACATGAAAAATAAGGAAACAAAGTATTCAGATGTTGATAACATGTAGAGAAAACATAAAACCTTGAAAAGGCTGATTGACGCTGAAAATACACTAGCAACCTTTAACTACAGCTACGCCTTTTCAACGCAAAATTATATTCTAATTAGTATCCTTACGATTTAGTTTAAGTTTTCAAGTTTTCAATTTTTATGCTAAAATGACTGAATTTTGTTTTGCAATATACCGGGCGTTTTTTTCATTTTACGCCTTTATGCAGGCATAACTCACGAACGATTACGAACGATTAGTGCTACAGACTGCTGATATTGCAAAATTTTTCTGACCCGTTTTCTTTTCCTTTGGCCAGTATGAGTTATGAACATTTGACTACAGTAAAACCTCTCAAAGGTTGTACTCTCAAAGGTTGGGAGCGGTCCTGCCCCTAGCGATATTGTTTGTGCAACTCTTTGAGATATTGCATTGTAAAAGCGGGTTTGAACGTCAAATCCGCTAGATGGGGGAGTTCAGTTTCTCACAACCTTTGAGAGGTTTTACTGTAACACTATCCTGTCAGAAAAATTTTTAAATTTCAGAAAATGACCTTTCAAGGTCAATTAAACTCAAATAAAGAATTGACCTTGAATAACCTTGAGCACTCGAACTTATGGTTGTGCAATTTGAATAAACTTATGGTTCAAGTCTGAAGTCTGTAGCACTAACCGTTCGTGAGTTATGATCGGGTTATGGTTGATGTATATAACTTCATATGTTAAATTTCCGTAACTACCAGTTGAGATTGCAATTCTACAACCAAGATGCTGATTGAAAAAACTCCTGAGCTGTGGGTAAGGCACTGTTACGTTGTTCAATACGTAAATAACACTAACAAAATCGTTACGACGAACGACTGCACGTGTTCTGAGTAGAAACAAATAAGAACTAAAAGGTGATTCAAGGTAACGAGATTCTCGTGTGGAACGATTAAAAAGTATTACATAATCATCACACATGTTGCACAAACAAAGGTAACATACAATGATTGAAGATTTAAATTTTACCATTACATAACTTACTCTTTTCACAGTTTGTAACCAACTTGCAAAAGAAGCATTAAACAAACATAACCTCATCACATTAACACATAAAACTTTATAAACTAATAAATTAAGAACAGAGTAGTCTAGTGTATACCGGGCGTTTTTTTTCATTTTACGCCTTCATCCAGGCATAACTCACGAACGATTAGTGTTACAGACTTCAGACTTGAACCATAAGTTTATTCAAATTGCACAACCATAAGTTCGAGTGCTCAAGGTTATTCAAGGTCAATTCTTTATTGGGTTTTAATTGACCTTGAAAGGTCATTTTCTGATATTTAAAAATTTTTCTGATCATCTTTTGAAGTGTGTGCAACATGTGTGATGATTATGTAATACTTTTTAATCGTTCCACACGAGAATCTCGTTACCTTGAATCACCTTTTAGTTCTTATTTGTTTCTACTCAGAACACGTGCAGTCGTTCGTCGTAACGATTATGTTAGTGATATTTACGTATTGAACAACGTAACAGTGCCTTACCCACAGCTCAGGAATTTTTTCAATCAGCATCTTGGTTGTAGAATTGCAATCTCAACTGGTAGTTACGGAAATTTAACATATGAAGTTATATACATCAACCATAACCCGATCAACCATCGGGCACATTCACACGATTCGATTATCATCAGTAATTATGCATCCTCAACCATCAGGTAAAGCTGTTAAGAAAGCCGGTAAGGCCCAAAAAGCTGTACGAGCTACTGACAAGAAGAAGAAGAAGAAGCGACGAAAGGAATCTTTCTCCATCTACATTTACAAAGTATTGAAACAAGTTCATCCTGATACTGGTATTTCATCAAAAGCCATGTCTATCATGAACTCTTTTGTGAATGATATTTTTGAGCGAATTGCTGCTGAAGCTTCAAGATTGGCTCATTACAACAAGCGATCAACCATCACATCTAGGGAGATCCAAACTGCTGTCCGACTTCTCCTTCCTGGTGAATTAGCTAAGCACGCTGTATCAGAATGAACCAAAGCTGTTACACTTCATCTAAATAAACAATTCCATCATAATAAATATCATCCTTCATCGTCTTCATCAGTATCATTTCATTATGCTCACTTAACTTACCTCATATAACCAAAAAATCTGAAGTTCTGAAGTGATTCTATTTTCATTACATTTTTAAATTGTAATTATTTCAACTTATAAAATTTTTCTTTATTATACTGTTAACACTAAAATTATAACATCTGTTAACAAGCCTAAACATTTTTAGTATCACATTGCAATGATTTAATTATGAGATAAAAAAATGCATTTACACGTTCAGAGTTAGCAAAAACATAAAAAGGCAAAATAAGTTAATTATGAGTTTCTAAAATGGTAAATTTCAAAATTTGAAAGTGTGAATTATTTTGTAAAAATAGTCTTATCAAATTTGAATGGTCATAATAGCCGCTTAGTCCAATATACTGCCTAACTCTAAATCATCTTCTATGACAACAGGTTTATTATTGGGAGTATCAGGTTCGAGTAAAGGTAATAAGCAGGTTGAGTCCATAACTGAAGGTAATCTGCCGAATGGTTTAAGAAAACAATGCTTCATGAAGCTGAAACCAAAACAGAGGTTACTAAATTTATCTGATAATTGAGGCCAATCAACTTTGATGTTATCTTCGTGTTCCTCAGAATAATAAAATGATATCGAACGATTATTAAGCTTACAATATTCATCTACATAATCAGCAGATATGTAAGTAACACCAGGAGACACTCGTAAATCAATTAGAACCACTTTCGGTAATAGTTGCAGCATTTCTGGTATATTTTCATCTTCAATATCAGTGTCGTACGAATGTCTAATAGCCAGATGCTTTAAATTAGGACATTTTCCTAGAATCTTTTTCAAAGTTGGCCAATTAACTGCTTGAGTGGAGTACATCTGTAAAAAAGACAAATATAAGTTTAGAACTAATTACAATTGTATTTTTGACATAAACAATTACATTTTCAATCACCAAATCCTCTAAATAATAATTTTTCACTTGCGTGTCGACGAAAAAATCTTCCCCATCGATACAATGGAAAGCGCTTTTAAGATAAGGACATCGATCCATTAAACTTAAACCCCTGTATGGTTCAGATCTAACTGATGATGCTGTACTTATTTCAAGTATTTCTAGCCTTTCGAGTTTTGGTCCATCATAACGTTCACTAGGCTCCGAGAAACCTGTAGAGATCAATGGATTAATAAACTTTAACAAAACAATAGATAACTGTTGATTGGACTTACACGAGCTGCTTGATAGATTTAATCTTTCTAATCGTGGCAGATATTTTACATGTAGTTTAAAATCGTCTAATGTCATATCTGGAATGCACAGTTGTTTGATCTTTCTGCCATGTTTAATAAAAAAGTCAGGATCGATTGTATCCGCGACAGCACCGGTTTCATCATCGTATATGATTTTCAATCCGTACCTTTCAGCTTGGCTTCTTTTCGCGAAAGCAAATCTCTTCGGACGTGATAAACTGGAAAAAATTAATGAATGCCATCGTTGATTAACTATTAGACACGAAACATACAATCACAATCAAAAGCTGGTTCAGTTTTTATAGGTGTTTTACTTACCTTGTGAACAGATAATCAAAGTTTGTTTATCTTTGATTTCACGAAATATTCTGAGTAAACAGGAGTCATTTAAAATTTCAATAGACATTATCGATATCAATTACTTTATAATAATAATTTTAATAAATTTGCACTAAAAAATAGCTTAAAATTCAAGTAAAGCTTGTGATAATTCACTGTGTTTACTTTGTGATTTATCATTAACTTGTGATGAAATCTAGAGAGTGATACTTTTTAATCAGCTGAGCAGGCGAGTGAGTCGAGAAAAGGATAATTGCAGAAATTTTAAATTATTTGCAAACTTATTTAAATTGAATCCTCTAATAGCATATTAGGAATGCTGGTTTTCATTATGGCCTTTAGTTAACTCTAGCTATTTCCAGCGGCTCACAAAATTAAAACCAGAATTTGTAAACAAATGCGTCATGCATTTTTAAGAATAAAAAATGAGATCAAATTGAACAACATTTGTGAATTAGCTTTCATTATCACCAAACTGAATCACTAAACTGAATTGTAAATTTAGTAGAAACACACATTATTCCAATAAATAAAAATTGATTAGGTGTAACAAAAAATCATGAAAAAGTAATCAAAATAATCCCTTGAAGACAGTTTACTGTTAATTTTTCAAATTTCCCTCTATATTTTACAATGTTTGGATTCGCTTTTTGTATCCAGTTTTTGGATATCGGTATCTTCAATCTTTCCATAATACGAAAGGTAAAAAATATTGTCAATTGTTAGTCTTATATAAAGATTATTTTAAAGTCTTCTAAATTTGAATGCTTATTATTTTCGTTTAGTCAAACAAATTACCTAAACCCAATGAGCCAACCTCCTCTTTGTCAGGATCTAGATTTGCCTGAACATCAGGTTTCGTTTTACTATTGCGAATATCATATTCGAGTAAAGGTAATAAGTAGATTGGATCCATTACTCTAGGTAATTCGTTGAATGGTTTGAGAAAACAATGCTTCATGAAGCAGTAGCCAGGAGAGCCTTTGAATTTTTTAGTTGATAATTGAGGCCAATCAACTCTGATGTCGTGTTCGTGTTTCCTAGTATAATAAAATGATATTGAACGATTATTAAGCTTACAATATTCATCTACATAATCAGCAGATATGTAAGTAACACCAGGTGACACTCGTAAATCAATTAGAACCACTTTCGGTAATAGTTCCAGCATTTCTGGTATATTTTCATCTTCAATGTCAGTGTCGTACGAATGTCTAATAGCCAGATGCTTTAAATTAGGACATTTTCCTAGAATCTTTTTCAAAGTTGGCCAAGTAACTGCTTGAGTGGAATACGTCTGTTGTAAAAACAAATTCAGAGTGAACTTTTTCAATTTTAGTTTTGATATAAATAATTACATTTTCAATGACTAAATCCTCTAAATGATAATTTTTCACTTGAGTGTCAACAAAAAAGTCTTCTCCATGGACACAATGGAAAGCGCTTTTCAGCGATGGACATCGATCCATCAAACTCAATCCCCTGTATGGTTCACTTTGTACAGAAGACGTTGTTTCTATTTCAAGTATTTCAAGCCTTTCGAGTTTAGGTCCATCATAATACGCACTTGGATCTGCGAAATCTGTATAGATCAATGGGTTAATAAACTTTATTAAAAAATAGAAAACTGTTGATTGAATGACTTACTCGAGCTGCCTTGCAAATGTAATCGTTCCAATCGTGGCAGATATTTAACATATTTTTTAAAATCGTCTAACGTCATGTCTATATGGTACAGTTGTTTTATCTTTCTGCCCTGTTGAATAAAAAGGTCAGGCTGGATTCCATACCAGATAAAAACGATTTCACCATCCTGGCTAATACTGAATCCGTTCCTTTTAATTTGACTTTTTTTCTTTCTTCCTTTGGCATAGTATATAGTAGTCTTTCTTCCTTTGGCTCTCTTCGTATATGATAAACTAGGCAAAATTAATGAATGCCATCGTCGATTAACTATAAAATAAGGAAAATTCAATCATAAATAACAGGCTTTCAAGTTTTTTAAAGATTTTTAGCTTACCTTGTGAGCAGACAATCAAAGTTTGTTTATCTTTGATTTCACGAAATATTCTGAATAAACAGGAATCACTTAAAATTTCAATAGACATTATCGATAGACTTTACTATGTGTGTTGATTGTTAACTTGTGATGAAATCTGACTAGGGAGTGATATTTTAAACAGCTGAGCAGGCGAGTGAGTCGAGAACAGGATTACTGATAATATTTAATGAATTAAGACATCACTAATAACGTTTTCATCGTTAGCAATTCAAATTGGCTATTTGAATTTAACGCCCTGTATAGTGTGAATGTATGCATATTCAAGTATTTCAAGTCTTTCGAGTTTAAATTCATCGTAACGCTGTAAGATCTGGGAAAATGAAATGCTTGTCATTTGAAATGGAGAAAAAGAAAAGATCATTAATTCAAAAAAGTTTTTTCAAAAAACTCACTTTTCAAACTTAGTCTCCAATCGTTGAAAAATTTTTACATACTTTACAAGCTCATCTAAATTGGACTATACAATTGATAATAGGAATGCTGTTTTTTAGTGTAAGTCTTTTATTTTACATGTAAGTATTGAATTGAATGTTTGTAATTTCCGTTTAGTCAAACAAATTACCTAATTTAAAAAGTTATCTCCCTCTTCGTCTGGATCTAGGTATTCTTCTTTAACATCAGGTTTCGTTTTACTATGGGGAGTATCAGGTTCGAGTAAAGGTAATAAGCAGGTTGAGTCCATAACTAAAGGTAATCTGCAGAATGGTTTAAGAAAACAATGCTTCATGAAGCTGTAACCAATGCAGAGGCTGCTGAATGTATCTGATAATTGAGGCCAATCAACTTTGATGTTATCTTCGTGTTCCTCAGAATAATAAAATGATATCGAACGATTATTAAGCTTACAATATTCATCTACATAATCAGCAGATATGTAAGTAACACCAGGAGACACTCGTAAATCAATTAGAACCACTTTCGATAATAATTCCAGCATTTCTGGTATATTTTCATCTTCAATATCAGTGTCGTACGAATGTCTTATAGCCAGGTGTTTTATATTAGGGCATTTTCCTAAAATTTTTTTTAAAGTTGGCCAATTAACTGCTCCAGAATCCTGTGAATAAAAGACAATCTAACTGTTAACATTCAACTTTCAATATTCAATACTTGTATGTACTTGTAGAATGCATAATTACATTTTCAATGACCAAATCCTGTAAATAATAATTTTTCACTTGTGTGTCAACAAAAAAGTCTTCCCCAATGATACAATGGAAAGCGCTTTTCAGATAAGGACATCGATCCATTAAACTTAAACCCCTGTATGGGTCAGATCTAACTGATGATGCTGTACTTATTTCAAGTATTTCTAGCCTTTCGAGTTTTGGTCCATCATAATACGCACTTGGATCTGAGAAAGCTGTAAAGATCAATGGATTAATAGGCTATAACAAAAATAGAAAACAGTTTATTGAATAACTTACTTGAGCTGCTTGACAGATGTAATCGTTCCAATCTTGGAAGATACTTTACATGTAGTTTAAAATGATCTAATGTCATTTCTGAAATGCGAAGTTGTTTGATCTTCCTGCCATGTTTAATAAAAAAGTCAGGCTGGATTGTATCCGCGACAGCACCGGTTTCATCGTCGTATATAATTTTCAATCCATCTTTTCTTCTTTTCAAGAAAGCAAATCTCTTTGGACGTGATAAACTGGAAAAAATTAATGAATGCCATCGTTGATTAACTATTAGATACGAAACATACAATCACAATCAACAGCTGGTTTGCTTTTTATAGGTGTTTTACTTACCTTGTGAGCAGATAATCAAAGTTTGTTTATCATTGATTTCACGAAATATTCTGAGTAAACAGGAATCATCTAAAATTTCAATAGACATTATCGATATCAACTATTTTTAAATTCGACTTTACTATGTGTGTTGATTTATGACTTGTGATGAAATCTAGGGAGTGATACTTTTTAATCAGCTGAGCAGGCGAGTGAGTCGAGAACAGGAATATTGCAGAAATTTTAAATTCTTTGTCAACTCATTAGAATTGAATCCTCTAATATCATATTAGGATTGCTGGTTTTCATTATGGCCTTTAGTTAACTCTAGCTATTTCAGCGGCTCATCAAATGAAAACCAGAATTTGTAAACAAATGCGTATTGCATTTTTGTTAAGGATTAAAATTGAGATCAAATTGAACAACATTTGTGAATCAGCTTTCATTATGACCAAACTGTCGATGAACTAAATTGTAAATTTAATTGAATCACACAATTTCAATAAATAAAAAATTGATTGAATGTTATGAACAAAAATTAAGAAATAGTAATAATAATGATAATCTCTCGAAGAACGTTTACAGTTAATTTTTCAAATTTCCCTCTACATTTTACAATGTTTGGATTCACTTTTTATATCCAGTTTTTGGATATCGGTATCTTTAATCATTCCATATTATGGAATCCATAATACAAAGGTATAAAATATTGTCAATTGTGACTTTCAAATTTTGTAAGTAATATACAAAGATTAATTTCAAGTCTTCTAAATTAAATTTTTTAGTTCCGTTTAGTCAAATAAATTACCTAAATCCAAAGATCCATCCTCCTCTTTGTCAGGATCTAGATTTTGCTCTTGCACATTAGGTTTCGTTTTACTATTGCGAATATCATCTTCGAGTAAAGGTAATAAGAAGATTGGGTCCATTACTCTAGGTAATTCGTTGAATGGTTTAAGAAAACAATACTTCATGAAGCTGTAACCAGGAGAACTTTTGAATTTTTTAGTTGATAATTGAGGCCAATCAACTCTAATGTCGTGTTCGTGTTCCTCAGTATAATAAAATGATATTGAACGATTGTGAAGCTTACAATATTCATCTACGTAATCAGCAGATATGTAAGTAACACCAGGAGACACACGTAAATCAATTAGAACGACTTTCGGTAATAATTCCAGCATTTCTGGTATATTTTCATCTTCAATATCAGTGTCATTTGAATGTCTTATAGCCAGATGCTTTAAATTAGGACATTTTCCTAGAATCTTTTTCAAAGTTGGCCAATTAACTGCTTCAGTGGAAAACATCTGTAAAAAAAGACAAATATAATAGTAAATATTCACATTTGACGAATATTATGTTATTGTTAAAACATGATGACTATCTGTCATCAGTTTTGTACGAAATTGTACTTTCAGAATGCATAGTTACATTTACAATAACCAAATCTTCTAAATAATAATTTTTCACTTGTGTGTCAACAAAAAAATCTTCACCATCGATATTATGAAAAGCGCTTTTCAGATAGGGACATCGATCCATCAAACTCAACCCTCTGTACGGTTCCCAATCTTCAGATCTTGTACATATTTCAAGTATTTCCAGCCTTTCAAGTTTAGGTCCATCATAACGTTCACTTGGCTTTGAGAAACCTGTAGGAATCAATAGATCAAGTGGCAAAATCTGTCAATTGAATTACTTACCAGAATAACTTGACAGATGTAATCTTTCCAATCTTGGAAGATATTTTACATATTTTTTGAAATCATCTAATGACATATTTGGAATGTAAAGTTGTTTCATCTTTCTGCCATGTTCAGTGAAAAAGTCAGGCTCTATCTCATAAGGCGCCACAACTATCTCCCAACCATCGAGAGCGATTATTTCCTTCATAGTATTTAATCCTTTAATTTTCCCTAAATTATATCTCTTTTCAGGTACTGTGCTTGGAAAGATTAATGAATGCCATCTTCGATTAACTGTAGGGCAAAAAATATCAAAACAAAATTAACACCTTCACCTGTTGACACAGGGTTTAATACACTTACCTTGAGAGCAGATAATCAAAGTTTGTTTATCATTGATTTCACGAAATATCCTGAGTAAACAGGGATCATCTAAAATTTCAATAGACATATCAGTTATTTTTAAATAATAATTTTAAATAATTTCACTAAAAAATAGCTTAAAATTCAAGTAAAGGTTGTGATAATTCACCGTGTTTACTATGTGTGTTGATTGTTAACTTGTGATGAAATCTGACTAGGGAGTGATACTTAAACCAGCTGAGAAAATGAGTGAGTCGAGAACAGAATGGCTGATATTTGATTGAAAATTGTTTTGATGCTGATTGTCATTTAAAAAAGAAAACAAAATATCGCTGATTAAAGAAAACTTACCTCTCATATGAAGTTTCTAATCGTGGAAGTTATTCACCTTCGTAACCTCATCTAAATTGGATGATCTAATTTCATGTGAGGAATGCTTATTTTTAACCTTTAATTATCTCCAGCTTGGTATTTGCAGTGATTCATTCAATAAAGCCAGAATTTTGTCTTATAAACTTACAAACCCGTTCAATACTTCGAATTTAAACTCCATTAACAAAATGAAGTTCTTATTCGTTTTATTTCTTGTTTCACTTCTCGATGGTTAATAAAACCTATTGCACTCAAACTAAGCCCTAACTCTAATTGAAACAAATTATGATAAATATATCAGATTTAGCTTATGGAGCTAACTTTGACCTATCAAAGCGTGATATGCGAATTAAGTCCAATTTAAAAGATATTTCTCATTAAACATTAAACTAACCATTTTTTAGTTGCTACTTAAAAGGCCAAAACCAAGAGAACTGTTGATGAAAAAAGTGTTCATTCGTTGATATTTACCAACAATTTTTATCGTTGAATAATAAGTTTCAGTTCTCTCACTTCCACGGTCTTAGAAAGCGGAAGTTCTGACTATAGACGAACTGATCTGTCGTACAGAACCAGAAAATTTTATTAACATTACAATAAAGTATTTGTAAGTGTTTTAAATTAAATGTTTATAAGTTTTGTTTAGACAAACAAATTACCTAAATCCAAAGGGTTATCCTCCTCTTTGTCTGGATCTAGATTTTGTTCAGGTTTCGGTTTATTATTGGAAACATCATCTTCGAGTAAAGGTAATAAGAAGATTGGTTCCATTATTTTAGGTAATTTGTTGAATGATTTAAGAAAACAATGCTTCATGAAGCTGTAGCCAGGACAGCTTTTGGCATTCTTATTTGATAATTGAGGCCAATCAACTTGAATGTCTTGTTCGTGTTCCTTTGTATAATAAAATGATATTGAACGATTATGAAGTTTACAATATTCATCTACATAATCAGCAGATATGTAAGTAACACCAGGAGCCACTCGTAAATCAATTAGAACCACTTTCGGTAATAGTTGCAGCATTTCTGGAATATTTTCATCTTCAATATCAGTGTCGTACGAATGTCTTATAGCCAGATGCTTTAAATTAGGACATTTCCGTAAAATCTTTTTTAAAGTTGGCCAAGTAACTGCTTCATAATCCTGTGAATAAAAGACAATCTAATTGTTAATATTTAACTTTCAATATTCAATTGTATTTTTGATGTAAATAATTACACTTTCAATGACCAAATCCTGTAAATAATAATTTGTCACTTGTGTGTCAACGAAAAAGTCTTCCTTGTCGATACAATGGAAAGCGCTCTTCAGATAGGGACATCGATCCATTAAACTCAACCCTCTGTACGGTTCATTACCATGAGCGCTTGTACATATTTCAAGTATTTCCAGCCTTTCAAGTTTAGGCCCATCATAACGTTCACTTGGCTCAAAGTCACCTGTAGAAAATGAATGCATTAAGAAGCTTCAACACACAATCCAAATCTATTTATTGAATAACTTACCGCCACTTGACAGATGTAATCTTTCCAATCTTGGAAGATATTTCACATATTTTTTAAAATCGTCTAATGACATATTTGGAATGTAAAGTTGTTTCATCTTTCTGCCATGTTGAATTAAATAGTCAGGCTCTAGTTCACAGATAACGGAAACTATTTGCCAATCGTCGAGAGCGATTATTTGCTTCCAACCACTTAAGTCACCAATTTTCCCTGATTCAAATCTCTTTTCAGGTGATGTATCTGGAAAGACTAATGAATGCCATCTTCGATTAACTGTAGGGCAAGAAATATCAAAATAAAATTAACACATTTAGCAGTTTACTCATGGTTTAACAAACTTACCTTGTGAGCAGATAATCAAAGTTTGTTCATCTTTGATTTCACGAAATATTCTGAATAAACAGGAATCATCTAAAATTTCAATAGACATTATCGATATCAACTATCTATAAAAAATAATTTTAATACATTTGCACTAAAAAATAGCTTAAAATTCAAGTAAAGGTTGTGATAATTCACCGTGTTTATTTGTTATTGAATTTGACGAGGGAGTGATACTCTTCAACCAGCTGAGCAGGTGAGTGAGTCGAGAACAGATTGCTGATAATATTTATCATGGATTTTTGTCAAGAATCGAGAAAAATGAGATCAGATTAAACATGATTAAGACGATTTGTGAATTTTATTCATTCGGACCGAATTAAACGTTAAAATTGCTTTTTGACTCAATGAAAACACAACATTATTTAATAGTTAAAAATAAATACACAAAATTGGTTAGTTGTTATTAAAACACGTTTAAACAAGAAATTATTGGAATAGTGCTCGAGATAATCGCTTAAACAGATTTTACTGTTAATCATTTAAACTGGAATGGATTTGCTTTTTGTATCCAGTTTTTGGATATCGGTATTTATATTTGGATTGCAATCCTTCCATAATACGAAAGGTAAAAAATATTGTTGATTGTAAATCTTTTAAAATGATTATTTTTAAGTCTACTTAATTTAAATGTTTGTGAGTTCCGTTTAGTCAAATATAATACCTAAATCCAAAGAGTCCTCTGTGTCTGGATCTAAATCTTCTTCTTGAACATCAGGTTTCGACTTATTATTGCGAATATCATCTTCGAGTAAAGGTAATAAGAAGATTGGGTCCATTACTCTAGGTAGTTCGTTGAATGGTTTGAGAAAACAATGCTTCATGAAGCTGTAGCCAGGACATTGCAATTTATTGAATTTTCTATTTGATAATTGAGGCCAATCAACTCTGATGTCGCGTTCGTGTTCCCTAGCATAATAAAATGATATTGAACGATTATGAAGTTTACAATATTCATCTACATATTCAGCAGATATGTATGTAACACCAGGAGACACTCGTAAATCAATTAGAACGACTTTCGGTAATAGTTCCAGCATTTCTGGTATATTTTCGTCTTCAATATCAGTATCGCATAAATGTCTTATAGCCAGATGCTTTAAATTAGGACATTTTCGTAAAATCTTTTTCAATGTTGGCCAATTAACTACTAATCCAGTGTTGTATATCTGTGAAAAAACAAACCCAATTGTGAATATTCACATTTGATACACTCATTGATATGTTATTATTAAAAACACAATGATTATCCGTCATTAGTTTGAATTGTCCACTCAGAACCCATAGTTACATTTTCAATGACCAAATCCTCTAAATGGTAATTTTTCACTTGTGTGTCAACGAAAAAATCTTCACCATTGATTTTATGAAAAGCGCTTTTCAGATAGGGACATCGATCCATCAAACTCAACCCTCGGTACGGTTCCAAATTTTTAGGTCTTGTACATATTTCAAGTATTTCTAGCCTTTCAAGTTTAGGTCCATCATAATACGCACTTGGCTTTGAGCCACCTGTAGAAATCGTTGAGCTATTAGTCTGAACAAAAAATTCAAATCTGTCGATTGAATTACTTACCATAATAACTTGACAGATGCAATCGTTCTAATCTTGGAAGATATTTTACATATTTCTTGAAATCGTCTAATGACATATCTGCAATGTAAAGTTGTTTCATCTTTCTGCCATGTTTAGTAAAAAAGTCAGGTTGAAACTGACTGTCATAGGGTGCTGAAACTATTTCCCAACCATCGAGAGCGATTGTTTGGATCGGAACATCCGATTTTAATCCTTTTCGAATTTTCCCTGAATTAAATCTCTTTTTAGGTGTTGTATCTGGAAAGATTAATGAATGCCATCTCCGATTGACTGTAAGGCAAGAAATATAAAAGTAAAATTCACACATTCATTAGTTCATTCAGAGTTTAAGAAACTTACCTTGTGAGCAGATAATCAAAGTTTGTTTATCTTTGATTTCACGAAATATTCTGAATAAACAGGAATCATCTAAAATTTCAATAGACATTATCGATATCAATTTCTTTAAAATAATAATTTTAACAAATTTCACTAGAAATAGCTTAAAATTCAAGTAAAGATTGTGATAATTCCCAGTGTTTACTATGTGTGTTAGCTTGTGATGAAATCTGACTGAGGAGTGATACTTTAACCAGCTGAGAAGATTAGTGAGCCGAGAACAAATTGGCTAATAATATTCAATATTATCAATATCTGAAGTCTCTAATCGTAATAGAAGTAATTTTACCTTCGCAAACTCATCTATAAATAAATTGGATGATCTAATTTCATATAAGGAATGCTAATTTTAGCCTTTAACTATCTTCAGCTTGTTATTTCCAGTGATTTATTAAATGAAAGGCAGAATTTAGTCTAACAGACTTACAAACCTTACAATACTTTGCAATTTTATCAACTAAATGAAGTTATTTTTGGTTTTATTTCTTGTTTTACATCTCGATGGTTAATAAAAGCTTTTGCTCCAAACTGATCTCTAACTCTAATTGCAACAAATTATTAAAAATATTATATTAGATTTAGCTCATGAAGCTACCTTTAATCCAAGCGTGATATCCAACGGCATAGGCAAATTAAGTCCAATTTAAAAGATTTTTCTTATTAAAAATCCAACTAACCATTTTTAATTGTTACTAAAAATTAAAAATCAAGACAACTATTGATAAATTGAAAACAGTGTTCAATCATTTTACCAACAGTTTTTATCGACGAATAACAAATTTCAGTTCTCTCACTCCTGCGGTCTTCTCAGAGAGCGGAAGTTTTGACTAAACTGATCTGTTTTATTTTGAACAGTAAATTTTATTTTTCAAAATAAGTACATTTTCTGGTTAATTATCATAAGTTACATTAGTTAAATGAATTTCATAGCAAAATCTGGTCGCACAGTCGGACAAAAAGCGATCGAAGTTTAAACTTTGACCTCTATTTCCTCAAAAACTATCGATCGGATAAATTTTTAATAACATGAATGGATTCAGTTTTTATGCTCCTACAAACCCATTAAGTCTCAAATCTTAACTTAAGTCCAACTTTTTGACAATATTTTGTATAGTTTAAATAGACGCGCCATACTCTTAAGGCAAATAAACAATCTACTATATATCCAAGGATTAGAATCTTATCAGATACTTTTACGAATACAGTATGTAAGCCTTACCGAATATTGTTAATTGTAAGTCTTTTATAAAGATGATTTTTAAGTCTTTTAAATTTATGTTTGTAATTTTTTAATTTTATTGTTCTAAGCGTATTTCTTCATGGTAATGTATTCAATGGAGAAAAGACCAGATTTAGTTTTGGATGCTGAACCCGCCGAAAAATGGACAATATATTCAAGTTCACAAAATTTGGCCTCAGTATTAAATGACCCATCTTTACCTCGATCTGATATTTTAACCAAAGATTGGGGCACTGGATTTATTGAGAGTGTGCCAATTACTCCTATTCATTCACCACCGACGCAAAATGATCTCACCCTTCTTGAAACATATCGTAAACGTGTGCATCGACGCGAAGAGAAAATTGCTGCCACTAAAAGATTATCTATATCTGAGAATTTAGATAGCTTCGATGGCAAATCTAAGGATCTTCACGAAATTGTACCTCGTTTGTTTTTGCGATCAGATTTCAGTTTGGAAAATGTTAATACGTTTACAGCACTTCTGTCTGATTCTAAAGGAGTTTTAGCTGCTAACAATTCGTCGGCTTCTTCACCAGCCTCATTTAAAGAATCAATCAAACAAATTTCACGTAACCTTACAGATTACCTGGACGTCGTGGAAGAAAATTTATCTCGTCAAATTGCTCTAAGATTCAGGGAATTTTTCCATATAATGAATGCAATCGACTCGGTAATGGAAAATCTATCTAAAACAATCAAACAAGTTACCCTTTTACGTGGTAAATGTCATCAATTAGAGGCTACTTTTGTGAAACCTAATTTGGAAAACATCAGACTACATTGGGCACGTCAAAATGCTCTTAAAGTTCTCGACAAAATGCAGTTAATGTCAACTATCAATCAAACTCAACCGTCTATACAATTACTTCTTTCCAATTCTGATTTTGCTGGCTCACTTGATCTCATCTCATCAACTCAAGATTTATTCCTTCAAGAACTTTTAGGTCTTCACTGCTTCCGTCATTTAGAATCTCAGTTAAATGAGATAAGAGAAATTATCTCAAAAATGATGAAAGAAGAGTTCATTAAATTCATCGATGCCTTTTGTAACCAACCTGTAACACCTTCAATTGAAATAGCTGATGGTAACATCATTATAACCAAGAAGCAACAAATACCTGGATCTGAAAGGCTTGAAGCACTTGTCATGGGAATGTTGAAGAACAATTGTTTTAGTTTTATTGATGATTTCAACAAAGAGGCTCGAATGGCTATCAAAGCCCTGGTAAAGCAAACTGTTATCGAGATGTTATCCCAAGAAGATGATATAGACATCGACTGTAAAGAAGAGACTAGTCTATTTGAGAAGCTGCGCTCAATCGCGCCTTCGAAATGGTTGAAGCTGTTATCCATTGTATTCGCTAATCTTAACCTTTTACTCGACAGAATGGAATTGATTCAAATATTGATGTTAAATGTTGTACAAGAAGCTGTAGACAAACGAAATGAAGAGACAAAGAAATTACAAGAACAATCAACGCAAATATTAGCTGATAAAGACCATCACAAATTAAGCCTAACAATCCAAGAATCTTTGGTTGCAATTTGTGAAGATGCTCATCTTGCATGCAAAGATTTAATTAGATATAAAGCAAATGATGGCTCCTTGGACAAATTGACATCAGCCGAATTTCTTGAACTATCTAAAGTAATAGATAAATTCACTGGTGAATGTGAAACTCGCTGTGGAAGGAGAAGTGATATTTTAGAAGCTGTCCTCAAAAATCAAGCTATTAGATTCACAAACCGATTTCACGAAGAAAGAAAACGGAAATTGAATTCAGTATTAACCGTTGAACAGTGGAAATCTTTAGACCCAGTTCCGATTGAACTACAAGAAATGGTTAATCAATTTGTTGAAGAAAGACTCGGTTCTCGCAACCTTAAAAAGACTGAAACCAAAGAAGGACCAGCTGAAGAAGCATCATCTTTATCAACAGCCCAATCGTCTATCGCAACCACATCAATTTCGCCCAAGAGTTACGTTACTTTAAATGGTGAAAATTATGTTATTGTCAGCTCAATGAAAACATTAATTACTATGATTTTGGAATATTGTCAATGTTGCAGTGAAATACCTTCTTTATCCTTCGAACTCTTAAACCGCCTATTAGATTTAATTGGTCATTTCAATTTACGAACTTGTCATCTAGTCTTAGAAGGAGGAGCTACAACAGAAGCTGGACTTAAAAATATCAACGTTCGAAATTTATTCCTCTCTCAGCGATGTCTTCAATTAGTTACTTCTCTATTGCCTTACCTTGCATCTTATTTCTGTGATTTAATTCCCACCAAAAGCCGTCAAATAACAAAAAGCTTTGATGAAGTTGAACGATCATACAACGAACACATTCAAAAAATACCTGAAAAAGTAATTTCGATGGTCAACGACTTTATGGTTCTATATCTTTCTAAATGGGAAGCTAGACCTCCGGTTCCATCTCAGCCATTCCAAACAATCTCTCAACATTTAATGAGATTACACGAAAATGTTCAAGATGTTATACCTGTTGGAAATTTATCCAGTTTCTTTATCAAATTACATGAGTTATTCAAAGAAGTCTTGCGAGCACAACTAACTCGTCTTAAAATTGCCAATGATGGTGGTCCTCAACACGGGTTTGTTGAAAACATCTTTTTGAATTATGAATTGAAAACTAATTATAATTTTCTTTTGATTTCCAGATTGGTAACTCAAGAATTAACCTTCTATGTAATAAGTCTGAATAATCTTAGTATCGGTAAAAGAGTTAAATTTTCTATTGATGATTTATGGTTAAAAATGACATAAAATATTGAGTATTTTAAAAATTAATAAAATAAATATGTATGTTATAATAAAAACTTTGTAATTTCAATTTACATATAACGAATTACTATTTGAGTTCCTTGTTCGTCGTCATTTTCTCCTTCATCTTCAATTTCTTCATCTAAATCAGTTCCATCTTCTTCATTTTCATAATACTTTATAGTCCTTTCTACCTTGCGTAGCAGGGCCACTTTTGCATCCTTTTCAATCTGATTTTTACTCAACTCTAGAGATTCATCAACTGATAACTCATGAACACGCTTCTCTTCAGCACCGTAATTCAATCCAGTATCTTTATATTTTTCCATGATTTTCAATTTTGGGGATTCAGGTGTCCGCATTTCAGTCGATGACGGATCTTTCTTCAGTTCGTCTTTGCTTTTATTAAGCACAAATTTGGATGGTTTTACTTGAGATAATGTGTCGTCCAACGCTTTAGACAATAATCCAGCGTAAGGATCAACTTCTGGCTTTAATTTTGCAACTGGTCCGGAAGCCTCAATATTGGCATTAAACATCAGATTTTTAAGTTAAATTATAGATCGGTAAAACTTGATTTTGATAAATGTAGCTTACCATAGGATGAGAAAGATCAACGTTTTGACCAATTGATAATTTGGAAAGAATAGAAGTAGTTTGTTCGACCAACTCTTTAGATTTGAGTTTTTCCAAAACTTTCTGTCGGTAGTCACTTATTTTTTGTCCCTTATCTGGTAAAGAATTGATGAATTTCCTGGAAAATCATATAAAATCGCTATTTATTCATCATTCAAAAATCAATATGTAAGATAATTAAAAAAAATTACACTTACTTGTTGTTTAAAAGCTTGTCTTGTCTGTCTAGGATCTCTTTGAGTTCAATGATTGACAATTTATTTAAATCAGCTTTCCTAGTATCTATTTTGTTGAAATTTGCTTGGCTTAAAGAAGGTATATCAAACCTTTGCTGCATGATAACAATTTATTTCAAGAGTTGAATTCAATTCAGACATTCAACCAAATTTCATAACATTGACCGGCTGATTATTAGTCATTTTCATCTTTAAGTAAGATATAACAGTAGCGCGATCTAGTGGTGGAAATAACGAGAGATAGATTCTTTAAAATTAACTGAATACAAAATTAACACAATATTAGTAACTTGATGTAGACTAGCCTGGGTAACATTTACAGTGGTTAATATAAACAAAACAGTTGAGTTCAAATAGTGATATAAACTACTCTTTGGTTACTATGATGACCTTTTCAGGACAACAATTTACAATATAAAATAATAAGGTAAAGCAGAAACAAAATGATGAACAACTTAAATGCAAGTCAATGTGTGTCCGGATGAATATCCGATTCTTTTGGGGCAAAGAAAAACAATTAAAGTATCAACATCATATGGTTAAGAAGGTGATTTTATGGACGTGAACCATCGTGAAGAAATTATTCATTATATTGATATCAATTAGATGAGTCGCTCAATTGGGGGAAGTCGGACGATGTAAGGTATGACTTGATATTGTTCATAAGTTGATGGTGAGTAAACTCCTTTCATGGCTCGAGCTCGTTTTACTTTAATTAGAAACAGGATCAGCAGAATGATACAATAGACAATCAAAAGGATGAGCAGCAATAAGAAATCTTGTTTCAACAAATCTGACATCATTGTGAAATAGCCAATTTGCTCAAGATTATTATAACCTCTTGACTGGTCATAATTATTAAATTAAAAACATCACCAACTCATCACGAAACCAAGATTCAATCAGATTGAAGGAAAAACTAAATGCCTATTGAACGCCACGCCAGTGTCGCCATAACTGTCACCTTACCCAATTTTCAACTTAAAATTAACAATTTAAAACAACCAAAAAATGTTTGTTTCAAGAAGGAAAAGGCAAGAAAACTAATCATTTCAAGAGATGTACAGTTACAGTAGTTAAGATTTAAAAATATTTCCTGAATTCCGAGTCACTGACAATTTTTTAAACGACTGAAAGATGATTAAGTAATTGATTCACTTTCAACGATTATTCTGTGATATTTACAAGTTTTCACAGTTTTTGTTCACTTGAAGAACCATTTATCTGATTGTTAGATAACAAAAGGAAATGTGAACTCACAGGAAGGCTACAAATGCGACTGTCTTAATAGGCATTTGTCTCAACTAGCTCATCTGATAATTAGCAATTTTTGATCAGATATTTATCTTCAAGTCTCATTCACTTCTCAGATCTTTATTCCTCCCTCATAACTTACCTTTTTACCTTTCTGTGTCTTTTTGCCTCCAAGCTCCTCCTTAAAACTGTTTACTCAACAGTATTTTCACTCAACAAATATTTTCAGCTCGAGAGTTGATTTTCATTGTATTTCTCATTGGAAATTGCGATCTTATTTCATTGATCAAGAGGAAAGTTCAGTTAACTGAACAAGTCATATCTGTTTTAAGGTTTCTAATATTCATTATATTAATCAACCATCTTTAATTAATCATGTGTGGAGGATTCACTTTTACCAAAAATGCTCTGACAACATTAAATATTCTGTATACGGTAAGTCTCCATTGCTCCTCGAGTCTTCCTAACCTTTCCATATGTTTACATTTTTTTTATTTTCAAAATGTGCTTTAATTTATAATTCATCTTTCTATTTCATTATTTCTCCTCTAATCATTAGCTGGTCTCATGTATGTTGATTGCTGTGGCAACATATGCTCGATACTCATCAATAGTCAGTAATCTTGAGATTGTCCAAGTCTTCATAGGATGTGGAGTATTTCTTGCCATTCTGTCTCTTATGGGATTGGTTGGAGCTGCAAAACACCATCAAGTCATATTATTTTTTGTAAGTTCAATTATTAATAATTTCATTTTTTTCTCAAGTTGAATGAGTTGATAAATGAATATCCGATAAGAGTGACTATCAAAGATTTGTTGATACATTAAACAGAGATAATGGTTGACAAAGAGTTCATATTTCTTTATCTAACCTCAATTTTCCCATTCTTCTTACCCAACAGTACATGGTTATCCTATTTCTGCTATTTGTGGTACAATTTTGCATCGCCATTGCTTGCCTCGCTGTTAGTGATTCACAAAAGGTTGAAATCGCCACCAATGGATGGAATTCATCAAGTGATTCAACCCGAAATGAAGCCCAAACGTGGTTTAATTGCTGCGGGTTTGACTCTTCACCGCTAGTAGACCAGTGTATTGGCGTAAGTGATTCATTAACATCATTATAAATGAATAGGAGCTCTTAAAACTCAAAAGTCAACGTAAGATATATTTAGGCTTCAGATTTTCTCACCAAGAGTTACTGCGTAATCTTATTATCAGAATTTTGATGAGCGATCAAAGAATTTTCTCTTCAGATAGTCTCCAATCTTTAGCTTGTAAATTTTGATAATTACAATGAGGATATAACGACTGTGAATCGATGCCAAAAATTGTATTGCCATTGATGTTTAATTCTTCATTTTCAACAATTAATGTGTGTAAGAATCAGCTATTAAACGTTAATAGCATTTACTCTCGTTTTAGGTTAAAGGTCATTGATTTTCTAGTTTTTTTTGGCTTGTAATTCCAATTAACTTAACATATTTTGTCTCATCTTTTGTTCAATTACAGGTAGCATCATGCTGTAAAGTCAAGGAAGATTGTCATTGCGAGACTTGTAAATACAAAATTGTCAGTGCAATCAGCAGCGGACTAGACGTTTGTGGTTCACTTGGAATTTTCTTCAGTTTTACCGAATTCCTTGGTGTTTGGCTGACTATCCGATACAGGAACCAGAAAAATCCTCGCGCCGATCCAAGTGCGTTTTTGTGAAACCAGACCATCTAATTCAACTCAAATCAGTTTAATTATAGCAGCTTGCATTTCATTTTTTGTTCAGAGTTTCAGTTAAGCTTCTTGCTACATTTTATTTTACTGTATAGATCGTCTCTTACACCTGATAATTTCCCCAAAATTCAGATGCATTCCATCTATCAACTAATTATGACTTAATTTCTACTCACTATTTCAATCATTGTGTCTTAAAATGCCAACTTGCAAACAGAAGATAACTTTAAAAATATTATTCCATTTTAAGGTTGAACAAGAAATTTTTTCAACAATTAATTAAGATCATGTGTATAACTATCCGTTACTTGTTAACATTGGACCTTCCATCATGTGCTTAGTCTCAAAGAGTTGTGTGATTTGAAAGCAAATTAAACATGTAAATACGTAGTGTTCAACTACTTGAGTGGATCAAATATTAAAATTAAAACATGACATTTCAAAAAAGTGAATTTCAACGTTAAAATCAAATTAAAATGCTTGATTATTGGAAAATCAAAAGTTGATAGAATAATTCATTACATAATAAAATTTAGTTGAAAAATATTTAGCTAGATTAATTGGTTAGATTTTATTTAAGTTAATGTTTTAATTACCTAAACATTGAGATATAAATATGCAGTCAAAATGAGTTACACATCATGTATATGCAAGTTGATGAAACTCGAATATGAACTCATGATAATCGATAAGGATCGTGAGATTCGAGATTATTGAATTCTCTGTTTCATTGTAGCCGGTATTAAGGAAAATAGCACTTTAAGATTGAGCCAAAGACAGACGATTAATTAAAATAATATCGTAATCTTTGAAGTCATGATAGGCTTGAAAATGGAAAGCTATATTTGTTAAGACGACTACGTATTCACTTAGAGCAAATAATGTATAAATACCAGGTTCACAGAACCAATTATGTTTGTAATAGAAAAAGATTGCCAATCCAATTGAGATCAGGTTAATATATTTCATTATATTCTTGATTTTTCTTGACTTGTATGAGAAATTGGACGCCGAAGTCATTCCAACAGATCCAGTGATAATGAAGAGTGCGAAATTTAAAGCATGTAAAGCTGAGAAAGGTGAGAAAACAGTAATTTAGTTTCATGAATAATAAACATTGAAACAATTCTGTAATTTAAAATCAATTTGTACAATAGATCGAATGATCATTTAATGGCTATAAACCTGTTATATGAAAATCTAAAGAGTCGGATGGAGTAAAAATGAAAAGTGGATCAAATTTTTTGACTGAATAACTGATTTAATCAACAGATTATAGCTTTAAAGAGGATGTCTACTATCGAGGATGAGAAAGACAAATTTTGGTTTCCTGAATTTTCCAGTTTTCAAGTGAGACTTGAATAAAGTTGAAATATCATTCGACTTACAAATTGGGGAATATTGTACAAGCTAAAGATAAAACTTATTCAGATGTTAACTTACTGTGATTTTCAGTCGATGAAATGAATGTTAATCCAATTAAACTTGAGACTTCGACCAGATTAAGCATGAAAATAAATAGGGAATAATGGACTATTGAATAATACATATAAGCTACCAAGTACCTTGGCGCTGAGTGTATAGCGATACAAATCCTCCAAATATATTTTTGAGGTGAATAGGAGCCAACTGCTGCACTAATTGATGGTAGATAATTGGTGACATGACAATGGGTTGAAGTTGACTCGGTAAAATTAAATAAAAGAGACCAGATTACACAAAATATAAAACCACCAAGAGGCAGAGAAGATATAAAAATAGCTAGATTGGTGAAACTGAGTAAAACAGTTTTATCATCTTTGTATAAAGGTTTGTAGCGCCTAGTTGATTTCATCCAACTTGATTGCAGAACAAAAACTTATAAATCAGCTGGGTAATTGGATGTCCAAATTTGGGGAATTGAGATTCACATAATGTTGACAAGGAAGGTAAAGTTGATTGTAGCCTGAATTCCTATCCACCCAGATATAGGCGTTTACGTATCACATGATAAAAATGACATAAATATTGAATAAATGTTCACTCAATAAACTATAGTTTAATCACTGAAGTTGATGGTCAATAGAGAAAACAAAGATTCAAACAACAATCATAGGATAAGCAAGAAAATATCATAGAGAAATGTTTTAAGAGTTGCTTAGAAAAAAGATTTTGTAGTTATTGCAGATCATAGGGAGAAAGGGCTACTATTAGTATAGTTCTAAAATTATTTAGGACAAATAAAAGATAATTCAATCATATTACAATGGGAAATATCAAAAAGAACCAGGAATTAAATTAAATAAACAGATAACAAGCTGACTCATGTGAAGAGTAAAACAGACTGTAGAAAGTCAGGAACAGTTGTTTCATCAGCTGGTCGCTTGTTTGCAAAATTCAGGTTACTTGGGTAATGATAGAGTCGTGTTTTCTTACTTGAAGTCAGGTTAATGATCAGTCATCTATTCACGGAAAAATGAACTAATTGGATATGAATAGCAATTTAAGAAATAGATGATTGAAAGACCAGTAATTTAACAAAATAGGAAAACTGTTTTGATAAATTTTTCACCCAAGAAACCAATGTTAAAGTTGCGAGTCAATATTAGTTCAATTGTGTCAAGGTAATTTCATTAGAGTTACTTTTAACAAAACAATAAACGCATTAAAAATGGAAAATAATTTTTTTATTAGGCTCTCTTTCTCAACAGTCTGTTAATTTAATGAAAATTTTGAGTTCAAATTGTGCAACAAGATTTAAATTTTTTTCTAACAAAATCAATAAGAAATAACACCGAAGTCATGGCAAGGAATTAGCTTGACTTGGTTTAATCGTTGAAAATTAACTGCACAATGAAAAAATTCACGAATCGTTACAAGAAATCCTGCTTTGTCGGTGATGATTAAAATGAGCGCAATGAACTGAGCATTGTTAGATGAGACTAGACTTGTTTCCTTCCATCATAGTCAATAAGGTAAGTTCGGTGATGAGGATGAAGCTGTTGTTGTTGGTGTTGCTGTGATTGAATGTGAGTATGAGGATGAAGGTGAGATTGCTGGTAAGCATGAGGATGAGGATGTGAATGAGAATGTTGAATTTGTTGTTGAATCTGGTGGGAGATTTGGTGTTGTTGTAGGTTGACAATATTATTATTAACAACATTATTATTAACAGTGTTGTTGTTGTTAACAATATTGGTATTTGCAACAGCCATAGCAGTTTGGCCTTGACTAGACCCGCTTCCTTGCATCATAGTCAATGAGATAGGTACGGTTATTTGTTGCTGAGGCACTCCTTGAATATTTGGAAAAGAAACTAAATTATGAAGCCTTAAATTTGAACATTGCGCTAAGTTGAGGCTGGCAAGATTAATTCCTTGGGGAAGATTTGCATTTGTGGTTGAATTGGTTCCTGTAATAGTATATGTTCCTATTGGTAATGATGGTGTAACAACGAGAGTCTCCTGTTGAGGTTTAGATTCATCTGTAGGGGAAAAAAGAAGAAAAAATGAGAATGAGATTCAAGTTATAATCTGTTGTAGTATAAATTTTCACTCTGAAAAAAATAAAAAATCGAAACTAATTGGAAAGTAAAATTAGGTGGAAACTAAAACTAAAATGTAAACAATTAGAATAAAAAAGACAAGGAAAAAGTACTCTGGAGATTCGTTGATCCATGAGTTTGAGGAAGACTAGCAAGATAAAGAGTCGGAATGGCTTGTCGCTCGGTAATGGCTGCATTACGAATGATAGTCTTTGAATGAAGATTTTCAGTTGATGGTGCGATAGGTATGAGTGATGCTGCTGGTTTGATATTTTCAATTGGGCTAGACGCAACTATTATAATTGTTAGCATGTTGGAAAAGATTCAAGAGAATGATTAAGATACGAAAGAGAAGGTGATGAATGAATGGAAAATGGAAAAGTTAGATGGAGAAAAGAGTCAGTTACATTTTTTTCTTGGTGAAAGAATATGCCTAAAGAATGAAACAAAATATACCTTGTTCTGAATTCCTATGATTGGCAGTGCAATTGGAATTAATTTGAATTGTTGAAGAATTTGATGGAATGAATTCGTTGATTGGAATACTTGAAGATGAATTAGAGGCTGCAGATAGAGTAGATGATGATGATGTTGGTACATTGGTTGATGTAGTAGTTGATGGTGATAAATTACTTGAGAGTAATGATGAAGATAATTTACGATGTTGATTTCGTAACACAGATACAGCTGTGATCAAATGAAAAGGTGCAATTAGTGGAGGTTACAATTTACAAATTAAGGGCATATAAGTGCATACCATTTTTTGGATTTGATTGAATAATCTTTGGTTTTTTGGAGAGATTATCTCTTCCATCTAAATCCTCATTATCACTTGGATTTGGACCGTTAAATTGATTGGCAGAGTTTGTATAAGTCACTTTGGTAGGATGATTTGATGATTTATGAGTAATTTTAACCGGTTTTCTACCATTCTCTGTTAATATTTCCTTGAATTGATCAATGTATCTATTTAGAGTAAAAACATGTTTCAGTAACACTAATTCGCAGATGGTTCAGAGCATTCTTACTTATTAACCATAGCTTTATGTCCCAAGCGAAAAAGGCAAGAATTTCCACTTCTATTGCTATTATCTTTTCTTTTATCGAGAAACAGCTTCCCGAAATACGAATCATCGATTGACCGATGATAAATTGCTACACAAGTAACAGAGGAACGTCCTTCGCTATTCATAAATTCCATTATATATTCATCAGATTTAACCTGGAAGAAAAAAGGCAAGTTAATTTCAGAAAATTTGCAATACGATATAAGCTGAGTACCAAAGGAACTTACTAAAGTATTATCACATCTTAAATTCACAGGTTCAAGTTTTTTGGCAAACTTTTCAATTTCAATCAGTTTAGGATCGATTGGATCAATTTTACAGTCTTTATTTCCATTAATACTATTAATCTATTGGAAAGAAAAAAGTGGAATTAGTTATTAAATTCACAGAGTATTAGGTTACCGTTCAGGAATGTATGAGAAGCTTTGCAAGATAAATTTTCTGTGAGGTGATAATTTAAATATGCAGCAAATTGGATTGCAGAAAAATAACGGTACATACCTTTTTATTTAGTCTAGAAGAGATTGAAGCTCGATCTGTTCTACTCTGAAGAAAATCAAATAATTCTAGACCTTTAGGGGCAGGCAAACTCTCAAACTTCTTAATCCTGTTTCGATAGACTTGAGAGTTCTTTTTCATTAATCTGTAGATGACATAAAAAGCAAATAATAGATTTAGTCACAAGTCAAACCAATGGATATCATTTTGAACAACTTACCTTTCTACACTTTTAGACGCTTTAAACCATTTTTTCTCGTAATCTAACTTATTAGAAATTATTGCAACTACAGGGTTGGGATCAAGGCAAAGAGGTTCAGCAGTTTCTAAAATAATTTTGGCCTCCAAAGCTGTCTTCTCTTCTTGAGTCCAGTTTTTTAGGTGAGAAAATGATGAAGTTAGACGTGCTATATCATTAAGTAGTGTTTGGTTAGTCGGCCTGAGTCTTACAAAACTAGATTCATAATTTGATGTTTGGTTGGAAGTATTTTTTCGATAATCTCTGATCTCCATGAAAATAGAGCCACAGTAAAAAAGTTGATGGTCATTGTTTTCATTGAAGTCATCAAAAATGTCAACCAACATAGGAGGAAGTTCACCATTGTCTATGAAATCCAACAAGTCCTCCTCTTCATATGGTAATTTAATGGTTTCAATGAAATCAGATTCTTTACAATCACCATTCTGAGCTCCATCCTTCGAGTCCTTGGAGTCAAAATGATCATCTAGATGAGTACAGTTTTCATTTGTTTTACTATCGTTGTTGAATAGATCACTAGCTGCCTTATCACCACTTTTGTGAATAATACCATTTGAATTATTCTTATAAATATTATCACTTTTGTTGGGAAGATTTTTCATTCCAATTGTATATCCTTCATTATTGGGATATAAATTTAAAATTAAATAATTTAAACCAAACTTTGTTACTAGCTTTTCAACCAATTGTTTTTCCAGTGAGACACCAAATGAGCAATCATCATCACCGTCCTTTTCCTCTTCTTTCAGCTCTAAATAAGTTTGTATCATTTTTCTTTTGAGATCATTGAAAGGTTCCAAGTCAAAGCCACCGTCTTTATCTTCTCTATCCACAATATTGTTGATGTCGATCATATGGTTTCCCTCTTCATCATTGAGGATGATGTTTGGGGCTTCCATTTCATCTTCTTCGCCCATTCTAATTACTAGAAATTGAAGAAACTTCCAATAACTGATTTGGTTAAAAATAATTCACTAGAAACTAAAAAACTGTTTAATTAATCACAATTCATCACATTACAGCTTTTTAACAATTTGTTATGGGTATGAAGTGTTTGAAGGATGATGCTGTTCTGTGCGACATCTTACAGAGTTTTTTTCTATTCGCATTTTTGGAGGGTTTATCAAATTGGGATTGAGACGCTTTTCAATATTTATTTTTCTAATCTATTTATCTATTAGTTCAAATATTTTTATTTATTAATAAAGTCAAAGGTATTTAAATGTGTCAAAAATAGTACCGGTAATCTTCAAAACAGCCAAAATTTTATAACTGAATCTATTGTATACTTATAATATGTCTTCTCATTTGACGAGAGAAACTTGTTTATTCAAATATTAATGTTGGCTTTAAAGCTGGATAAATAATGTGATGCATATCACGGAGTCCTTCAGTGTTTTATCAGTCGTTTTATTTTTCGATTGCTATATATTCAAGATAATCTTATAAACATTGAAATCCCAATGTTAACCTTTCTTATCAAACTTTCCGTCTTCAGTCTTGCAACCATCTTCAAACCTTTCTCCTCCAAATGTCTCATGTTATCAGTCTGTTAATTGTGGTAAGCAATTTGGTTACCTAACTCATGGATATTTATTGTTGGTAGCAATAAAATTTCTTATAATGATAACCCACGAATTGACTCTATATAGCATAATGAGTTGTTGAAATTAATTATTTATAACTATGAGATTAGTTAGTCAATGATTTAGGAGTTTCTCAGGTTTTGTCATCTTTTCATGAGATTGTTTTCATTTCAATGTTTCTGTAGGTTCGATTTTTATCAAGTTATTTCTATGAACATTGTAGGTCAAAATTTGGACATAATTCACAGTAAAGACTCTTTTATCCTTGCATTCGTAGCAATCAAGCAACCACTAATGCCATGTAGCTACCATGTGAGAAACTGTACTTTTCAAGAAATGACTCGTTACAATGCAGCGCAATTTCATGATTTCTAATAGATCAAGTTAAATATCACTGACTGATTTAAAAAAATGCTGAAATAAGCAAAACTACAAAAGTATTTTGTCAAGCTATAAAAACACAGAGACGCTAACAAAATATTATCAAACAATAACATAAACTTGCAAGTTTGTTAGTCTTTTTAACAAAAACATTCATAAGCAGAAGAGTTTTCAATACCATTTTCATTTGCATTCATGTACAAGTCTTTCGTTAACATTTTTTGGTAATCCGGTGGATAAATACCTAGCAAACGAATAAATAACAGGAATACTTTGCGTCTTATCTTATTATTAAGCATTCAAGTAAAATGTAGCTCGCTTTCTTTAAAAATAAAAAATATTCAATACAAAACTCTTTTACGATTAATAAATTAACACTTATGTGACAGGAGTTTTGTTAAATTTAAAAGGCATCTTTCAAAGTTGATCTTTGTCGTTTTGATTTTGTTTAGGCTACTGTAGATGGCAGCTAGAGCAGCTGTTTACTGCTTTCTGCAACAGCAAATGTTTATTACCAGAAGATTACCTGAAAATACCGAATGTTTGTTTACTTTTTTTTCTTTTAAAAATAAACGTCAAATAAAATGTAAGTATTGCTTATAATTTTATCTCATGCGTTTTTCACTTATTGAAATTTATCTTTCAGGTCTGAATATTGGAAATCAATCCCCAAAAAGTTTTGTGATGTTTGTAAATGTTGGTTCACTGACAACAAAGCTGTAAGTATATTCCGAAGTTGTGTTTTGATTTTTGAGCTTTCATGCTTTCAATCATTAATCTGATCTTTTATTCTCATATAGAGTGTAGAGTTTCACGAAAGAGGCCTTCGCCACCAGAACAATGTCAAGAAAAAGCTCGCAGAGGTAAATTCAGTCATTTTTCTCTTGATGGTAGCATTATTTTGAAACGCTTTGCTATTCTCGTTCTTTCTCGTCACAGCTCACAAAACGTAACCAAGTTCAAAAACATGCAACAGACAAATATAATGCTGAAATAATGAAGATTGAGGCGGCTGCCATGGGAGCCTTTGCTAAAGATATTGCAGCTGATCCAACGAAAGCTCGAGAATTAAGTACTTCAAAAAGCTTCGCCAGCACATTAAAAGAGCAAAGAGACAAACCTAGCACATCTTTAGGAGGAAGTAGATTTGGTGGTGTTTCAAACTTAGGATCCGATGAAAGCGCTACAGTTCAGTGGGGAAAAGAGAAAGCTTTGGATACAATCACAACAAAAATGGAAAAGAAAGCTCAATGGTTAGAATCTAAAACAGCAGAGGGAAAACCTTATTATTGGAATCGGAAAACTTTAGGTTAGTTTCAATTATTTACTTATACGTGAAATAAACTTATACATATTTTTTTGTATTTCCAGAGACCAAATGGGAACCTCCAAAAGCTGGATATCTCACAATGGAAGAGCAACAAAAATTAGGCATCAATCGTGATAATGTCCCTTTAATCGGTGTACCAGGATATAAACACAATCCTTACGGACAATGGCAAACCGTATCGGAGGATAAATCAAATGTAAAAAAATTACCTGACTTGCAATTACCAAAAGGATCAGGTCCAACAGTCGACGATGCCAACATATTAGAGATTCATGTCGATCCAGATGAAGAAAAGTTTGAATTCAAAGAAAAGACTGTCGAAACAATATCAAATCCAGCTTCTGGTGCTGTTGCTTTCACATTTAAAAAGAGAAAATTTGCTGAAAAAGCTGTTAGAAACATAAGAAAACGCGAAAATGATTAGGCTTTTCAGATTAATGCTTCTATTTAAAATTGCTTGTAAATAATAGTGAAAGTCTGCGATATATTCTTTTAATTCTTTTTTCCATCGCCAAATTTCTAAAGAAAAATACTGGTTTAATAAACGATTTTGACTCCGAGTTCATTGAAACTTTAGGATACTGTAGATCATATTGACTAATCATGATTGGATTCTAACAATGATACCAAACATTACAACTTAACTGAAAAATGAGCCTACACTGTTTCACATTGTTGTTGGTGTAATTAGTGAATTATTAAGGGAAAGTCAAATTTTGAAGCAAAAAATACTTCATTATTGAACAACAATGAAGTCTTGTTTCCAGTGTATTGTTGTGACTTGAAATTGATATCTTAATTTTACATTTTGATTTCATTTGTTGTTTTGTGTTTAGTCTTTAAGGTTGTGTTTTCTTTTGTGAATTTCAACTACTTTAATTCATCAAATATCTACAATTATACTTTCAACTCAACGGAACTTATTGAATAATGGTTAAACGAAAATCTCGAAGTCGATCTCATTCGCGTTCTCATTCCCGTTCACCAGCAAGCAAGGAACGTGAAACTGAAGATGTTGGCGTTCGTAAATCAAAAAGACGAAGTCGATCTCGATCTCGACATGATGTTGTTGAAATTAAAATTAAACCAAAAGACTCGAGTCCTGGCTCTGAAATGGAATCAAAGACTTTGAGTTCTGACCAGGGAAGTTCATCTACGGATTCAAAGGAGGAAAAACCTACTGTTAAAAAAGGAAGAGTAGGTAAACGAGGACGACGACGAGGTAGAGGACGTGGAAAAAAGTGATCAACTCACTATTCTCAAGAAAAATGATTTATATGAATTGAAATTATCTAAAATCAAATAAATAAAATTTATTGTTCCAATAATTATTATCAATGGACTGTCTTTATTACTGTTAAAAATACAATCTTTTTACTTTGACTTTTCTGATAATAAAAACTAGAAAAAAGGTTTTATTTCCCCGAAAGATGGAGCTGATTGTGATGAATGCTTTGCTTGGTTTGGATTCGATTTGTATTAGGGAAAGAATCAGTCTGTGAGAATCAGTTTACCTAATATTGTTTGTCTTTTCCTTTTGTCTTTTATGTTTCGTTTAATTGGTTATTTAATTTGAGTTTAAATTGGATCAAACAACTTAAGCGTTTAATCAACTTAATCAGTTAAAACCTGGTCAAAATGGCGGATTTAGAAGCGGTTTTAGCTGATGTTAGTTATCTGATGGCGATGGAAAAATCAAAGTCAACTCCAGCCGCACGAGCCTCCAAAAAGATTGTCTTACCCGATCCCAGTGTTCGAAGTGTAATGCACAAATATTTGGATAAAATGGATGAAATATCCTTCGATAAGATATTCAACCAAAAATTAGGTTTTTTGTTATTTAAAGATTTTTGTGAAAATGTATGTGACGTTGCTGTACCACAGTTAAAATTTTATGAAGAGGTAAACACAGTCATTTTGCTCTTTCCCTCTCTGTCTCTCTCTTTCTTCTCTAGTTCTGTCTTTTTGTTTTTCTTTCTTTTTTTCCTCTGTTTTTGCCATCTTGATTTGATATTGTTATATTTTTTCCTCTTTCTTTGCTTAACAATCCTTTCCCAAAAAATTATTTAACTTGTCTTAATGACCTTGAGAATATTAGTAACACTCTCCCAACTTAGCACTCATGAAAAAGTGAAACTGATGCCTAGTTATAGGGGCAGTGTTTCGAAAGCTTCTTGACAATCCCCTCAATTGATACTAATTCAATGAAATAAGACTCGGAAGTAAATTTTCACGGAAACCTCTGCTCTGGTTTAGATTGAATTGTTAATCATTGAAATGATTAATCTGATGTGTGAATAAGGGGGTGAACCTAGAGCCACTGAGTCATGTCAAACGGCTTTCTGAGCATCGCCGAATTGTTGCTCTTTCTTCTTTTCTTATCCATTGCTTTACTATCTTACCTTTTCTTTCTCTTTGTCATAATTTACTATTTACTTATCAACCGTAATCAAAACTACTTTTTTAATCATGACTCTCATTCATTTCTTGTTCTCTTTTTTCTATCATTTCTCTGTTCAATCCATCATTTCGTTTGTGATTTCTTCCGGACTTTGGGCAACTCTATTCGTCATATGATTCCAACGCACATTTCAAACAACAAAACTTGACCAACATTCCATCATCGACTTATGCTTTACACTATGTTCAACATGCCTCACTCTTCAATGTCAACTTGATTGTGGAAATTCGTTCTATGGTTTATTTCATTCCAATGGCTATTTTTCATGTGATTTTATTAATGTTCAATTATTAATCGTGTGTTTATTGGTTTGCTGAATCATTCAACATTATCATAAACATCATTACAACAACAACAATCATTATCAACATCCTTCGATTCCATTGCCATGATTATTGCTATTCTGTGCCCATGGCTATATGAATTACTCTATCATGTTGAACTTGTTATGCCCAAAAATCTGCATCAATTTAATAAAAGATTAAGAGGTATGAAGAATTGGAGACTGTAGAGGAAAGGCGGAAAGCCGCCCGAGGAATTTATGACAATTTCATAATGAAAGAACTCTTATCACATTCGCATAATTATCCTAAAGAAGCGGTTAATCATGTACAAAAATCTCTCATGAGAAATGAAGTTCCAGTAACTTTATTTCAACCCTACATCGAAGAGATTTTTAGCCAATTAAGAGGTGATATTTTTAGGAAATTTATTGAAAGGTACGTTTCCAGCAATTTATCTCTCACATTCTTGCCTCTCCTCCTATTTGACTTCACTTATCGTTTCTCTGTTAATCTGTCTTTTTCCTCTTTTTTTTCACCGTCTCTTTCAATGACTCTCGTAACCATTTATTTGATCCGAGTTATTTTAAACAATTTACTGTTAATAACCTTTAACGTTCTCGTAAATTTCAGCTTCATTTTTTTTCTGTGTCATCACAGAGGCTTTCTTGTTACTTCACCTTTCCAAGACTCATATCCATTTACAATTTATCCTTATTTTGCCACAAAACAATCAACATTATCACTATCTTTTAATACCACCCACCTTAGTGCCCTAAAATTGTTCAGTTTTGGTAAAAACTCTGACAATTCAATGGATTGCTTAGGTTCATGGAAATATTAATTGCTAACCTTGTTCATTGCATATGCTCTTGATAAGAAATGGAAATAGCTTGAGGGGAAAACTTCTCTTTCTTTCTCTTTTTTACTTTTATTCTAAACTCTATTATTATTATGATATAATAATCTACAGTTCATCAAGTAATACTCGACGAGTTGTTGCCATCTTTCTCTGAAAGATAAAATTTCTCCATGAAAGTATTCAAAATGTCATAAAATCAAATTGAATACTTTTCTCTCTTTTTTTATTTCAAATTTTGATTAATATGTATTTATTTGATATTGACTCTAGTACTAATTTGATTTCCTCGCATTTTTATTCTCATTTTTTTCTTACAGTGAAAAATTTACAAGATTCTGCCAATGGAAAAATCTGGAGTTAAACATTCAACTTACTATGAATGATTTCAGTGTTCACAGAATCATTGGTAGAGGTGGTTTCGGAGAAGTTTATGGTTGTAGGAAAGCAGATACTGGTAAAATGTAAGCAAACAAAGATATTGTCCATTAATCTAATATTTATCGATGTAAAATGTTGACTTTTACTCGAGAACTTTTTTATTCAATTATCCCTCTCCTACCCTTTTCTGTTGTTTTACTAACGAAACATTAGCCAATTGAGATATTTCATAATGTTTCTCTTATGTTCTAAAATCACCAATCAACCCAAAAGACCTAGTTTTCGAGTTATATTTATGTATATTTATATATTTAATTATTTATACTCTCTTTATCATCTCTCTATCATTCCATTTTAGGTATGCCATGAAATGTTTGGATAAGAAGCGAATTAAGATGAAACAAGGAGAAACCTTAGCTCTGAATGAGCGTATAATGTTATCTCTAGTCTCTACTGGTGTAAGTATTAACTTTTATCTTGATTTACAACCTAGTTCATTGTTTTTTCCCATCTTTATTTCGCTCCTCGAAAACTAAACCATTCTTTAAGTTTATTTTCATTCTATTAATCTGTACTTCTTTTTTAAATCGCAGGAAGACTGTCCGTTCATTGTGTGTATGACGTACGCCTTCCAAACACCAGATAAATTATGTTTCATACTGGATCTAATGAATGGTGGTGATCTTCATTATCATCTCTCTCAACATGGTGTCTTCAGTGAACAAGAGATGAGATTTTATGCTGCCGAAGTCATCCTTGGTCTTGAACATATGCATAAGCGTTTTGTTGTATACAGAGATCTCAAACCAGCCAATATCTTATTAGATGAACATGGCCATGTTCGCATATCCGATTTAGGACTGGCCTGTGATTTTTCTCGCAAAAAGCCTCATGCCTCCGTAGGAACTCATGGTTATATGGCACCTGAAGTATTATCTAAAGGAACAGCTTACGACTCAAGTGCAGATTGGTTCTCTTTAGGTTGTATGTTGTACAAACTATTGAAAGGTCATTCTCCCTTCAGACAACATAAAACTAAAGATAAACACGAAATTGATCGTATGACCATGACAATGAACGTTGAGCTTCCCGATTCCTTTTCTCTCGAATTAAAATCCCTTCTAGAAGGTTTACTTCAGAGGGATGTCGATAAAAGGTTAGGATGTAAAGGGGGAGGAGCAGACGAGGTAAAAGAGCATCCATTTTTTAAAGGAATCGATTGGCAGTTGGTCTACCTTCAAAAGTATCCACCTCCCTTAATACCTCCCAGAGGTGAGGTTAATGCTGCTGATGCCTTTGACATTGGCTCATTTGATGAAGAAGACACGAAAGGAATCAAATTAACTGATGCTGATCAGGATCTGTACAAAAATTTTCCTGTTGTAATCAGTGAACGATGGCAGCAAGAGATCTCGGAAACAGTATTTGACACCATTAATATTGAAACAGACAAAATTGAACAAAAACGCAAAGCCAAATTAAAATGTAGATTTGAAGATGAAAAGGAATCAGATTGTATACTTCATGGTTACCTTAAAAAACTTGGCGGACCTTTTGCCTCTAATTGGCAAACAAGGTACGGTAAACTTTACCCCAATCGACTTGAACTTCATAGTGAATCTGTCAACACTAAGCCCGAACTCATATTTATGGATCAAATTGAAGACATCTCACCAGAATATGTTCAAATTAAAAGTGAAAACTCAATTATTCTCAAGTTAAAAGGTGAACCTGGAAAAGATGCCAAAGTTGTGTTAACAAATTCTGATGAAATTGGACTCAAAGAATGGTTACACTCTCTCAAATCAACTCATAAAGATTCTGTTGAGCTTCTCGGAAATATGGCCAAAAAAGCTACCAAAATTTACGGAGCTGAAAATCGTACAACTCCATCCAATATATCTTCTGGGCTTAACACTAGCTCTTCGGCAGCTCATCATGCCACTAGTGTTTTAAGTAATCGCAATAGCAATTGATTTGTTACAATCACATTTCAATGCTCATTAAAACACAGATACTTACCGGTTATTAGTTGCTAATGGATTACCAAATCTAAGCATACTGACTCATTTGAACTTAAATTGAACCAAATCAAGAAAATCATAATTTACTTACACGCAGCTGCCCCGCCCAGTCGAAGACATCCTGATAGAAACATGCACACACATACAACTCACAAATCAACATTCACTCACCTCTTTTAGAAAGAAATACACTCTCATTTATTCATAAAAAAAACGCAGAGAGGTTACCCTTTAAAGCAAACTATCATCATCTTTTCCTGCTTCTCTGTGTACCTGATTCTCATCTTGAAATTGACCATCTTCGTCCCATCGCAACGCCACTCTCAGTTATATGGTGATAAATGTTTCAACTACATTATCATCCCATGTTCATCACTGCAATCATAATCATCTTTAACATTTCTTACCGTTCACGCATTTCATTGAAAAAAGCATTCTGACGCCCATTTCGCTCTGTTGTGCGCTTTCATTCACTTTCTCATCAATCCTGTTTTATGTATCTCACCTTTTCATCCTCTCCTATCCAACTTTTTTTTGGTAACCATAATTTTACATGCAATGTGAAACACGGATATCCAAAGAAAACCAAAAGTGATGTTATAAAAAGGAACGAAACAACCCTAATCAAGAAAAGTGAACTAAAGGTAGAGATGATTTTGAGACAAACAACAAACAAACATACAAACAAAAAGCCTAATCGATCTCACTCCATTAATTCTTAATTTTAACATTACTCTTTATACTCATCCATCCTTGCCACATCGGCCGTCGGCTCTCCTAGGCCATCCGGATAGAGAGATCTGTATATCTTGATAATACATGTATAAATATACACAAGAGGCAGAACGCTTCATTTTTGTGATTACAAGCTACTTCATCGTTTTGGTTGTTAAACTTTTTTTTTCTTTCTTTTCTTTTCTTCTTGACTTATTATTTTATTTTTCATGTGAAGATGTAATTTCAAAGAGCCTGCGTCCTATCAAATCGAGTTTGTTTTGTGCTTTTTGTTTATGTTTATGTTATAGAAATGAATCACATTTTGATGTCTTTTTTTCTAGAAAAATAAGAAGGCAAGAGAAACAAAAGTAACAAAGAAAAGCAAAAGAATTGAACAACTTAATGTCAATTAACTGTTTTCTATGTCGCACCAACTGAATAATACAAAATAATTATGATAATTATCAACAACTGGCTCTGCGTACAAATATAACCTCAATCTCATTTTGTATTATATTTAAAAGTATTTGATCGAAACAGATGAATAATTTGCATAAAGATGATTGCTTAGACTGACCATGAATCATTCATATCAGATGCCCAAAATCCATCATCTTTCAGTCAAATAATTATAAGAATAATAAGATCTGAACAAGTGAAGCTGAACCAGAAACAAAGAAGCAAAACAAAAAAAGTAGACGATATTCAGAAAATTAGTGAACTGTTTACAATTAAATGAAAACAAAAAGTATTCTTGATCATCAATCAATTCTGAGACTACGGTCATGAAAAAAAACAAGCATAACATCTGATCCAGAAAAGTTGATTCAATTCAATTCTTTTCTACTTATTAATGCTAACTAATTTTAATAATTTACCATTCAAATTACTTCTTTTTTTTCTGTCTTCTCCTCTTCCCATGTCTATCAGCCAATTTACTTTCAATGGGTTTTCCTATTTTCATTTTAGGTTCATTTTAATTTTGACTGTCCATAGTTAATAGTGTTAGTTAACTATTAGGTTAATAACTCCATTTGATAATTGATCAAACCAATTTGTCCATAAAACAAATAATGAAACAAAGCAACCAATTAACCAACTACAGGATAAAAGTAATTGAATCAATCAAGGCCCAGATGTAATGCAGGATAAACCAAACCAAAGGTTTTTAATTGTAAATCTCAAATTTGTTCAATTAAGCCAAACTTTAAACCTTCTGTAACTATCTTTGTAACTCTAAAACCTTTCAATCTCTTAACCCATTGTTATATCCTTACTTGTAATTGTCCCGTAATGTCTGTCCATCTATCCTTGAATATGTCCATATCTGTCTGTCCTCCGTCCCTCTCTATCTCTCTTTCACCACCAAACCTCAGTTTATCGTCCTTTCAGTTGATTATTGGAAGATTTTTGTTGATGGTCATCAGTTAATTGCTAAATTGTTGTTCTTTCCAGCAAAAAAAGAACCAATTCTTTATATTAATGTTAATATTGCAAACCTGAACCTTTTTTTGCTACTTAGCTTTGCAATTGATTCATAAACTCATCAGGACTCCACTTTTTTTACTTGTTATCCATTACCCATTATCAACCCAAAACTGTATGATTTAACCTTTAATTGTAAAGGTTGCAGATTGAGTGAACAAATTGAAAGTCTTGAAACAGGTACAACAATTGAAATTGCTCCTTCCTTTGGAGTGATTATTTTAAATCCATTAGAAGCCAAAAATTTGTGTAAAAGCCTTTATCTTCCTCAATCTGTTTCAACCTTTTTCCTCATCTTTACATTTCTGATGATGATGTTTTATTGACTCATCTGAACAATCAACACGTTCACAAGTTGCGTTAAATTGAAAATGAACATCACCAACCATGACCTTCGATAAATGTCTTCCAATCCAAGGAATGTCCTTAGCTTTCTAACTAAATATCATAAATGATGATCATAATGATAACTAACAATAATACATTCCCTAGATCCTTTAGTTTACTTACTTATTGATCAACATTGTAACCTTTAACAAGTCAACTACCTCTTTTTGCCAACTCTCACCCCTTTTCCTTCTCCTCCTCTTCATCATCAAACTGTTGCTCTTCTTTTTCTTCCTTTACTTCCTTTTATTCTTCCTCCTTTTCATCCCACCTTCATCCGACTCTCTCTTGTCATCTTTTTTTGTTGATGTCTCTATCTCCTGTTAACCCTTGATTCCAGACTTTTCACTGTTTCTTTTTGTACCTGCTTCTCTGGACTAATTCAATTCTGATTACTATTTCAATGTTATCACTCAAATTATCATGAAAAAAACAGAAACAAAACCTGAATGGAATCCAATTCTATTGTATAAAAATAAAACTCAACAAGCTTTTTTCTCATAAAAAACAACAACCAAAAGTAAAAACTCGTTAAATAAAAAGCAAAAGTAATACAATCTATTTCAATTGATTTTCACCCATTTTTTATTGTTTCATTTGTTACTTTACATTACCAGATAAAATAATTTTAATCAATCATTTAATTTGCCATTAAATCTACCATGAAATTTACCATTTCATTAACCATTTTAACCATCAAGATCAGGTTAGCAATCAACTGTGAGTTGTGACAACCTTTAACCATTGCTCATAAGAAGTAAACCATTTCCAGAGAAATTGGAATCTTCTTCTTATTTTTTGGTGAAACAATCAGCAATTTATTAAGTGTGTTTCGAGGAAATGTTCATTCTATTAACAGAATGGCCAGATAATTTAAAAATAATGTCTTTCTTGCGTTTCATTTTTAGTTAATCATGTAATCTCTCATTGAATCCAAACCAAACTTGGATAGACAAGTTGTTTTTTGTATTTAAGTTCAGGTAAACTTTCCCCTCACACATCATCAACCTTTCCGAGCAATCTATTTTAGATTTTATTAATTTACTTAAAAATACTGACTGTTTAACATATTCTATTAACCTACCGTTAATAAGATCTTACATTTAATAATGACTTCTTAATTGTTAACCATTATTTGTCTACTTCTTGTTCTGGTTCTTCTTCTTCTCCTTTTTTCCCACCTTTTCTTTCAGTCTTCACCTTTCTCCTCCTTTTTTCGGTTTTGTAGTCGTTATTATCTTCCATTTCTTATCTATTGAAGCAACACCAGAAGATCGACTGCAAATATAAATTGAAATTGTCTTTAGTGTCTGCCTGACATCACAGTTTAAGCAGAAACAGCAAACAGTTGAAATCGTCATCGTTCATATTATTTTTGCAAACTGGTAATACGGTTAAACGCTTTCAAGTTAACAATACAAGAGAAGACCGTTTTGTGTTTTTGTTTAACTCAGCTCATTTTGAACAGTTAAACATTGCCATCTCATCAAATATGTCTGAAAAAAGTGAGGAAATTGTTAAAGGTGAAAATTCAGAGGAAATTAAAAGTAATACTGATGTAGTGACTGGTTATTATGAACAAGATGGATACAAAATTCATTATGAAAAAGTTGGTCATGGAGATTGTGTTGTTTTTATGTTTCCTGGAGCTTGTGGTAAGTATAAATGTTAAATTTCATCCATTAATGCTTGATAATTTGTTTTGTCTACCATTAAATCAACAAATAACACTTCAATATCGATCTTCTTTTTTTCTTTCCTGAACATTCAGTCATCCATGTAAATTTGAATGATAGCTATTGCTTCAAGTGCAACATCAAGTGTATAAATTTTCCTTTTCCTCATTGCAAACAATTATTAACATGGAGAGAAGCAAAAATTGTGAAAAATTTCGCTTAAGAAAAAGTATTTGTTATTGATTATTATTCTGCAATTTATTTCCTCTATTAGGTCATTCAAGAGCTGACTTTGGACCTCAACTAGATGGTTTTGACAAAGATAAATTTACTCTGGTTGCTTGGGATTCACCGGGTTTTGGGCTGAGCCGACCACCTGAACGTGATTATCAAAAACATGCAGAGGAGAAATTTTTTTACCAATATGATGCTGAAACTGTTGTTAAATTGATGGCAGTATGTTTATAATTTGACTCTCTTTTTATGTTCTGCAAACAATTTCATGATCAAAATGAATGCTTAACCTGGTATCCTTGAATATGATGAAAAGGATGGAAAGAGATGATGAAAGTATAATCAAAACGTGATGAGACTGAATACTTATTACCTAGTCAAATGTTGTTTTTATTTTTGGAATAGTGATATAACAATTTGTATTCGTGCTTCATCTTTCCTCTCATCATTCAGTGAATTAATTTGCAACTCTGTTCACCAACTGACAACTAAGTGGGTTAGCGTTGATGATCACAATTACCTTTTGCCTCTTTACTGTCCATAATTTGAAACCCTTAAACAGTCTTCCTGACAATTTAGATGAAGATATTTTCATGGTAAACTTGAGACTTGCTCAAGTACCAGTGAGTGTTATTTCAAATTATCAAATACCTAAGCAAATCAGAATACTTGTCATCACCCAGAACGTAATTGTCATCTCTAAAGTTCTGCTTTACTTAATCAGCAGCTTTTGAAAGTCACAGCTACTTGACAGTGTTATCGTTTAATTTTTAATCCTCCATCAACCTTGTTGCCTTGCAATCTACAAATGATCCAGTGTGATTTATAAGTCCATTGGGTTATTTAACTTTCAATTCAAATTACAATTCACTTTATAAAATCTTAATATAGACAATTTCAAGCTTTGAGAGAATTACAATTCTTAATAATATCCCATCAAGCTAAACATCAATTAACTAATGGACCAGGAATTAACAGTTCAATAACCTAAACCATGTGATTTCAATATTTTTTAGCATCTCCAAAAAAAGTTGAAAGCTGAATATAGCTACCTTTTATAAGCTAAATACCATTCAGGTAAATCTATAACTTATTGAGAATCACAGTTTCATTCATTGTAGAGTATTTTATCCGTTCACTTTGATGGTTCCCAAACAGGAACAATTGAACGCTCGTAAATTGTACATCATTAGCTTGTCTCTTTTTTTGTTCAATAATGAGTTAACTTATTCAATCTTATTTAAATCTTTATCTTTACTTCATTTAGCATTTAGGTTATGACAGTTTCTCTGTGATGGGATGGAGTGATGGCGGTAAATCAGCCTTGCTTGTTCCAATCTTGTTTCCAGCTAAAGTCGAGAAGCTAGTAGTTTGGGGAACTCTGGCATATATTCCTGAAAAATATAAAGTCATGTGGAGGATTCTTTGCACATTGGAGATGTGGGAAGAGGCGCGAAGGAAAGAATATATTAAACTTTATGGAAATCGAGAGACACTTGAAAAGATTTGGTACAAACACATGAGCTATACTTACACTACTACAGATATTTGTAAGGACAGGGTAAAAGAAATAAAATGTCCAACATTTGTCCTTCATGGGAAAAAGGACACTATGATTCCAAAGGAATTCTTTGATCATTTGGTTGCAAATATTCCTGATGTTGAGTCTCATCTGTTTCCCGATGGTGTCCATGATATTCATATCAGCCATGCTGAAACATTCAACAAAATGGTCCAACGATTTCTCTTGGATTGAAATGAAAGTACTTATTGTTTTACTTAACAAGAATCTGTAATGTTAAAATTACGTTTTTATACTCTTCTTATAAATGGTTGTTATTGAATAACGAGACGTTGTTTTTTGATTTAAAGCTAATTGTTATAAGGCTATTCGATTGGCAAATTATACATTACATCACAGTTAAATTGACAGGAGAGTAAGTGAATATTTTGAAAGAAAAAATTCCGTGAAATTCAAATCTTTCATTGATTCAATTAGAAATTTTTTATACAGATTTACAAATACCGTTTTGAATTCTAGAAATCATACAAAAAGAATCATCATTTCGACCTGAATGCAGCAAATGGGTCTGTCCAAGGCTTGAATCCACCTGGTTGAATAGCTTCCTTATCAATTCCTCGTCGGTTGATTGCTTGAATTTGCTCTGAAAAATAAACCAAAAACATAAGAACGTAAACATGATGAGAAGGACAATCAAAAAGGTGATTCACTCATCTACATATCAAAAAAATTGATAGACAAACAAGTGCAAGAAATAGCATATTCGTAAATTAACTACCTCTCAGTAATTAGTAAGAAAAAATGGCCTTACCATATTCAGATTTCCTTGATTTAGGATAAAAATAAAGTGGATAAGAAGACATTAAGATAACACCCGCAACTAGTAAAACCACATTTCGACTTTTACTTGTTTTGGCCCAAGATGAAGTTTTGATTGACATGACCAATACAAGTTTGTAATAACTGGAATAATCAACCAAAAGCAGAGATACACAATTGACAATATAATTAAAAAAACAGTTGAGTTGAAATGAAAACAAAACACGGAGTTGTAACAAGGTGAACAAACATTTACATTTTTATTGAATCCTCCAATGAGAGTCAAGCTTTACACATGTGTTCAATAAATTTCTGAAGTCCGCCAATCTTGAATGTTAAATAATAGATTAATTTGGATTAAATTCACCAAATGTCAAGTTGAATGGAAATAAGAATTGGTTTAATGAAGTCGTTAAAATATAAACAATTTTAGGTCAGAATACAAAAATTGAGAAAACTTGGGACTGAATACATGGATGGTTCTATTCATAATCACAAGATTCAAGTTCAGAAAGATTATGAAGGTTATCCTCGCCGACGATCGTACTGAGGATGAGGTTCTCTCTTATGATATGCTCCTTTTCCCCGCAAATCTGCAGAAGTCATGTGTAAAAATCGACCAAATGACACAAGAACAAATTGACTAAAATCTTTCAATGTTAACTGAATTTTTTTCATGACCTTATGCGGCGTCACACGAACTCTCTTGGATCCAACAGCTTTTCGTTGAGCTCGAACCATGATGTCAAGATTAATTACTATAACGGAAACCACAAAATCAAATAAACAATCAGAATTGAGGTGTTGTTTAATTAAACGATGAGTACAACGAACAAAACAAACGATGGACTGAAATGGACTTTTGTTCTAGAAAAGGTTCTTATTTATTAAGGTGAGTTCAAAGAGTAAAGGGAGTAGAGAGAGAGAGAGAGCAATTAAGATCAAAGAGTAGATTTTGATCTTTGATTAAGATTATGGTAATCCTTAATCTTTGAATTAAACAGGCTTTCTAATTGAAAATTTTTTTGGTGCCAGAAGATGGCGCGAGAAAGTGATTCTTCTTTTACTCTCTTTTCTCTTTCTTTTCGTCAATTGAATTAAAAAAATTAATATTAACATTAGAAAAGGCTTTTTGACTGTTTTTCAATGTTGTTTTGATTGATTTGAATGATTTTGTTGCTTATTTTTCTAATTTAAATGTATCATGATTAGCAGAAAAATGTCATTTTAACTACAGTAGCAAATCTAAACCCATCATGCAAAAGTCTACCAAAAAGTTTTTATCGTCATTGTATTACGGTCATTTGGGACAATTGTGATTAAAATAAATTTTTTATGTTAATAAATTCTGAATTCATTCATTTTACGGGTATCCACCTTCACATGACACTAAAAACGGATGGATAAGCAAACAGAACGATATAAGAATGGAGAAGCTTCTATGGGCTATGTTCAGAAGCATTGGTCACAATAAAATAAGATGAAATATATCTCTGCACTTTCCACCAAATCAAAAAAATCCCTCTCATCAACTGATTTCCGAATATGTTTTATGAATTTAAAACAGAATCCTATTCCTATTTTAATGTAATGCTACCTGAAAATGTATTTTTGAATTTCCCAAAATTTATTAAAGAAACCAAACTGGAGTCTGCGTACCAGCGAACACAAAACCAAGCTCCAATGTGCCTGCCACATGGTTTTGTTTTGTTCGTTGTACTTATCGTTTAATACCTAAATTTTGATTGTTTATTTAATTTTGTGGTTTTTGTTGTACTAATTAATTGTGGTATCATGGCTCGAACTAAACGAAAAGCTGTTGTTGGAGCCAAGCGAGTTTATATGACGCGGCGTAAGGCTATGGAAAGACTTCAGTTAACATTGAAAGATTTTAGGCGATTGTGTATATTGAAAGGTGTTTATCCAGTTGAACCGAAAAAATTGAAAACGGGAATGACCCGTGGTAAAACATATTATCTTCGGGATGACATTCGTTTTCTTGCTCGAGATCCAGTTATTTGGAAATTTTGGGAGTATAAAACGTTTCTTAAAAAGATGACCAAAGCAACGGCCAAAAAGAATGAGCTTACGTTACAAACTTTAAGAGACAATGCTCCTACTTATAAAATGGATCATATTGTTAAGGAAAGATATCCAACTTTTAATGATGCTTTAAAAGATTTAGACGATGCTCTCTGTATGTGCTTTCTTTATGCCAATTTCTCAAAAGTTAAAGGTGTCCCTGTTGAAATTGTAGATCTGTCCAGACGTTTAACATTGGAGTTTATGCATTATGTTATTGAGAGTCAATCACTACAGAAAGTTTTTATTTCAATCAAGGGCTATTACTATCAAGCCGAGATTATGGGACAAACAATAACTTGGGTTGTACCACATCAATTTGTTTTACAGGTAAGCATTTGCGATTGATAGAAATCGGCCATTTTCTAATCATCTTTTTATTTTCAGGCTCAGCCAGAAGTCGATATGAGAGTTATGCGATCATTTACCGAGTTCTATATTACTTTACTCGGTTTTGTCAATTATAAACTTTATTCTAGCATCAATATGTATTACCCTCCTAGAGTAAGTCAATTTTTATATCAATTTTTTGATTACCTTTATTCTAATGCATTTCAATTGTATCATTTTCATATTACAGCTTAGCCTTAAGAAAGAAACTGACAAAGATATGATTGTTGGAGAAGACAAACAACACGCTCTCTATGAGTATATTGGTTCACTGAATCGATCTTTACCTCGCTCTAAAACTGATGAAATTCCTGTGGAGAACAAGCCAGATGAGTTTGACGAAGAGGAAGCAGAAGAAAGCGACGACGAGAATGGAGATGAGCCAAAAGCCAAGAAAAGGAAAACAGTATCCTATCATAAAATGGTTAAAGAGCAAAATATCTTCAAAAATCTTAAATTTTTCCTTAATCGAGAAGTTCCACGCGAATCTTTAACTTTCGTGATAAGATCTTTCGGTGGACAAGTTTCATGGGATAAAACATCATTCGTTGGAGCTACCTTTAGTGAAGATGACCCATCCATTACGCATCAAATTGTTGATAGAGAGGTTATACCTAACAAATATATGAATCGATATTACATTCAACCACAATGGGTTTACGATAGTGTTAACGCCCGTACCTTGTTGCCTGTTGAAAACTATTTCCACGATGTTATCCTTCCACCCCACCTTTCTCCATTTGTGGAGAATACCGAAGGTGGTTATGTCCCGTCTGATGTTTCTTACCAACAAAATCTTGCTTTTGGTGAACGTAAAGTAGACGAAGAAGAAAATGAAGAAGATGAAAGTGAGCCCGAGTCAGAAGAAGAAGCTGTGGAACATTATGAAAAGGATCTTAAGATGAAAGTTAAGGCCGGTAAAGAAGAAAAAGTAGACAAAAAACGTAAAGAGGAACTAGAAAAGGCTGAAGAGAAGAGGATGGCAGTCATGATGATTCCAAAGAGACGCAAACGACTTTATGATAAAATCATGTATGGTAAACGTCGTAATATTAGGAATACTGAAAAACTAAAAGAAAAACGTGAAAAATACGAAGCTTCTCAAGGAAAACAAAATTTCAAAGGCAAGAAAGCAATAAGAAAAAAACGCCAAGATTAGTTATGGATTTAAAAGTATCATTTCAAATTTTTGTGATTTCAAACTCGACCAATTTTCATCAAAATCAATATGCGAGTGAAACCCGAAAATAACATACTGATTCGCTGAAGTAAATTAAAGCATGGCTATGTTGTTGATTAAAAGTGATATTTGGACTGTGAATTATCTTGATCAATTTCAGATGTCTAATTTTATTTCTGTATAAAACATGGTTGATGTAAAAATTACAATTTATTTGGTACCTAAACGTTTACCGATCAAAATAAACGGACATTATTCATCTACAACTGTTGACTTTCAGAAATCAAAATCTGTGTACAATCTAACGATTAAACTCTTCCAATAGTAATAACAACATGAATCAAAAATGCTCATCAATAATAGCTCATGCAAAATTGATTAGTGAATCCGTTGATAAATTAGATTACAATTTACCCATTTAAAAAAGATACATATGGTTATTAAAATCATCAATTGTGATTGAAGTTATTAAATAGAGTTTATATGTCATCTAAGCATGATTAATAAAGCATTTCAAATGCAAATCCCATCAGTGAAAGAAAAGAGATTTTAATGTTAATATACTTTTTAATGATGAAAATTATCGATTAAATTAGTGTGTTGCTAAGACATCTTTGTCAGACTTTTCATAGAAACCTAATTTTTCACCAATCAATTTACCTCTAAACCAAATAGATTGAAAACAATTTGCAATTATCGTCATCACAATCATAAAATAATATATTTTAATGATTAGTATTTAGTTTTACAAAGCTAATTCATTTTCCTGTTCACACACTTTCAAAACACCAATCAAACAAACAAGAAGCAAAGCAGGAACCAAATGAGCCGGCAAATTAAATGTTGATTGTTTTTGACAAGTTCAAAGCTGCACAACTGTTATCAATTTGTTGCCTGAGTAGAGTGAATTTATCTTGTTTTTGTTTAAATTTTAGGGCAATTAGGGACACAAATAGTCCAACAATAATAAGACCAAGAATGGTCCATGATTAATCTGATAAACTATGACAATTGATTGACCAAACTAATGATGAAATTGGAAGCAACCCAAAGCATGAAAATCAATTGATTTAACCAAATTAATCAAGATACTGTGAAAAAGTAATGACGAGGGAAATGATCAAGATGATGATCGTCGTAATCATAATGATGATGAGGGTGAAAACGGAAGAGATGATCAAGTTGCGAATTTTGGCAGAAGAAAAAAAACCAATTACAGAGCTAAGCTTCTCTAATAATCTGATTTAGAGGAAAAGTGGAACAAGCTGAGAACGGAAAATGAAAGTGATTAAGACGGTGAAGGCTAAAGTTATGAAAATGACCCCGGGCAGTTACATGATAATCAAAAACTGCAAATCAACAATCAACCTCCTTCGTCTCCTCCTTCATTACCCTTGCTCAATTAAAGTCAATAACATTGCCGCATCTTCATTGATCTTGTCTGTCCAAGGTATAGTCGTTTAAACAGATTATTTACCTTCATCGTCTTGACCTATCTGTTTGGATACAAAACACTGTTTGTGCTTGTTGTGTCAACATCAACATTTAATTGTCAAATTTATCAACAAACTGTTTCTTTTAATGTGAATAATGACAATGGTTTTGTGATTTGGATAAACACGGTTACTTAAAATTTTCATTGATACAAATATAATCATTTTGGACACTTAAATCACTACAAAATGGAGGTAAGTTGATTATTTATTTGTTTTTGATTCTATGATGCTATTTCAAGCTTGATTATCTTTGAGTAATGGCTGTAAAAAAGCTTAAATTATTGAACAATTCAGTGTTATTAGTGTTGAGCATGAGATGAAATATTCCTGGAAAGTTGCTTTGAAAATGGCAAATTTGCATGTCGACTAAATTTATCATTAGCTTCATCTGTTTTCATTTATTGGCTTATAAAGTCATCAATTTATTGATTGAGATAATTGCTCAGCTTAAATTACATTATAAAGAAACATAAAATTAGACATGGAGATGAGTGATCAGATAATTTTACATCGATTATCTTTATTGTTGCACGTCAATTATAATTTAACTCTGTTTTATTTTCTCTGTTATCTTTTTACAATTGTTAATTTTGGATCCAATTTCCAGTTATCTTTATTATTATTTATCAGCATTGCCTTGATTCCATTGTATGTTGATTCCAGCTTAAATGTGAAAGTAGGTGTTAAATTACCCTCCATTAATGTCAAGATTCCTCGAATTAAGCTACCAACAATTAAAATAACCACAGTTATCAAACACAGTCGCTCTAAAAAACCACTCAACATAAAACTTCCAGCTATATCTTTTGATACTGAAACTGAGAAAGATAAAGATGATTGGTGGCAATCAACTCCAGAACCATGGGGTGAACCTGAACCTGAACCCGAATCAAACTCAGGTTGGGAAAGTGATCCATGGGCAGCATCAGGAGATGATAAAGCTTCTTCTGAACACGAACAGATTGATAAATGGTTGGCCGAGAAGCGAAAAAAGGGAATCGAAAAACTGACAGATGGTTGGAATGAAGTTAAATATGATCCTTGGGCATCAACAGAGGATCGATCAACCAAAAGTGGCCACTCAGAAGGGGACAGTAAAAGCGACAGACCCCAATATCCACCTTATCCTTACCCAGCTTACCCTTACAGTGGCTGGCCCACTGGAGGTTGGTCAGGCTGGGGTGGCTGGTCACCTCCTGGAGCATCTTGGTCAGGTTGGTCGTGGCCATCCTATCCTGGTCCGACTACAACACCAGCTCCAACAACTAAGGGTGAAAAGAAAGAGGATCCACCAAAAGATGATGATAATTAAGTTTTCAGATAATGATTAACTAATTACTATTTGTATATTTTGTAAAAACATAGGAAGCTACTTAAGATTAGCTTCATAGTATTATTTTCAATTTACTTTTCATTTTCATAGCACTTTTAACCTCTCTAATCAATTTTGATCTTGTTTTTGGACTAAATGACTTCACTAATTGATCCAAATATCCATAATAATTTCCTGAAATTAATGGTAATCAAATGGACCTGACAGTGACTGGTTAAACAATATCACTTTTTCACGTCCAAATGAATGTTAACTTTCACTTCCGTTTAATGGTTACATCTTTTATGGCCTGAGGTCAGTATAACGTTACTTTCAATTTCAGTCAAATTAGGAAATCAGAAAATGTGCAATTCAACGATCTTTTCATCAATTAATCTGATGAATGTTGATGCTGTCCAAACTCAAGGATCTATTGTTTTTCCTTGTATAAATCATTAGATTGATAATGTTTTTATCCAGATGTTTCAAACTTTTATAATATTAATATTTTTCATGTATTCATTGGAAATTAATTTGACAATGGGACAACTCCTTAATAGCTTTTTTACCAAATAAATAAAATGTTATGAAACTCTTATTTTTTCACGTATAACTTTGTTATATTAAATTTTTAGATAATAATATTATTATCGAGCTGATTTACAAATACAGTGTTATGAATTACAGAAATAAACCCCTTAATAATTAAAGGATCGAGAAGTATCGAAAGACAAAAGAGGCGAACGTATTTAACAATTTGACTTAGAAATCAATACAAACAAGGAACCAAACAAAAAATAAAGACATCAAGACTCGTTGGGAAGAATTAAGGGGAAAAATTAAAAATTGATACTGATTGTTTTGATTCTTCTTGAGTTTGTGTTTTAACATACAAACGAGGAAAAGGGAGAAAGTTGAAGATAAAGTAGTAAATTTTATCACCAAAGGTGAGAATCATCAACGAAAAAAAGATCCGTTTGAATGTTTCTTGATTTGAAGCAATTAAAAATAAAAACAAAATTAAAATGAGCATTGATAAACATGTTGATCATTATTTCAATTTTTTCGATGATCCAAAAGCCAATGTAATAATTATTTGACTGAAAATGGAAAGCAGCAAAAATCCAATAATCATTTTAATTTGATGAGAGTTTCCCAAGACTCCGATAATCTCTGAATTGTTGGCTGAATGAGAGGGTTGAGTCGATGATGTTGTTTGTTTGATTTTCATTTGTTGGACTATTTGATTGGCGGTAATTTGCTTTTCTATAGAGCATAATTTATCATGTAAGGTATCCAATTTATTAACAAGTTGTTCAATTTGATTTTTTCCTGTTAAAATCGTATTACCGTCAGCTCGATTTTCTAGGTGTGAAGTGGAAACTTGAGAAGCGGAACTGTGTTCACTTCCTAAGCTTTCAGTTTTTTGGTCTCTTGGCGATTTAGGGGATCGGTGAGTAGCTAATCGAGCAACAGCTAATGGATTATCAATAGAAACAACAGAGCTTGTACGACAGGCAACAGTTGGAGTTTTATGTCGAGTTTTGGTTTGAATTTGAAAGTTTCTTTCGTATTGCAAGACGTCAGTTCTTGGATCCCATGGACGTGAATCAAGGTATCTATAAATCCATTCACCGTTGCATAAATCTTGAATAAAATTGCGAGCATTCCAAGATTCTTTATTAATTAGACGTTCTCGAGCTTCTCGTCGCTGTTCTTCTTCTAGTATTGTTTTTTCCTCGGTTGCCGCAATTTGATCACCATTGATTATTGCATTAGTTACATTACGCCACATTTTTTCTGATTCAAAATCTTCTTGAGAATCCAATGGAACCAAATGTCGTTTCAATCTAGCATTTCTAACATCGGATGTCACTTCCCAGAGAATCGACTCTTGTCCTGTACGTTTATCTTTAACTTTTATTAATGTATCCCAATGACCATCTAAAGTGCACAATGTTTCTTTACCAAGTTTTATTTTGCCGACAACGTTATTGCATAATTCGGACCCTCCAAGGAATGGTTTCAGTTTAAATTCCATTTCCGTACAATAGCCTGTTTTTTCACATTTTATGTCAACTTTACCTCCCAGTTCGAGGCTTAAAGTTCCCATCAAAATTCCTTTACAGTGAGCATAGGGCATAGTTAGAGTATAATCTTCACCTCGATTTAAAAAGGTCAATTTAGCAGTTCCATTTAATATTGCAGATACTGAGTTTCCATAAAACTTTGATTTAGCGAGTATACTTCCTGATATACAGTAGCCATCTTTCCTGTTAGTGACATAGAAAGTACTAATTGGTGGATGATGTGACACTTGCTCGGAAATGTAGAAAGTCCTACTATCAGTTTCAGGATGAGCCCAGTAACAGCGGAAACATTCACCTAAAATGGGGTTATAGGGCTTTTTCAAGCCTTTAGGTTTCTTATAGAAACCAGAAAGATACCATTTGACCACTTTCTTCATACGAATCAATGGATCCTCTTCAAGAGCCGCTTTGGAAAGAATATCACAGTGGTAATAATAGTCACTTAATTTATCTAAAAATGATCGAGGTTCTAAAATGAAGGTAGGTAGTACAACTTTGGATAAATCCATCCCCGGTCGAACTTGTTTTAGTAAACTCCAAAGAAGTGATTTGTTCTCTTCAGCTACTTCTTCAGTTTGACATTCTTCCCCCATGGTGGAAACATCCTCTGTAACCTCCTCAACATATACAGTTTCAATCACAGAGTCTTCAACTTGGTTAACACTGTAAACGAGAGATCCCCCAGAAGATTGCTTAATAGCTCGCGATGGATGTGGATCTTGAATGCTAACTGTGCTAGAATCTGAATCAGTCGAATGGTGTCCTTGTGATGCTGTTTCAGTGTTTTCTTCGTGATCTGTTTGGGTGTCATCTTCTAAATCATGATCTTTGAAGTGTCGCTCAATTTCACTTTCATCTAAATCCAATTTGGCTGAACTTGGCGGGGAACAGTCTTCTGCGGAAGAATTAAAATTGCTCAAAAAAGAATTAAGGGCGTCTCGAGGATTACCACCACCTCTCATTAATACAATGGAGCAATTGAGAGAAACTTCAATAGCTTTCATCCAATTGAGACCAGCTTGTTCAGATGAGGCTCTAAAAATTAAATAACTCATCGGTAAAGGTTGAACGATGGCACCGAATGATTCACCTCGCGGACCACGAGGAGCCCATATTGTTTGATCGAGTGGGTTGAAAAGTTTAAAACAGAAACCATCTTTTTTAGAGGGCCTCTCAATTATTTCACACATATTAAGAAGAATAGTTCCAACCCAATAACCACTTTTATGGGTTTTAGCATTTTTGTACAAAACCAAAAGACCAGGTTTAAGCTCACAATATAGTTTTGTCCAACTTTTTAGAGTTCCTCTAACTTTTAACCAGTCTGCCATCACTAGAACAGTTGGATCATTGAGAATAGAAAGCAATTCTTCGACAGCCTTCTTCTTCTGTTTTTGGTACAATCTTTTACTGTCCTTATAGGAATCTCGTTTGACTGTTCCAACTGGAATCGCCTCATAACCCAGGTTACAGGTTGTTGAGGTGGGAGTAGTTGGAGATAATGGATCTCCTGCATTGTTCGAAGAAATAGAAGAGGTTGACATAGTTGTCTTAAGAGATTGATGGGTATGAGAATGTGATGATGAGTGAGAATAATGACTGCTTGTAGGGTTCAGGTTGATATAATGATCTTTGTTGTCCACAGCTGGCTGTGGCGGTGATGGTGATAATGTAGTTTCGTGAGATGTAGATGAAGAGGTTGATGCTGGAGCACCATTACCTGTTCCACCATTTGAAGCCATATTAGGTTTTAAAAATGGATAGTTTAGCTTTGATCACAAATAAAGAAACAGAAAAGATATTTCTTCAATATTTCCTGTTTTCACAGAACAAAGGGGTGATAAATATCAGCCAGGGTGATTGATGCAAGTATATAATAGTCTAGAATGAGCGAAATAACTCATCCTCGACCAAGGAAAACAAATTTATACCAATGATTATTAAAGACTAGATCTAGAAGCAGAGAAAGTGTTAAAAAATAAAAGCAAAATTAGACACAAAAATAAGATTAAGGAAAATTAGCAATTTTAAATAACAAAGCTTAAATGAACAAAATTTAGGCAACAAATGAGAAAGAATGAAACATAAAACGTACCTTGGAGGAGATTGGTGAATAAAAATTAATGATTCTTGACAGGCAATAACAAAAAATATAAGCAAAGGTAATTAGAAAGAGAATGTGACAATCTTGATACGTCTGATGTTAATGTAAACGCTGATGTTATGAATTTACTGATGATGATGATGATAATGACAATGACAATGATGATAGAGATGATGATGATGATGATGATAAAAGGTGGTGATGATAGAGGTAAACTAAAATGAAAAAAAGTAATCCGTATAGATTAACGTAATCAGATCATATGATTCAAATTCATGAAAGCAACTTGAGCATGCTCAAAAATCCAAAGCTCACAAACTTCAAAGCTATTTTTGAAGTAATGTTAATTATCAGAGTATCAGTTAACACTAAGCTAAATTAATTATCACAATAAACATCAAGCCAATCAATTAACAATTTTAAATAAAATAAAGGAAGTAAACTCACTTTAACAAAACTTCTTTCACATTTGTCATCACACCATAACAACAACAAACACAACAACCTTTTCAATATTTTATCTCAACCAGGTGGAGACTCGACAAAATATACATTTTCAACATCTTCCTGAAAAGATTCCTCATGTAAACATCTTGAACGTTAACCTTGCACCCTCAATAGTGGATCATGATAAATGGAATTTTCATTAAACAAAGTTATCATACAATTGCCAATTAATTGAGAGAAACAATAACCATCCAGTTAATTGATCCATAAGTTTATTTGAGAAAACATTTCCTCACCTTTAATTGCTTTTTTTATCAACGTCTTTCCAAAGATTTCCATTCATAATAGTATTTAGAATAGTTAGAGATACAGTTTTCCCCAGAGTTTTTTGCTTTTTTGTTACACTGCCATCTAGGTGAACTAAAGGGGGAAAGCAGGTGAAAAGCAGGGGGTTAAACGAACTTATGTCGACCAAACGATAGCAAGTGTTTCAATTAATTGTGTACCAAAATGAAAATTAGATTAAGTAAAATACCTTTGCAAGAAAAAATTGATATAATTAATGAATGTGTTTCAGTTGATAGAGCTACAGTAGCTGAAAGGCATCGGTTAACCAGACAAGCGGTTAATTATATTGTCAACAATAAGGAGAAGTTCGAAACTGCTATTACCGAAGGACTGAAAAATTCAAGAGGTGTTCATCAAAGATCCAATTTTTCTGATCTCGAGAAAAAGGTTGCTGAATTTGTGTTACAATGTAATAACAATGGTATCGTTTTGTCCGGTGAGCTTATTCAAGCATATGCATCTAAACTTGCCGATAAAGAAAATTTGGATAATTTCAAACCATCTAAAGGCTGGCTGTATCGATTTTGTAATCTACTCGTAAATCATTACATCAATCAACTCAACATCACAAATGTCATGTAAAATAAGCCTCAAGTTCAGTCACCAGTCAATTGATTTATCCAATTTGAGCAAAAATTAGCTTAAGAAAAGAAACCAAATTCATGATTAGTGACAGTGGTGATGATCACTGGCAATTATTATCTATCAAACTAAAGTCAAAAATAACTAAAGACCTTAATTAATGTTACAATCACACCAGAGAAAAATAAAGCTGTGAGAAATCAAAATCAAACTAAATATTAATTATTGAGAATCTTTGACATTAAAAAATCAAATTGCTAACAAATAGTTTCTTTAACAATCAATAGACGACACTAGCTGCTAGTACTTACATTGATAAACATTTGGAGACAAAATTCAAAAGATTGAAACATTTTTCACTTTGAGTGAAGCTAAACTGATTTAGTCGAGCTTCTTTAGGCCATTTGGGTCGATCGAAATTTTACAGATTTCTTTTCAAGAAACAGTGTTAATAATGAGAAGAAAACGACCTTAAGAATTGTCAGAACAAATCAATTTATGTGAGTTTCGTCCGTCTTCTGGTGATGATGTTTCCAAGTATTTTTGGGAATAACTAGCAGTGATTGCCTCTGAGGTCAGTTCCGTTATGTAAACAATATTTCAATCTTTTGACTTGCGTTCGTTTCCAAGCGTTTTTAGGGTAAATTGTCTATAAAATTATGCTTAATTGTTGCTAATCAATTCGCTAATTAGACTGGGTAATAAACATGAGCTGATTTATGAAGATAATCTATTAAAAACAGTTGTGTAATGAAACAATTGAATATCCTTTGATTTAATTTGTCAGAAATAAAATGATTAAACTCGCCTGATCACAATTTAATGAATGAAAATAGGTTTATATTTCAACTAGAGTTGAAATTTCAACGTAAATAAGACAATGAAACAATTAAACATGAAAATGTTTTATCAGCAATAAATAAAAGCAATAATAACCCAAATAATTATATTGATTATTGAGCTTGATATTTCAATATTTCCTGTTAAACAGACAATTTTAGGTTTCAATTACTAAACAAATCAACTTTTAATTATTTAACAGTAAAACAATTTGAAATAAAAATAAAATCTCAGCTGCATTGGAAAATTGGAAAATGGTTGGTAAATGAATTTAAATGAATTATATAATTAGCAAAGAAAGCTAACAAATTGGCAAAAACATATTCAGAATATCTTTATCTTCATTCCTGATTGTGTCAAGATTTAATTATTTACCTTCAATAATGATGAAAAAGGTCTAATTTTATCAGAAAAGTCAGAGTTTGTTTGAACAACAAGATACAGTAACAAAACATGAACACCAAATGAACATGGTAAACTGCCTAGCGATCAATTTTCCTGTTATTAGCCTGTTGAATGTAAAATTTTATGCTGAATCCATTCTTCTAATCCATTGTTTAGTTTTCAAATTATCTGAAAAAACGATTGAAATGCATTGAGACGCGTGGACAGATTTAAGTAATTGAAACCATTGAATTTAAGGCGTTATTGAAGATGGAAGATATGATGAAATGATTAATTTTGATCTGCAACCCCGCAAAACTGGTCAATTGTTCGATAAAACTTGTTGTTCGTAGATGAAAGAACAATGTTTTATTGTTATGCAGAATCCTTGTAACACCCCCAGCCGGATCTTTGTTATTACTTTATTGCTATGGAACAATACAATCAATAGTAGATGATCATCCATTGATTTATCATTCAATTCTTATTAATTTAATGTTAATAGATCGTTGGAGTTAAGTAGCTAGTAATCTGAGCACCCAAATAAATCACACACATGAGGGCCCGACTTGATGATGAGACTTGTTAATGAGACAATGTGTTTGGAGAGTGAACTTGAATTAAGCCTTTAGTGAGTTTTTTTATTTTCTTGGATTTTGATGTGAAAATCTACGTTTTAGGATCGAACCATGTAGCTTATGCTGAACGATAGGAGCTAACAATTACTTTACTAATCAGCGCGAGTGTAAAGAGCGCATTTTCACTATTTCAATCAGGATAGGTAAGTTTGGTTGAAGAGTGTAAAAGTCGTGTTACAAGTGTACCTGCGAAAAGCATGGTTCATCAGGAATTGGCCAGTTTTGTTGGTTGGCAGATCAAATAAATTACTTGATCAGCATTACACCTTTGTAAAGGGTCTACTTGATCACGTTACAATCACTTAAATCAGTAGACACGACCCCATGCATTTCAATCGTTTTTTTGAGATAACTCGAAACAATGTTTAGATGGATTACAATGGATTAGAGTAATTAATTCTAGTTTAAAGCTAAAGAATCCATCGCTAGGCAGTTTTGACCTTCGTCCTTTCTTCAGTGAGTCTTGTCATTCGATCTTCAGACAGAATTAATTTATATTGGCTGAAGTTTTAGAGTTGGACATTCCAATACTACTTCTGAGGTTGTAAAGTCCGACAAAAAAGTTTTATTCGCTTAGTTATTTTATTTAGGCTTCAAAATAGCCTGAGTGCTGGATGTACGGCTGAAAAACTGACACACCATATTCCCATGGTTCTATCTATTCGTTGATTTTACCCCGTTTTAAGGTAACTTAACAGTGCTACTAAACTAAAACTACACACTTGAAACTAGAGACTTACGATTTGAATTAGTTTTGAATATTAGAAAATAAATGCTTTCTGTTTAATTGATCAACTGTATACTATCGACCAATGGTCACATATTCATCTGAAATAGATACAAAAGTTTTTGAAAAAAAAATCGTCTAGGAATATTAAAGTAACCAGAGAAACAAGACAATAGCAGGTAATTATTAGGAAAGTGAATTGAGTAAAAATGAAAAAAACTGTTTTTTATGCTTAAAATATTATATCCTTATTTGCCCTTCTCTGATAGTAACATATCTTTAACAATTTTTATCATTCAAGTGGAATCCATTAATCAATCAGATTAAACCATTACAAGCTATTATTAACGATTTGCTTTTACGTTGGACTCGTAGAAGCGAAAAATGTTGGAAAAATTAAGATAAACCACTTTTGATCAACAGCTGTAATCTGAATGAAGTCAAATCCAAAGAGTATAACTCTTTACTAGTCTTTGATACAACCTCTCAAAATGATAATCAAACCCGAAGGTGGAGCCCGACAGTTTTATCTCATAACTTCGAGTAATACAATTGTAATCAGTGACAGATTGGGAAAACAAAAGATCTCATAAGACTTCATAAACTGCGATTAAAAATCAAACCATTTCAGGATCATTAATTCAACATCTAATTTTCAGAGTTGATGCTTTGAAAATAACCTCTGAAGCTATCGCTGAGAAGCCTCTTTTTAAGAGGTTTGGCTGCATCACAGGATTGAGAGTCTTGACAAAGCAAGATAATTTTAATATTATAATAAATAAAATGGATTGTCTTCAGAAATCAAATTGAAAGTAAATCATTGTAAATCAGATGAGCATTTAAAAAGTTCATTTCTTATGTTCAACAAATGCTTACAATGGTTGAAATATTGTCACAAATTACTTCCAATCATCTCAGATTACTGACCTTACAATTGATTAAAGATTGAAGTGCTGGAGACAATTACATAATTTTGCTTATTATCAGTGATTTATGAGATAGATTAGTAGAGGATTTAATATTATAATGAAAGTAAATATGAGTATAACAGTGGAAAGTCCATTGAAAGCTGAAGATGAATAAATGAAGATATCTAATAGACTAATGAAGCTAATTGTATTAAATTGGATATAAATCAAGACGTGTTCTTAGCTAGTTTATCATAGTTTGTTAGTTTCTGAGGAAAAAAGATTCAGTATTTTGTACCAAAATATGTCCGCACAGGTTGGATTCATGTTAATAACAATCGAGTAGAAATGTTAGTGAAAATATTAATACTTAAACTCTGATTGCTGCAGATTATTGATTTTGTTTTATCTTTCATACAATCTTCCTTCTCACCTTGGTTCTCCCTCTCATCATCTTTGTTATCATGAAAAAAGCAATTAATATTACCATCTTGATCATAACTGGAAAGACAAATCAATCAGCAATGAGCTATTGGTGAAGCTAGTTTCAAGCAACAATCCAAGTTGTATCATTGTGCCAAAAAAGTGATTTACTGCTTCATCACAATTACTGTGGCTACAGATCAACAGTTATTCAATATTGCTGATTTTATATAATATTTAATTACTGATAAGATATTCAAGTGTACATGTTCAACAGTTGAGCATTGATTTGCTTGTTTTTTTTGATATTTTTACTCAATCTAGTCATCGTAAATTGATTACCATGAAAAATCTTGCCATTTTTTGTTTCATTTTTGGTTTTCTTGGATCACATTTGATTGCAGGTTGGTGTCCATTTGATTGTTATCATCAATTAATGTTATCATATTGAAAAACTGCTATTCATCTATTAATTCGTTTTATTCAATTTGTTCTGTATTCTTGTTGGCCATTTTCACAGGAAAATCTGTCGGAAAATCTGCCAATTTAAAGTAAGTAACCGTTTTTATTGTATGTCCAATGAATTGCTCGCTTGATTGTGCTTTGTAAAATTTGTCCACTTTTATATTCCTGGCTTGTCTTGGATGAGATTCAATTGTTAAAGTTAAGTCTATAGCAACAATTATTGTGTTTTGGCAAGCAAGCAACCTGTATCAAATAATTGATAATTGTTAACAGCCAATATCACAGTCAACGTTGTCATTTGATTAATTAAACGAAAGGCTATTGAGAATATTTGGTGAAAATAAATATTCATAATTTCTTAATTTTTTTTATTAAGTGATAGATTTAGTTGAATAGGATATTGAAATGCAGAAACGTAATGCTAAGAAACAAAACTAATTAAAACAGTTAACAAAGATGAGGAAAATAAAATTCTAGAGAAACTCATCTCGGATGAATTTTTACCGTTTTTGCTTTATTATAAATGTTCACCTTTGACACAATGATCCGAAGTTTCACATGCTTTTGTTTTCTAAACGAACCAAACTTATGCAAATTTGATTGCATGGCTAATGCAATTTTTTGCCAACATATACTGTGTGTGTAAGTGTAGCTGACTGTTTGGTTTGTAGCTTCTTGTTAATTGTGCAAAATCTCTTTCTTGCTTGCTAATTTTCGTATCCAGCAGTGTTCAATAATTTGATTATGCTTAGATTTTATCAGAACATTCCTGCATTCTATTATTTACAATAAATATCTTAAGGATAAACTTCATGTGTTCATTTTTGAGATTTTCATTCTAACTTAAAGCTTGATCATTTTTAGGGAAATTTTAATTTCGAAAGATGCTGTAGTTGGAGCATCAGATGTTGAAGCTTCAAATACTGCAGATCAAAATACTACGACAACAGAAGTTGTGAAGCCAGATACTAAAACAACAGATACAAAAACAGATACTAAAACAGATACTAAAAAAGATACTAAAAAAGATACTAAAAAAGATACTAAAACAGATACTGAAGCTCCAGAAGTTGTAGCGCCAATAAAACAAACTCCCGACGTTGTAGATCCAAATACTAAGACTCCAGTTACTGAAGCTCCAGAAGTTGTAGCGCCAGAAAAACAAACTCCCGATGTTGTAGATCCAAATACTAAGACTCCAGTTACTGAAGCTCCAGAAGTTGTAGCGCCAGAAAAACAAACTCCCGATGTTGTAGATCCAGATACTAAGAACCCAGTTACTAAAGCTCCAGAAGTTGTAGTCCCAGAAAAACAAACTCCCGACGTTGTAGATCCAAATACTAAGACTCCAGTTACTGAAGCTCCAGAAGTTGTAGCGCCAGAAAAACAAACTCCCGATGTTGTAGATCCAAATACTAAGACTCCAGTTACTGAAGCTCCAGAAGTTGTAGCGCCAGAAAAACAAACTCCCGATGTTGTAGATCCAGATACTAAGAACCCAGTTACTAAAGCTCCAGAAGTTGTAGTCCCAGAAAAACAAACGCCCGACGTTGTAGATCCAAATACTAAGACTCCAGTTACTAAAGCTCCAGAAGTTGTAGCGCCAGAAAATATAACAGATTCAAACTCATCAACATTGCCAACAGAAACAGAGGCTCCAACATCTCTCATTCCGTCAAACACAACAGCAGTGGAAGTTTCAACTTTGCCAACAGAAACAGAGGCTCCAACATCTCTCATTCCGTCAAACACAACAGCAGTGGAAGTTTCAACTTTGCCAACAGAAACAGAGGCTCCAACATCTCTCATTCCGTCAAACACAACGGAAGTGGAAGTTTCAACTTTGCCATCAGAAACAGAGACTCCAACATCTCTCACGCCAGTAAACACAACGGAAGTGCCACAAAATCCTCCGTCTCAAACCGGAAAAGTCACTGACAAACCAGCAATTGAGAAACCGACAACGGACACACCAGGAACAACCAAAGCACCTACAACTGAAGCTTTGGTTAAACATAAGTATAAAATGAGTGGAGGTGCAACAGCTGGAATTATTGTTGCTGTATTAGCCGTATTTGTAGTATTGGGAGGTGTTTATTATCATTATTCATCTAAACGACTTCCAAAAACTAAAAATGCTTCGATGTCACTAAAGGAGTCTAGGTCTAAAGCTTTCAATAAAGATTCATGATTTTTCTTATGAAGAAACCTTCATGTGTATATTGCTGCAAAATTGAACTCTTTTTTATTCATCATTTTGTCTTATTGGCATTTTCAAAAAGCCATTCTAGTGTTAGAAAATATATTAATAAAGCAAAATTCATGTTTTTATGCCAATTCAGTGAATTGTCACAATATATTTATTTCCTTCTGATTGTGCTTGGAAGTAAAAATTAACAGCCAAAATCATTTCCAGTCAATAGCAAGACCTTCAATTGCACATGAAATTCATTAAAATATAATAATTAATCAAACTCTAGATTGTAATCATTGCATTTTGAATCAAAGAATTATGATTTTTTAGATTACTAGACTAGCTTTGACTAGCCAACTAACTTCATTTAATTTTTCAAAACTTCAAAGCCTCTCCTGTCAAGGTTTGAACAATAATACTTCGTCTAGAAATCAAAAAGATTAATAAAAAGTCTGAAAATTTTGTTTGAAAGTCAATATTCGGTTATAAGGTAAAACTCATCATTTTACAGAAAAAAGTTATCGACTGAAATCCTCTCTATCCAATCGAAAAATTTCATTGTTGGATAATTAATGTTGATCATGAATAAACGATGAACTCCTTCAATTCCATGAAGAATCAATTATGTTTAGATCAATTTGATAGCCAGTTGCAAAGATAATCACATCAATGTTTCTTAAAACAGTGCCATTAGTTAATTCAATTGAATCTTCTCTGGCTGATTTGAATACGGCTCCTGGTTGAATTACCCAATGGATGAAATTTACCTTTTCCTTAACACAATAACATACAAACAAGTACAATGGGTTTCACTGGAATTATTTTATCACTCAAAGGTTTGCTATTTTCCTTAACCGTATAACATAAATAGGTTTGACTGGCAAAGTCGACTACTTCAAGAGCAATATCAATTCCTGAAGAGTCAGCTAATGAAATAGCGACTAAAAGGATGATTACGTTATCTAGTTGAAATTGCATGAGTTCTTACATTAACAGAAACTAGGACAGATTGAAATCATTCTGCATCAAAAAATCTAATTCAATCGCACTCAAACTTGAAGTTTGAAACTTCCCTACTCTTTGATAATTAAAGTTTGGTTTGTTTGCTTTTTTTAATGGCGCGTGTGCTTCAAGCGACTGGCTAACAGATGATTTCAATTTTGTTTTCATGTTTGTTTTGATAAAAATGTTGTTTTAAATTAACCACCTTGACGTTGAATTAACTTGTCAATTTGTTTGAAGCATTTTTTAATCGATTATGTGAATGATATTGCATTAAATCTAATCATTTTTCTCTTTTTTCCTGTCAATTCATGAAACTGAGTGTTATAAATTATCACCTAAGACGATGGAATTAGACTTACCTGACAATACGCGATCTTGAAGATGTAAACTCAAGGAAAAAACAAGTGAACTCATTGAAATAGGTTAAAATATCCAAGCAATAAAATCTGGTGAGTTGGCATATCTGTTGGATTGTTTTTTAAAACAATCTGAAGCAATAATCCATCTCGATGATCGCCTTAAAAAAGTTAACATTTGCTGTTTTTGGAGTCGATCTTGTTTTGATGACATACACCGCATTTATATTCACATTCAAAGTGCCTAAGGAATCCAATTTCAATCGAGAAGATGGTCAGCGTTTGATTGACCTCATCAATTATAATGATTCAAGCAATATCGATTACAGCTATTGGGGTCATTTGGATAATGGCCATGTTAAATCATTGAGCAATAATGAGCGATCTAAACAGATACACAAAAAATCCAATAATATAAAATAATATAAAATGAGTGGAGGTGCAACAGCTGGAATTATTGTTGCTGTATTAGCCGTATTTGTAGTATTGGGAGGTGTTTATTATCATTATTCATCTAAACGACTTCCAAAAACTAAAAATGCTTCGATGTCATTAAAGGAATCTCGGTCTAAAGCTTTCAATAAAGATTCATGATTTTTCTGATAAGAAACATTTACTTTTATATCGATTGACATATTGAACTCTTGACATGGTAAATCACAGTAAAAATGCGACAACTAGCGCTTGAGGTGGGCATTGTCCCTTACTAACATCAAAACCTCTCAATTGCTGTATCTTATGCTTTAATCTTTGGCTTAAAGTGTAGTTAAAATTGAGAATGGCTCAAATCGTCCTAAATTACTGATTTTTTCATTGCATTTGATAACAAAACATTCGGTGTGAGTGTTTCAATTTTGTATTCATTAATTTTCTTTCCCTTCTATCAGCTTCAAGATCATTGTTGGATAATTAATGTTGATCATGAATAAACGATGAACTCCTTCAATTCCATGAAGAATCAATTATGTTTAGATCAATTTGATAGTCAGTTGCAAAGATAATTGCATCAATGTTTCTTAGAACAGTGTCATTCTTTAATTCAATTGAATATTCCCAGGCTGATTTGAATATGGCTCCTGGTTGAATTACCCAATGGATGAAATTTACCTTTTCCTTAACACAATAACATACAAACAAGTACAATAGGTTTCAGTGGCAAAGTCGAATACTTCAAGAGTATCTTTGGCATATACAGACGACATCAAATGTCTGCGTGAAGGATTCTTGAGTCTCAAGATTACGATAATCCACAAATCACTAATCATCAGTTACTAAATTCAAAAGCCGAAAGCAGAAGAAATAAAAGGATTAGGTTTGATGACAACAAGAGCGAAGTTCATAGCTAATGATAATACAGAATAAAATGTATAATAATGAAGATATGCTGACAATGAGTGTAAAAATGAAATTTTTGAAAGCAAATGATGCTAGAAAAACTCAGCTCAATAACTCAAATTCCAATACAAATTGTGTGATAAAATATGAATAGTATTGTATGATACTTCGCAACCAGTGAGTGAAGTCTCGTTCAAAACCTATTTACGAATATTTTCTTATATTAGAATGATGAGCTTAAATCCACTTGGATATTGATTGTGCGGATAATCATTAGATTCATCAGCGCTGTTGGTAAATCTGTCCTGATTAAACTAAGATGGGTAGATTTGTACCAGTACAATCTCCATTATCACCTTGGTTCTCTCTCTCATCGTTTTCATCATGAAAAAATCAATATAACCATTTATTTCATAATTAGAAAAACAAATTAATCAGCAACGAGCTATTGGTGAAGCTAGTTTCAAGCAGCAACCCAAAGTTGAATTATTGGGGCAAAAAAGTGATTTACTTCGACTGTCCACTGCAGATCAACATTTTAACACTAATTTGCTTGTGTTTTCTCTTCGATATTTTTACTTGATCTAGTCTTCGTAAATTGATTACCATGAAAAATCTTGCCATTTGTTTCATTTTTGCTTTTCTTGGATCATATTTGATTGCAGGTTGGTGTCCATTTGATTGTTATCATCAATCAATGTTATCATATTGAAAAACTGCTATTCATCCATTAATTTGTTTTATTCAATTTGTTTTGTATTCTTGTTGGCCATTTTCACAGGAAAATCTGTTGGAAAATCTGCCAATTTAAAGTAAGTAATCAGTTTACATCATCATTCCATTAACTTTAATATAAATTTAGTTGGATAATAAATATTAAAGTTGTAGAAACGTAATTATCAGAAACAAAACTATAGTACAGAGTTTTCTTAGTGAATTCACCCGTTTTTTCATTCGAAAAAGTCAGTTTTTAATCTGGGATGCAGAAAGGGTGTGAAGGCTAGTAATCTTCCCGTTTCCATTGCGTTTCTTATGTAAAAAGATCTAATCCATCAACTGCCGACGATGTTTTTAATGTATAATTTCGGACGCAAACTGAGCATCATTGAAAACCTTGATGGCTTGAATCTTTTTACAAAAAGTTACATTTTGGGTTGACATAATGAATCAATGAAATAAACAAACTAAACTTGACCAAACACTGACAAACAAGGTTATGGTAAAAATAGTCATAATTTCGATCTTTTCTTTTGTAAAAAAGGTTAACAGCAATTAAAATGGAGAGATTAACTAGCCTACTCCAAACCCTCTCTGTATCCCAGATTGAAAACCGACTTTCTCAAATGAAAAAAACGGGTGAATTCAGTAGAAAAACTCTGTAAATAGTTGAAAGAGTAAGGCGAATTCAGTTCTAGACTCAAAAAGACTCTTCTTTAATCAAATTTGACTGATTCTATCAATCCTTCTTAAAAAGGTTCCTCTATGATAAAATGATTAAAAGTTTATTGTGGTTCAATGATTCTGTTTAACAATTTTACCACTTTTATTCGCCTTTTGGTCTGCTCGTAATTGAACGGAAACAATTTCAAAAGGTTTTCACTTAATTGCTAGTTGACTAGTGATTTCACGCTGAATAAAACAAAATTAATGTTGGCTGATTGCGAGAGAGCATAATCAATATTTGATCCGCCTGTGTTTCTCAGTTTTTATGATCTTTAATTTCAATTAAACCACCGCTGTTTTGGCGCTAGTAAATTTTGATGTTGAACGATAATATAATCCGTTAGCTTCACCTATAGTTTCACTGATTGAACATTGATTCGTAGGGAAAAATCGTATTGGTACCCTGTTAATACTGGACGACCTGAAATAGAATCTTATACTGTTATGCCATACACGCAAATGTCAGGTAAAGTGATTGAAACGCTTAGAGCATCATTAAAAAAGCCCTAACAACTCCTTGTATTACAGAAGAACGTATGGTGCCATGGATTACACAAGGACCTACCGCTATGCCATGGTATCAACAACGGACTACGATGGCATGGAATGAAGAACCGATAACAAACTCACTAACTACAGAGAGTTCACGACCACCGCAAACTAAAGAAGCGTCAACACCAGTTTTCAAAGATGAAGATACTCAGACACACCAACCAACAGACCTTAAAAGTGTAACAGCAGCGCCACAATACTCTAGCGAACTGAAAGTTAATCTTAATCTGTCCCTTGGTTTTGAAAGTAAATCTATACACTGAGGTCAAAGACTTATCAAAAAGGTAACTTTGAAGAGCGTCCTAGACTTAAGACTCTTTGACCAAGCCAGTTGGATCAGCCTGCTCTCGATGAACGAGGCTTAACATCATTCCTTTGTATTACTTGAATTGAAAAATTGGATTTGATATCATAGGCCAAGAGGAAATCTAACATAAGTTAAACAAAAGCTGAAGAAAATTGGGCCGATTTGTATTTGAAGAATAATTAAATTCATAATCTAGTTAATCTGAAATTTCAACTAACTTTCTTAAAGCAGATGCGAATCTAAATAACTTTTTAATAAAGATTACTACAGTTGAATATAAATCATAAAATTATATACAACAATTGTGCAGAGGACAATTACATAATCTAGCTGATTGGGCATTAGCTCTTTAACTAGCATAAACTAAGACAAAATCATTCTACACTAAAAATCTGAATCAATAGCATTGAAACTTGTCAACTTTTTGGTTATCAAAGTTTCTTTGCTTTTTTATTGACGCGTGCGCTTCGAGCAACTAACTACAGATGTAGCAGATGATTCCAATTTTCATATTTGTTTTGATTAAAATGCTATTTTAAATTGACAGCCTTTACTTTGAATTAAACTTGTCCATTAGTTTGAAACATCTTTTCATCGATTATGTGAATAACCCATTACATCTTATCATTTATCATTTGTTTATCATCTGTTAATTCATGAGTGTTATAAATTATCACCCAAGATGATGGAATTGGACTTGACTGACAATACGCGATCTTGATGTAAACTCAAGGAAAAAACATGTGAACTCATTGAAATAGGTTGTTATATCCAAGCAATAAAATCTAGTGAGTTGGCATATCTGTTGGATTGTTTTTTAAAACAATCTGAAGCAATAATCCATCCCGATGATCGCCTTAAAAAAGTTAACATTTGCTGTCTTTGGAGTCAATCTTGTTTTGATGACATACACCGCATTTATATTCATATTCAAAGTGCCTAAGGAATCCAATTTAAATCGAGAAGATGGCCAACGCTTGATTGACCTTATAAATTATAATGATTCAAGCAATATCGATTACAGCTATTGGGGTCCATTAGATAATGGCCATGTTAAATCATTGAGCAATAATGAACGATCTAAACAGATAAACAAAAAATCCAATGAACCATTAGATGTCATCGAAATTTGGTCTAAAGCAGCAATTGGAAATTACCTTTGGGAACATATACTGAAAGGAAAACTCAGTAAAAAAAGTCAGTTTTATCAATATGGATTCAGGAAGATTGATCGATTCAAAGTGAAATTTCGAAGCGGACCATCTTTAACACCTCAATCATTGGAAAATTTTATTTCAGCTGATGATAAACCAAGGGAGATAAAAAACTTGATTTTTGTTTTAAACGGTCGCTCCAAAGAGAAAATTGAATTTGCAAAGCAATGGTTGGACAAAATTCAAGATTTGACTTCTAGAAAAGATATTCAACCCTTTAATGCTGCCGTAATTTTACTTGGACACGAATTTTGTTTCAACAATTGGGTGAAAAAATATCTCAACGCAAATGGTGGACCCTTAAAATTTCTGTTTGTGGTTTACGATTGGAAAGAGATTAATGAAGAGGACATTTATCAATGGCCTTTAGGTGTGGCAACCTATCGAAACTTCCCTAACCCTGATCCAAATAAACTTAACTTGAAACTTGAAAGACCATATACTTGCAATTTCCTCGGGACAATATATCCAAATTCATCGCGAGTTGAGGTTATGGATGTAATTAAAACTTTCGATGAAAGAGTCTGCTTTACAAAAGGCCGGTCAGAATGGGAACCAAATGAAACTAGTGAAACTCTTGAGCTATATTTACAAGCGTTACGTTTATCTGATCTTACCCTGAGTCCAATTGGAATGAATCATGAATGTTATCGCATTTATGAAGCTTTATCTTACGGATCTCTACCGGTAGTGGAAGAAAATTTAAGTCATGTCAAAGGCCATAAATCAAATTGTGATTCTACCTCAGCTTATCGTTTGCTCAAAAAATATGATGCTCCTGTGATATACATTGCCAACTGGACTCACGAACTGCCAATGCTGATTGAAAAAGAGATGAGTTTATCATTGGAACGAAAAATTGAAAGAAGACTTCGATTGATCGATTGGTATGCTTCATTTAAAACCAATATTCGTAATCATCTCTTTGATATAATCGAACAGAAATTTAAACTAAAATTTTAAGCACAATACTCATTAGCTAATAAAGACAATGATTGTAAATATATTGTAAATTTTTATACATAAATGCTGTATTCTTATCAATGTTTGAAAACAATGCAAACCTTTTGACTTTACGATTATCAAATTTCTGCTGAAATCTAATAAATTCAACCTATACCGAAACATATACTTGTATTTGTTTCAAGTTTCTTATTCTGAAGACAAGAATGCCATGTAAATTAAAATCAACATGTTAATCGGAAAAAAATGAAATATAGATTATTTGCCACATTAAACATGCATTGTGAAGTCTTATTTTCCATGCTTCATTATTTATTGAAATTTAACGGTCAAGATTAGCCTTTAAACATACTTGTTGATTGAGCATCTTATCGATCATTTGCAGTTAATCATTTTACTAATTTAACTAGTATGTATTAACATCATATGCAAGGTGCGAAAAATTTTAAAGAGCTAACTTGTAAATAGCAACACCGTCCCCTTTTCTGTCGCCTGGCTTGTTTACTTATTTTTGGTTTTTGCTTCAGTAAACTGTTGTTATTTATCGCTTTTGTCAATATTTTCGCTATTAAAGTTTAATGATGATATCGATTTGATACTTTTTCACTTATCTGAATTATGTGTCAACTGCTTCGAATTAGTTAATTTCAGTGTCTGATGAAAATTTTAAAACCGAGTGGTATTTTTGTTTGTGCCTTTTACTCAACATATTACAAACTCTCCATTGGAAACTTTCATTATGGTTGATAAATATGGAGACTTTCTGTTGGAAAAATTTGAAGAATTTAAAAAGTCTAATCAAGAATTAACAACTCGTGTGATTCAGCTTGAAACTGAGAATGGTTTAACCAATTCTAAATTCAAAGCTCTAGAGAAAAAGTGTGTTCTTTACAAAAGGGAACGAGACTGCTATCGAAATTTCATCAAATCGTACGAAAGTGAGATCAATGGCGAAAAGTATTTTGATCTGGCAAAGGATACATTCAATAAATTGGATAATAATTTGTCTAGTTATAGAGATTTGACGGAAACCTTGACTGGCAAATTAAGCAATGTGGAATATAATTTGGTTAAATCTAACAATAAATGTGTCTGGTTGAAAGAAGACAACGACAAATTAAAGTTGTCTCTTGAAGCTGCAGCAAAGAAGGAAAAAGATCTATGTGCTCAATTGGATCAGATGAAAAAGAAGTGTTCAGATTTGGAAGAACAATTAAAAACATGGAAAAGCGATCAAAAGTTCCGACCAAGTCAGCCTGAGGATTATAGAATCATTCACCTCAAAGAAAATCCTGCAGACAAACGTATTGCTCACATCTGGGAACAATATCGATTCCTTAAAGAAGAAAATGCGAAGCTCACAACTCGTTTGGAGATTATTGAAGCTGGTCACAATGCAGATATCACCAGACTTGTTAATGAAGATATCAATACTCAGCAAGAGATAGAATATCTCAAATCGTCCCTGGAAGCATCAGAGAAGAAACGAAACATGTTAATGGATGAATTCAAACGAAGAAGCAAAGAGTTTAGAGAAGCAGTCAATCGTTTAACTGGATACAGAATTGAATTGACTTCTGCAAACACTTATAAAGTATCGTTTTTGTATTCCGACAATCCAGCTGATTATTTGCTTTTTAAAGCTGAAAACAGGGAAGTCGAGTTATTGGAGACAGATTTTTCAAAAAATTTAACAAATTTTATCAAACTTTATTTGGAGAAATACGACAGTTATCCTGCATTTTTAGCAGCTTTAGCATTAGATATTTTCAAGAGGAACAATGCAGTTATAAATTATGGTATGTAACGCTTATTTCACCGGGAAAATTAACTTTTCACCAAAGCTTTTTGTAATATATCCAATATAATAGTGTATACCTCAGGAAAAGATTTCGTTACTTGTTTCCGTCTGATTTCCATCACATAAGATTCCAAAGTCTCTCTGTAAGATAAAAATACGAATTAATTTTCAATTTCTTACTCTATTATTTTTTATGATTATAAAAAAAATAAAGTTTTTTATGACCAACTATATCAATACATATTGTATGCTTACTTGAAGAGCATTAGCCGTTGCTCCTCATCGCTGTGTTCATCTATCCATGCTGAATACCTAGTTATAGACCATCCTCGATTTTCATGAGCGGATTTCATTTCGGGTGGACCATGTGTTGAGATTAAAAATTGAATAACGATTGAATATGGAATAAGATTACCAACTGCTTGAGATTTGACTATTGACGATGGCTCATGGAAAAGTAATAACTTGAATGCTCTAAGAATACGATAATGTTTACCAAGATCATCGATCAGCTGGTGGAATGTAGATAAAGCTTCTTCTAATTGAGCAAAGTCAACAGCCAACCTCATTTTGACATTTTGAGTCAAAGGTCGAATCAAAGTAGCGTGGCGAAGAAATAAATCGATGGTTCGTACAGCAACTTTTAGAATCCTAAAGAAATATGATAAAATTAAATTTTAGTGATCTTTTTCGCTTAAAAGGGATAATTCTTCATTACCTATTACGAACTACAGGAGTGTCAGGAAACAGCGAAAAATAATCACTGTAAACTCTTGTAATAAATCCTTGGAGTTCTCGCATATAGAGTGAGCATTGAGGAGGGCCGTTTACGGAGCTATTAAAAGAAATTCAAAGGAAAATGATTAGAAAAATGATCACGATTTAGTGTGGTTTAATCTATTACGCTCAATTAGCTAGCTTGGATTGACTTTTTTAAAAACTTACTTTGAAAAATCTTCATTATGGATGGTTAATATAATGGCTTCAATCGAGTCTTGAGCAGAGTTCATGAGAGGATCGATAGTATTAATAATAAGACTATCTAAATTATTGAGATAACCGCGAATAATGTTCAATGATTCTTCGTTTGACTCGCAGTTAGATAATAAATGTTCCATTTGTTGTTTAAACAACTCCAAACGATGAACTATGGTAGCATTGCATTGCTGTGATTTGGTGGCAGGTCCAATTACTTGAGTTGCATCCCCTTCAACACAGATTAATTTTTCACACTTAACAAGAAACATTTGGACAGATTTACCAATATTTTTAGCAACAGCTTGACTCAATTCTGGATCTAAGTTAGCGACATTCATCTCGGCAGAAAGAGTTTTGACTAGCGAATCAATGTCTTCTTTAGTAGGCAGACTAACCTCACGGACATTGGTTAATGAATTTGAAGATGATGTTAAACTTTCCTTAGTATCCATAAAAATTATATTGACTGCATCAAAAAGCAGAGAAAGCGACCTGGAAAGGTAAGCACTTTCAAAAGGATGCAAAACTGATCTCATCATAGACTCCAAATTGATATCTTTGTCATCTCGAGATAATCTTTTCCAGACTTCGGTGAAAAGGCGAAGAATTTTAGGATATTCTCCCTCTAAAACTTCTTTAATGATATTTGATGAAGCATTGGCTTTAGTCATTGTTTGTGAGAGAAAATTGTTGATTCGGGTTATAAATTCTATCAATCCATTTGGTTTAGATGTACTCTCGAGTAGACTTGATTGGTTAAGAGGATCGCGCTTCTTTTTCAATATTTTGAACAGCATTTCAGCTTGAGAAAAGGCAATAAAAATTTGCTCCATAAGATTTTCAATATTATTCCATAGTTTGGTCTTGAAATTAGCGGATTGTGCCAGTGTCATGGGTACAACTGCACTACCTGGTCCCGTTGATCGAGCTTGATTATAACTTGACATGTCAAAGACATCTCTAGCTGTAGTAATGATATTTTGCTCTTTATTTTGCAAAAATAAATCAACCTTTTCATCAAGAATGTTAAAAAAATAATAGACATGGAGTGCGACACCAACTTGACTTGAATCTTGTTTTGAAAAACCATTTGTGAAACATGTGTTAGCGATTTCAAGAATATCATTTTGTTTATCCCCTAAGTGGATAAGATCACTTTTGATTATATCGATCTTTAAAAGACTGTCATCTTGAGAAATAAGGCTGTTGAGTTCGTGGACAAATTGAGCTGCTTTGATAACCTCTCTGTTAATGGTGGATTGATCGGCTCCTTTGAAATCAGTTTGATTCAAACGACGGCTGAGATGCATGAAACGAACGATACGACGAAGAAGATCACATGTAGCATGAAGGCGATTGAGAAGAGCTATTCGATGTGCTACTCGGTTGTAAGGTTCAGTTAGACGTGATCGCAGTTTTTCAAGGGTTTCCATGAGAGCTTCAATTTTGCCATGGATAACAGTTAGATGGGACTCAAGAATTTCCACTTTACTGGTTTCATCTAATAATTCATCGAAATCACGATAAACCAAATTTTGAAGGTTTTCTTCTATCAACAATCGAGCTTGTTCAAGTTTTTGGACAGTTTCACGTGGACTAAGTTGAGAAAGCAAGTCGTCTATAGATGCAGATTCAGAGGATTCAACATCTGTTAATAATGATGAAAGAAGTTGTCCAGAACTGAAAACTTCAAGAGTGTTGTTAATTGATGAGCTCATTTTAATCACAGTGGACTTAACACTTCAGTCTTAAAGATAAATCGATATTTACTTTAAAAAATGGTAAACTGTCGCATTTAATTGAAATTGAAATCTAAAGAGTAGAGTACAATCTTACTCTTTATTGAAATCTGTCTTTTGTTTACCAAGATATTCACAGCTGCACTTTATACTTTACACTTGATATGGATCTAGCAGTGAAGATTATTAGAGAGGAAAGATTAACGGGTAAGGTAGATGAAATGCAGGAAAATCCATTGATAAACATTTAGAATTAAATCGAATGCAAGTGAAATTTGATTGATTGAGAACGTCAATAATTTTTCAGGTTAAAAAAAATATTGGTAGGGAACAGTAGCTTGGTTACTATTTGTAATCAGTATTTGTTTATTTTGCGGCAACTTTTGTGATAAATAGTTTTAGTAATAAACTAAACAATTTGATTATAATTATTTGAGATGAATGATAAAGGTTTAGGCCAGAAATTAGGCGAAAAATCGAAGTAAACAAAATATTGTTTCAGTAAACAGATGTAAACAACCGGTGTAAGGATCATCATTGATGGATTATTCAAGGCAATAGATGTCACTGAAATTCAGTGAGCGACAAGCCGCATCAGCGCCTTATTTAAAACTAACAAATTTCGCGATAAAAGTTGAGACCGATTATTTGAAAAGACGATTCTTATCGATACAATGCGATTTATTATGATCACATTTAGGTTTGGAAATAACATTGATAAGATTTTATTGGGCTGGAGTAAGAAAAATTAATGTAAAATGGAAAAGAAAATGACGATAAAACTGAAATTACTCTATTTAATTCTAGTTTCCAGCACGGATAGGAGGTGAGACCAGAATAACACCATCACCTCTGACGAAAAGCATAGGTACATTTCTTTTGGTTATTTTATAAACTTCCTCATAAGTTTCTTCGTCAATTTCGACATTTGTGATGATCTCTTCTACGTCACCAAGGACAATATTTAGATGTTGATCATAAGCATGAAGATGACCTCTCAATTCACGTCCATGTCTCATTTTAACATAAATCCTTTCATCTAAACTTAACCGAATCAAATCCAATGGCTCTTCAACTTGATGGTCACCAGTGCCACTGGCTTCTTGAGCAGCTTCTGCTCCTTGTTCTAAAAGAAAACGAGCGAAATGAGAAAAAATCGAAGAGAAGAAAATGTTATTCTTTTTACTCTCATTTTTCCACAATTAAACAATACACCCTTTAGAAGACAATAAAGATTTCTTACCTTTGTATGATGGATCCATATTAATCTTTGCCTGATAACAATTTTAATTAAGTTTAAGCGTAATCTTTTAAATTTTAAGCTGATGAATGAGCAAATTAAATAATAAAGACTAGACAGTGAACAGAAAATGAACAATTTTTAACTAGCAACCAAATAAAGATAAACCGAATGTCTAGGAATTTTTATTTCGCTTTTAGTCAATTTCGCCACTAGTAGATGTCAGCGGGAAAAGAAAAAGCGCTGTATTTAAAACCCATTGAGACCAACAATTTTAATATTTTCATTGAACCTTCAGCAGCTTTTTGATTAAACCTTTAATGTAATTTTTTAAAAAAGCCAATCAATCCAAAAATTTTACCGGAAAATTGGATTTTAATAAACAAAATAACCAACAATTAACAATTTGAATTCAACTTGAAACTGCTTATAATCGGAGCAGCTTTGAATTGAAAATTTCCAGCTAAAAAAGTGATGTAAAGATGTAAATGATGATTGAAAAGGCGAGAGTAAAAAAACTGGATCGTATTTGTAAAACGCTTTTTCATGCTTTTTTTGTTTCTTGAGTCTGGATTTTTTGTTTATCATAATTATTTGAAACATTCTTGGGATCAAATGATGATGATGAAAGAGAGGGAGATTTAGCAAAGATGATAACCTACTCCCAGCCCTGAGGGAAGGTCAAAGGAAATAGTGACTTTAAATTGAATAGAGATTATTAAATGACGAAAATCAAGAATTAACAGAGAATCGAGTTTTATCTTGGGATAATTTTTTGAAGGAAAATGAAGTGAAGATAAATAAAGACAGAAGATAGTTATTATCTATGAATCGTTGGTTAATCAATCAATTTCCACTTTGAGAACGAAGTTTTGGTTAAAACCAGTTCAGTGAAAAAAAACGATTGGATAATCATTTATTGTAGCGATTAGCATTTAATAGGACTTGTTCAGGGTATTTGGTGGTTCTCTTGCCTTCATTGTGACTATTTGAGGCTCAATACAAGGTCAATCTAGACTATCAAGTTTAAACTGGTAACTTAAATTGTCATTATAATGATACAGATCAGCTGAATTAATGCGAGTAAACCAAAATTAAAGATTTTCAAATCTTTTTGCAAAAAATTGAAATAAAATGTCAAAAGTCATTTTAACCTTATATTTGGTCTGAAAGTACTAAAATCAAATAATTGATTAACAATTAAAGATGTGATTTGTCACTTGAATGTCTGGATAAGTAGGCATTTTGATTGAACTGACAATGAATTAAAGGCTTCAATGTTGATCAGATGATGAATCGATGATGAATTGTTGATGAAGATGAGCTATCTTTAGATGATTGGAAACAAAATTTCAAAGTTGATTTACATTTGAATAGAAATTGAAAAGTAACGAAAAAAGACAAAATTATGTTTTACAGGGTCATGATAGTTTGATTATCGCCTACATGATTATCATTGATTTAATCCAATTTAAGGTCAGTATATATTGAGGACCAATTGAACATTAGTTTTTGTATATTTTTTGATATAATAAATGCCAATAAGATGTTGTGATCCTGTTCAATATACTGACCTTGTGGCCAGAACAGCTTCTTGCTTTCCTTCAACAAATACCTTTAATCAAGGGTGGCAAACAACATGAATGTATTAGGGCGCCGTCTTATCAAGGGTGGGGTTAGAAGCTCTCTCTTCATTTCTCTTCCTCTTTACTCTCTTTACTCTCTTTCACTCTCTTTCACTCTCACTTTCATCATCATCTTCATCTTCTTCTTCATATTTTCTTCGCTATTCTTATTCTCACTTTCATTTTCATCTCACTTTTACTTTTGGTATAAAAGGCTCATTTCAATTTTATCTCAAAATCATTCACAATCAGTTCAAACATTATTCAACATCAAAAAAACCAACAAAAAACCAACTCAACTCTCATCATGAAGGTAAGTTGAAATATCATTACAATTACAACAATCAACTACAAAACTGTGGATTTACTCATTTATTAATTTCTATCTTTTTATCATTTTCCAATTATATAATGTTAGGTCATTGTCTTCCTCGCTCTCTGCGGAATCGCCTCAGCTGGTATCATTGCCGCTCCAGCAGCCATCGTCAGCACTGGTTCATCATCACAAACCCGAAGCCAAGATGGTCTTGGAAACTATGCTTTCGCATACAATGAAAACCACGCAACTGGAGGTTCATCCCGAAGTGAATCTGGAAATGCTCTTGGACAAGTTGTTGGATCATACTCACTTGGTGTTGTTGACGGAAGACAACGAGTTGTTAACTATGTAGCTGACGCTCTCGGTTTCCGAGCTGCCATCAGCACCAACGAACCAGGAACTGCCCCTAAACCAGCTGCATCAACCAGCATCTCATCACCAGGAGTCATTGCTGCCGCCCCAGTCGCTGCCCCAGTCGTTGCTGCTGCTGCTCCAGTTGTTGCTGCTGCCCCAGCACCAGCATACTATGCTGCACCAGCCCCCATCCACGCTGCACCACTTGGTGCATACTACTCATCAGTTGTTAACCACGGATACCCTGCCCCAGCTTATGCCGCTAAAGTTGTTGCTGCTCCAGCTTATGCTGCACCAGCTCTCTGGTAATTCATTAATTAATTGTTTAACTAATTATGAATTGATGATGTTATAAAATACAAACTGCCAAATAATAATAATGTCAATTTTCAATGTAAATTGTCTTCCCTTTCATTTATTTTTATTTTCATTCAAATCCAAATCAATCCCTTTGTATAGACAGACATTTATATTACCATAAATCAAATAATCAGTTCAATTGCAAACAAAAACAATTTCAGTCTTTAATCGCGTTACATACAAACAAATATCACATTGTTTTAACTACAACTCGATCACAATCATAATCATAATCATAATAACATTAATCTAATAATCTCCTAATTTTCCCATTCTTCTCAACTCCTAATGGTTCCAAGTCAAGTTCATGTTTAATCTTATTCACATTAACCAGTCAATACATTTATTCAGAGTTAGGTGTGTAAACTATTCAATCAAATGCAATGAGACTAACGAATCATGATAACCAAATATCATTCAGTTGACCGGATTTTTTATTAACAATTTTTTTCATTTTCTTATCCATTTATTGTAACAAAATAAAGCCTCAGGGATTCACTCCTTAAATCGCTTTCACTTTTCTCAATCAATTTAACCAATCAACCTTTTAACTGTTTCGATCAACAATTTACCTCAACAATAATCTTATCCCGTTATCCTATCAACATTACTCTACAAGGTCTAAACCTTTCAATTCCAATTTGCGTTTGGATTATTTTCACCTTCAATTTCTCCTAATATTTTATCATGAAATTATACAAAAAGAAAACAAAATCTATTCAAACATTCATTATTATTAATCAAAACTCTAATTTTTGAACTTCAAGTTTGATTCACGTTTTTTTACCTTTACAAGACTTTCATCAAGATTAAAAGGCCACTTTTGTTTCAACAAATAAGTTAATTGTTTAGATAACTTTTTGAATACTATTTTGTTTGAAACCATTCATCAACATTTGCATCAATTTGCACTTGCGAATAGAAGGAAATGAATTGTCCTTCCTTCGAAGGAAACCAAAGTTAGATTGAATGATGGTGGGCAGTCAGGTTCTTAAGGACATGAGTAAATTGACCATTCGAGATGATCCATTGTACTCTATTATTAAACGAAACAAGGTAACTTCTCATTGTCCATCCATCCAACTTTTTGTGTGTTCAATCATTGAAATTATCCGTATGTTGTTCAGACTTGAATTGAAAAATAGTTTTATTTAAATGTAAAGAAGCTATTTTCAAATTCATCACAAAATTTTTCAAAATCTCATTCTAATCGGGTCTTATTCTAGGAAAGATGAACTTCTCATTGCAATAAAAAACTTCAATTCTACTGTTGATATTGAACTTTAGATATTAGATGAACTTTTCACTTTGCTAATCGACAGTTTAATGAAATGTCTTTTGAACTTTTAATCGTTAAAACTTTACAGATTTTCAATTTCAATTGAGAAACAAACATTTGAGTTTACAACCGAAACTCTCGTTGAAATAGACTCAAATTGAAAATGATTAAGAAAGTAAAATAAAATTCTTGACTTGAAATTCAGAAAACTTATTTTGAAATGAAACTCAATTTACTTTATGCAAGTTCAATGGCAATTAGAAAATGAAATCTCTTCGAGAAATTCGCAGTCGTTATTCAACAGATTGTATGGATTCCATTATCAATTATCTACCTCACGACTTAATGCCTTGATTTTTCCAGAATTCATTTGTTTATTAGTACTTTGTGTGATTAATTATTGTGTTTTATTTATAATATTATGCACCACGATATGGTTTTATCATATTATAAAAAAGATCGTTCAACACTGGCCAATATAATTTTCCGTCAAAGCTATTATACATTGCGGAAATGAGGAAGTTTTAAGTATTGAAAATAGCATCCATCACTGATTCACGAGTTTCGAAAACTCAGTTTATCGGCATTTTTTAAGTTACAAACTTAGTTGTGCAAAAGACATCTTAAATTTTGCAGAGAGATTTAGTAAGACATGTAAATTCACGCAATTACTAGATACTTGAATACTATTTATACAATAGATCCTTTGGTTGATCAACGAAAGTATTATTCCACTAATCAAGGCCATCTCTCGGTTTTGTTTAACTGTACTCAGTTGATTTTGAAATTCGCACAATTTTGAAAAGCCGAAATCGAGCGATCAACTATTGTATGAACGCGATTTCATCAAAAACTGGAGATCATCATAAATTGAGATAATTTTGAGATGTTATTTGCTCTTTTTGATTGAACTAGACTTTTGAAACTATGGCTTGATTCCATATTGAAGCTTGTTGGAATGAAGAAAAATCATCGCTAAAAATGGAGACAATAGACAAAACACGATAAAATCGCTCGTTATCCATAAAAATTTAACAATCCTCAACTTTGGTGCATCTTTTTTCATTAAAACGTTTGTTTCATTGTTTCAGTATTAAAGATGCATTAATACAAAAGTTAAGCCAAATGAATGTAAAGTCATAACTGCTAAAAAGGCAAAATTGATTTGAAAAAAGCAAGTAAAGTTAAGTAAAAATAGCTGAATAATTAATAAATTGATAAATATCTATCTAATTATTTAAAATTAATTACCTTAAGTATCTTGTGTTTCTTTACTAAAACTGTGACAGGAGTCCAATGTGTTCAAACGGATAGGTTATCTTCACACTTGAATATCTCATCAACTGATCAATTTAGTTTTTCTTGTCTCTCCTTCACGGCGACACTTCGATAATGTGACCTTGAGCATCAAATTTTCTGAAACATCATCAAGTATTAAAGCATATTTAGTCACACAAAACTCACCAAAAATGAATCCAAAAAATGTCAAAGTTTAGCAATAAAACTTTTATTATAAAAGTCTTCTAACGTTATTCGTTATAAGAAAAATATTGTCTCAAGAAAACTTTTTTTTGAGATTCAACGTTTAAATCGATTAAACCTAAATGGATGAAACTTCATCAAAACTCATGAATAAAGATATTCTAACATTCAACAAGAGCCAAGTGCAGAATAAGCGAACAATTCTTGACGTTCTAATCATGAATTCCTAAGAAAATCAAGTTTTCAGAAACATTTCAATCAACTTTTCCCTTCTATTTTCAAACAAGAGTTCAAACTTGAAACCTGCAACATTAATTGATAGCAATCACAAATCGTAATTTCATCATTCTTTTGATCTTCAATGATTAAATCAAAATAAACATAATTAAAGCGCTAATTGAACGCTCATCATTAACCATGAAAAGCGCAAAAATGTTTTCGATTGAAATGGCTGATTGTATCAACTGTAAGCATGAACTGATAAATTGTGTTAAGTTTATTTCATCAACAATCAAACAATTTCCTTCCTTGTCCTTTAATCGTCTCGCCAACGTAATTGTAATCACAATTTACATAATAGTGTTGATTGGACAAAAAAGGATTCAAAGTGTTACCATTAATAAGAATCAGATGAAAATGGATTGACCATGAAATAGTTTTAATTTTTTAAATTTTCCTTCTTTTCGATTATAATAATGATTAATACTTTTGGTTAATTTGTTTGATTGATTGATAGTGTGTGAACTTTTATAATTAAAAGTAGGTTCAATTTGATTATCAAAACGTTTCTCTCATTTTTGATCAACTTATTTTGCTCAACTTACCTTGATCAGGCAATGGGTTTGGTTGACAATCATTCATTTACAGGTGAATTTCATTTTTTCATCTTTTCTCTTAAACTAATTTTCTGTAAACATTTTGTCTTGTTTCAATTACAATTTGAGACTTAAATTACTGAGAATCAGTTATACTTCCTGATTGTTGCATTTCAGTTATTAAAGGTTATCAATTGCTTTCATATATTATTTACAATCCAATTGTAATTGAAACTCTTGAATGAAACATTCAAATGAACATTCAAATGATAGTCTCTCAGATGTGTGATCATTGACTATTGACAGATTTTTGGGTTATTTTTTGATTCCTTTGCTTGTTACATTTTCTCATCTTACAATTAAACTTATCAATCAATATTAACCTGAATATTGCCTATTATTTACCTCAGATATCACCTTGACATTTGATGAATCTTTTGATTGCCAGTTGAAAATTTCACTTTCAATCAATAATCAGGTTTTATCTTTTTCTTTCCCCATGATATTATCGGTATAAAAATGAATATTTCATTTGAAATTGTCAAATGTTGATTAAAAGGAAAAAAAAGATTGAATGTTGAATGAAAGTGAAATGTAGATTGAAATTTACTGATTTAATGTCCATCTTGGTGTCTGTGATCATTGAAAATTAATAGCAATTGTTGTTGATTGCTTAGCATCATCATCAGATAAATCAAGTTTCATGTTAAACAAGTTGTTAAGGCAATTAATGAAGGTTAAAGTGTACAACATATTATTAATTGATTTGACACTTGATACCAATGTAATTAGGTTATTTGTTACTTCCTTACGGCCTTTTGGACTTAACAGTTAACAATTTGATCCAACATTTGATTGGTACTTCACTTTAAATTATGGTTAACATGTATTTGGCCGTTGTAAGGTTAACCGATTGATGAAAAAGTAAAATGGAAACAGCTCAGGCTGAGTGATCATGATGATGAAGACTTGAGGATTGAAGATTGAAAGATTGAAGATGATGATAATATGTGATACTGGAGCTGTAACAATTAGTTGTCTGGAAGGACAACGCTTTAGGCTTTATAAGCATGTTACAGTTTGTTGTTAACGCTTTCGCCTTTTGTTTTTGCACATAACTCATTGAAAGGGTAAGTAAATGTTTGTCCAGTTGATAACCAATAATCAATAAATTACCTTAAATTTAATAAACCAACAAATTTTAAGGGTGAAAAGTAATTAACGTTAAAATTAAAGACACAAAAAATTAGTACACAATCGATCACACATTAAATCTCTCTCATTCTCCCCTTTATCTTATACTTGCAGGCATAAAACATATGATATATAAATTGATCTCAGATGGCGGTATTGATCACTTTAGTTTTACTCGGCCAAATTGTTTCTTGACTATCGTTTAATTAAATTAAATATTGTAAATCCATCAACAATGAAGGTAAGTGATTAAAGACTCTAACCAGCGGATTATTGTGTGTATCTTAATGTTGGTAAAAGTGAACTAACCAATGTATTATCCTATCCATTACAGGTTATACTCTTCGTCTTTGTCGCCACTCATTTGAGTCTAACCTCAGCTGGTCTTATCCCATCAGCTCCTGTAGCTCTTGCCAATACCGGTAATTCAGTGCAAAGTCAAACTCAGGATTCTCTTGGTAATTATGCTTTTGCCTACACTGAAAACCATGCCACCGGAGGAACCTCAAGGAAAGAGGCTGGAAATCCTTATGGACAGGTTGTTGGATCTTACTCTTTAGGTATTGTCGATGGACGCCAACGAATTGTTAACTATGTTGCCGATGCTTACGGTTTCAGAGCCCAAGTATTGACCAATGAACCAGGAACCGCTCCAACTGCCCAAGCTCAACCAGCCATCGCAGTCGCTCCACAACCAGCCATCGCACTTGCTCCACAGCCAACCTTTGTTGCTCATGGATATCCAGCTGTCCAACCAGTCGCCTACCCATCAGGTTACAGTGTTTCACCTTACCTTGGTTAATCAATTTACCAATTTGTTCCATTGTCCTAATACTCTGATTAGTTTAACTGTGATTGACTAACTGCCATTCAAGTGCCTGCCATACTCAACAATATCATTTCGCACCATCAACTTATGCTTCTGTGTTACACATTTATAAGTGTTTTAATCAACCCATTGTTTAGCTCAGCGAATCTGTGCAACAGATAATTTGTTGATTCCCGGTGATAAATTTCCTGTGAAATCACTACCTAATGTTCAGTAAATTTTGCACCTATTTTTCAATGTTATAAAGATCATCTTCATCAAAATGTGGAATAAATTAAGCCTTTTAATCAATATTTAGTTAACTCTTGGTTGATTAAATTTTGAAATGAAAAAATGTAAAAATAAATAAAACTCATGTTTCATTGTAAATCCAAATTGTTGTGCTTACAGTTTCTCATCATTTGTGTATTTCATGTTTCTATCATTAACACAAGTTGGATTTTTAATCAAATTTAGACCTTAAACTAAAAATTGAAAGAAAAATGATTTATTAATCATTTTACCATGAATTTTTCATTGTAATCATAGTTATAATCAGGAGATTTCATTTTGCTGTTGTTTAATTGAAGGTCAATTTAATATTACATAAATAATTTAACAATAGTTATCAACAGTCAATTGATCAAGTGGGAAGTAAATAGGAGTTTTCAAGATCAAACAAAAATCCATAATCAAAATGTATTTTAATAACAATACTGAATATTATTTAAGGACTAATCAGGATGCAATCAGTTTGTAGGTATTTGTTATTAAAGGTAAAGATGATTGTTGTTATTAATGATCATTATGATGATACAGTTAACTCAAGTATTGTTACATTTAGTAATAACTTAATCAATCACTAACAAGATTTGTTTAAATGTTACTTATTTCAATTTGATTGAAATCATTTTCAAGGATCTCAATGATAGATTGTTGTATTAATTTGCAATTTATTTCCTTCTCATCAACTGGAAAATACTGATTAATGTTAACAGTGATGAAATAACTTGTAACAATTAACACAACTATTAGTTAAGGTATGAACAGTTGTGAATCACTTTTTGATTAACGTTTACATCTTTTAGGTTAGATGTTTAATGCTAGATTATAATGTATTTGAGACGTTAATTGTGCGTCAGTTTGATTGAATGAGTTATAACTAAATGAATAAGTTTTGCTCATGTTTCGCGATAGTTTAACAAAAATGAAGGTGAACACAATTGTATGATCATTGAAATAGAGGTTGATTGGTTAAATTGATTGAGAAAAGTGAAAGCGATTTAAGGAGTGAATCCCTGAGGCTTTATTTTTGTTACAATAAATGGATAAGAAAATAAAAAAAATTGTTAATAAAAAATCCGGTCAACTGAATGATATTTGGTTATCATGATTCGTTAGTCTCATTGCATTTGATTGAATAGTTTACACACCTAACTCTGAATAAATGTATTGACTGGTTAATGTGAATAAGATTAAACATGAACTTGACTTGGAACCATTAGGAGTTGAGAAGAATGGGAAAATTAGGAGATTATTAGATTAATGTTATTATGATTATGATTGTGATTGGGATTTTGATCGAGTTGTAGTTAAAACAATAAGATATTTGTTTGTATGTAACGCGATTAAAGACTGAAATTGTTTTTGTTTGCAATTGAACTGATTATTTGATTTATGGTAATATAAATGTCTGTCTATACAAAGGGATTGATTTGGGTTTGAGTGAAAATAAAAATAAATGAAAGGGAAGACAATTTACATTGAAAATTGACATTATTATTATTTGGCAGTTTGTATTTTATAACATCATCAATTCATAATTAGTTAAACAATTAATTAATGAATTACCAGAGAGCTGGTGCAGCATAAGCTGGAGCAGCAACAACTTTAGCGGCATAAGCTGGGGCAGGGTATCCGTGGTTAACAACTGATGAGTAGTATGCACCAAGTGGTGCAGCGTGGATGGGGGCTGGTGCAGCATAGTATGCTGGTGCTGGGGCAGCAGCAACAACTGGAGCAGCAGCAGCAACGACTGGGGCAGCGACTGGGGCGGCAGCAATGACTCCTGGTGATGAGATGCTGGTTGATGCAGCTGGTTTAGGGGCAGTTCCTGGTTCGTTGGTGCTGATGGCAGCTCGGAAACCGAGAGCGTCAGCTACATAGTTAACAACTCGTTGTCTTCCGTCAACAACACCAAGTGAGTATGATCCAACAACTTGTCCAAGAGCATTTCCAGATTCACTTCGGGATGAACCTCCAGTTGCGTGGTTTTCATTGTATGCGAAAGCATAGTTTCCAAGACCATCTTGGCTTCGGGTTTGTGATGATGAACCAGTGCTGACGATGGCTGCTGGAGCGGCGATGATACCAGCTGAGGCGATTCCGCAGAGAGCGAGGAAGACAATGACCTAACATTAGATAATCATTGGAAAAGATAGAAATTAATAAATGAGTAAATGAATAAATCCACAGTTGATTGTTGTAATTGTAATGGTATGTCAACTTACCTTCATGATGAGAGTTGAGTTGGTTTTTTGTTGGTTTTTTAGATGTTGAATAATGTTTGAACTGATTGTGAATGATTTTGAGATAAAAATGAAATGAGCCTTTTATACCAAAAGTAAAAGTGAGATGAAAATGAAAGTGAGAATAGGAATTAATAAGAAAATATGAAGAAGAAGATGAAGATGATGATGATGATGAAAGTGAGAGTGAAAGAGAGTGAAAGAGAGTAAAGAGGAAGAGTAATGAAGAGAGAGAGCTTCTAACCCCACCCTTGATAAGACGGCGCCCTAATACATTCATGTTGTTTGCCACCCTTGATTAAAGGTATTTGTTGAAGGAAAGCAAGAAGCTGTTCTGGCCACAAGGTCAGTATATTGAACAGGATCACAACATCTTATTGGCATTTATTATATCAAAAAAATTACAAAAACTAATGTTCAATTGGTCCTCAATATATACTGACCTTAAATTGGATTAAATCAATGATAATCATGTAGGCGATAATCAAACTCACATGATTTGGTAAAAATTGATCAAAGCCAAGAAGCATCACTATTTAGATCACTTTTTTTGGGTTTCATCTTCCATTACCTTTATTGTCAAATTGACTTTCACTCGATACCTTGTATGCAATTGGTAAATTGATTTTCAAAATTTTCACAAATACTTTCATTAATCTGTACATTTTGGGTTCGCTTGAATCAACGAATCTGCATTTAACGTGTCAATTAAAAATTTGAAAAACCTTTCCGTCAAATCGTTTAAAATGATCATTCATTTCGTGCTCAATTTAATTCTGATAGACGGATTCAGGCTTATCCTGATTATTTTCCAAACATATTATCTAATTATGTTAAGAGTTGGAATGAAATTTTATCTGATGTGAACTAGTTTACTTTGAATCGGATCAAACAAAACATAGATTATCGTTAATGGTCAAAAGTAGATGTGAAACAAAAATGTGAATTGACCATTAATTTATTCATATGAGAAGCAAAATTGAAATAAAACAATCGATTCAACAGTAAATGAATTATTTCAACAAAAAACTCTATTAAGGTGACAATAGATCAATGTTTGATTTTGATTAACCCGATCGGTTAATAATAATCGTTGGATAAATCGTAAGAATGCAGTTTAATCTGTTGATGTTGGAAAAATTAAAGGTTAATCAAAGTGATGGCTATCACAAGGACACAGTAATTTAGCAAAAAGAAACAAAAGCATCATTATTAAGCCATTAATTTTAATATTTAAAATATGTTAAACATCAATTTGCAAACAATTAAAACCTTAGACAAGTAGTATTAGCGAGTAAATACAAGATGGCAGAGTAATCAGTTATGGTAAAATAAAGCTTAAACATGTGTAAAGAAAAAAAAGGTTGATAATTAATATCTAGAGTTAATATTCTTGCTAATATTATATTGTTTAACTTAAATTGTGCTCAAATTATTGTAACGTCCAGTGTTACCTTCAGTTAATTTAAAATATTAATTATAATAATGTTATCTCAGTGAATCTGGAATCAACTGACGGGCGATTCTCCCTCCTTTTCTTGTCTTCATCTTTCCTCCCCGCCTTATCCGTATTTACCCAGTTTCTATAATCATCTTGTTTCTTCAGTCGTTTTCTCGTTCAAATCATCTTGAGATGAAATGATGACCTTGATTTAAGGGCAGGGTAAATCTTATAATGGGTCTAGGTGAGTCTATTATCATTGTTAATTCTTGATTTGTGTGTGCGTATGTTGGTTAATAGTAATCATCACCAAAAGCAACAAGTATTAACGTCTAAGCACGAACAAAAATTACAGAAACCTTGAAATTATTTTTTCGAGAAGGATTTTTTACTTGATTAATAAAGATTCCTTTCTCTATTATTATTAACATTAGTATCATTAGATGGTTAGACAATTAAATATTCAATTGTAACATTTGTCTCTGTGTGTTGAATCGTTGTTAGCCGTTGGTGTTGTTGGTTTTTGATGATTATCATTGTCTGTCTCACGATTACTTAATCTAACTCATGTCTTGTTTTGTTTCTTTAATTTAGATGCAATTAAGTGATCCTTCGGAATATCTTGGACGGTAAACGGGCTTAACATTGGACTTGAATTGGTGCCTTAAACAATGGATGAAACTGGTTTCACCTAATTAATGGCATCTTCAACACATTTATCCAGAACGAGGTGAATGGAGGACCGAGTTAAATCAAAGAATTTGGATTGAAAAGCTAAAAGGAATCAATTAATTTCAATGTTAATCGAAGCAAATGTGGGTTGGTGTATTTATGTATGGAAAAGAGTGAAAAATAATTGTAATTTGGCAACAATTAAGAAGGTTTTACTTCTCAGTCTTCATTATCATCACCACCATTTCACCTAATCAATGTTTTCCATCATGGGTTAGGTTTCTTAATCAATATCAATTATCATCATCATCTATTATGAATTTTACGATAACAATCACGAATTGGACTGATTTTTTTTCCTGTTGAATTATTTTTATTTGATTTGGGCGATTCTATTACAATCCTATTAATGATATCAACAACACCAATAATAATGGTATTATTTCTTGTTCACCTTCAGATTGGTTTTTTTGTTAATTCACATTTCTATTACTTTGATTGGATTCTGTTGATGAACGAAACAAAAATTTCAATAATATCGATGATTGCTGATCAAAATGCCTTTATAACAATTCAACTTAAAAACCCATCCTGCGATTATCAACAATTTAATCTGGCCAAATTGATTGTTGATGAAACAAGCCACCTTTCATTAAATTGCGTTTACCTCCTTTAAGACCATAATTTTGTGAAGATGAATAGAGTAACAATTAACACTTGAATACATTGAAAAGTATCATTTTAATTGAATGTAGTTAAGGCTGTTAAACGTATCCAATCCCAGAACAAAATGGTCAACATGTGTTGATTTCAATTGACCATTGATTGGGTTAAGTCAATGTTTACCAATAACCTCGACCCTTTAAGAGTTTACTCGATTTTGTGTGTAAAATTGTATTTGAAAGGTTTTCCTCCAAAAAAAGGTGAATTAAATTTAAGGGAAAAAAGATGGTTAACTATAATTTACCAAATCAATAGATTGATAAATGTTTGAATGGCTATTTATTTAGTTATTTTTTTAAAATTTATTTCCATTAAATTATCTAAACCATTAAAATATCAATTTCATCTGCAATTGAAACCATGAAAAAGTATGAACCTTTTTAAAGTCATTACAGTTTAAATTAAATGGATGGTGAAAAAACAGATTAACCTTGACATTTAATGACACTAGTTCAGTGGGTAATGATTGTTGATTAAATGACGATTTACAGCTGAAAGGTAGGTAAGGAAATTTCCTTACAGATTACTGTGATTGCTTGGAATGAAAAATGTCTACGAAATTTATCATTTTCATGTTTACAGATTCATATCAATAGTGAGCAAAATTATCAAAAAATCAACTTACTTTTCAGTTTAGACAAGTGATGAAAATGGTATTAACTCAGTTTGATTTATGGCAATTTAAGAAGTAAATTTACTTCATTTTCTTGATGTTTCTAAATTTATGTAAGATCTTGATTTATTGCTTCAATCGGACATTTGAAGTTAAGATTGGACAAGAGATACTTTTGATACTTTAAGGCTTTTTAAGCTGACCTTGGACCTTTATCAGGTTTTTTCAATTATTTGGTTGAATTTTTTCAACATTTTATGTTAAAATCAAGAGTTTAGTTTTTAGGTAGAAAATGTATCGATAGATGGCTCTTGTGTTATGTTTGCTGTTTAGTTTTTGTTTTGTATTTTCATTGCAATATCTACTGAAAGTGTCCAGTTTATTAATTGTGTCTTATTTGTTTTCCTATTGATTCTAGATATGAATGAACCAGTGTTCATCAGCCATTATGATAAGAAATTGATTGATATAAATGATTTACCTGTTGGAAATCCTGTTGTCGTTAATACTATTCAACTGCTTAATTTATCTTCCAAATTGGATCAAGCTTTCACCGGCTCAACTCGGTTTCTTCCCTCATCAGATGATCTACAATGTCTTCAGCTTAAACAAGTCTCATCAAATGACGATTATGATCATATTTCTCGCTTCCTCAGTCGAGAATCTGTTCAACAATTGTTAAAAAGAGCCATCCTTTTAATTACTACTCACTCAGGATATCACGAGACCAGTGAAAGCATCATTGAGATACTTACACAGATCGCTGGTGAATATTTGAAAAAGATTTCCTGTATTCTTCGAGCCTCTGTTGATTCTAAACATTTCAAAGGCGAAAATGATTTTATAGATTTAATAAATCGAGCTTTTGCTGAAATTGGTATGGATTTACCAAAAATTCAACATTATGAATCAACTCTCAGATCATATCGTAATAATGTACATAAAGAAGTAATGAAAAAGCTTAATATCGTTCACCAAAATAATGCAACAAAGTTTAATTAATATTTTGTATCAATAACTTTTTCATATAAAGTCGTTTACATAAATTTATTTCATTGTGTAAGAATTTCTTCGAATGTTTCTCCTTTCTCAATGTATCAAGTAATCATTAGATGGTTGATTTAAGGCAATTGGACTATGTCTGACATAGATCTGGCTTTGGTTTTAAAACATCAACTGATATTGCATTAGAATTCCTGGGTGGGATCGATAAATATTCCATAACTTTGAAATAATTGAGAATTAATATTTAAAATACATGTCTTTTAGATTCATTGTAGCCCAATTTATCGAGCAATGGCTGACATGTCTCTCTGATCATCGCTGGAGGACCACACATCATAATTAATGTATCATCTGCTGGTGGAAACAAATAATCTTTAATCATATTCTCGTCAACTCGACCAATACTAAACTTCCAACCCTCTTCCGGCTTACTCAATGTGTACCATACTTTAATCTGATCTGGATGGTTTGCAGCAATTTTATCCAGCTCATCACGTAATAAAATATCATCTGAGGTTTGATTTGCAAATAAGAAGGAAACTCGTGTCTTATCATCAGGGTTTGATGCGATTTCGCGTAAAACAGCTAACAATGGGGTCAGTCCTGTTCCTCCAGCAATCATTCCTAATTTTTTATAGTGATGTTTAACAGGGGGATCTGTTTTCTTCTTTTTGATAAGAAAATCACCATTGGAGGTGTAAATTAATCTGCCTTCTGGACCTCTAATATCAATTTTATCACCAATCTTCATGCTATCCAAATATTGGGTCATCTTTCCGCCATTTGGAAATTTTGGATTTTTGTTAGCAAAATATATCTTGAAAGAAATAGAAATCGTTAAAATTTAGTTGAAACAAAATTTTCTTGATAAAATTTGCGTGACAAATCGTCATTTTCATATTGATTTTCATTTTGGGTAACTCGTTTGGTAGGAAAATAATGCTTGTTTCACAAATGGAATCAGCTTTAGAACATCGATTTATTGAAACATTAGCTCAAGATAATGAATAAAATCTATTTAGTAAGACTATATTTTAGCTCAATGGTTTTGAAGATAGCATAAACAAATCTTAACATTCAAGTGTGCAACAGTAGAGCTAACTGATTTGATCTGTTGCCAGTCCTCAGTCTCTTTGAAGATACTGGCTGCCATAAAATTTATAAATGAAAATGTTTATCATTGCTAACCGGGTAATAATTGTAAATCACTTACTTTTATTACTAAATCAAAATAACCTTTAGTCTCATCATTCGTAACAGGTGAGTAAGGACGGATTATCAAGTCATCATTAATCTTGGCCGATAAATAAATGTGTTCACCAGGACCAACACCCAGAACAGTATCATCTGGTAAACCAAATCTGAAGCGACGCGTATTCCAACTAATATCCTTTAATTAATTAAATTGTAAATTTTCATTAGCTATTTGGTTAGATAAGATTGGCATATTTAACAGAGTATCCTCATTAAAAAAAGATTCTTACTTCTTTAGCTATCAATGGAACCTGGTATTTAACGTTGGGATCAAGCAATAGTTTCTTTTTGTTCTTGGATTTTTCCCTTTTTATCCATAGAAATATACATATGCCAACAATTAGAGTAGTAATTGAGCCAATCACTGCTGAATTAGCCTGTAATGTCACAATAAAAAAGTATAAGAAATTAAGACAAAAACAATAAAATAATGGATGAGTTAAGGTTAATAAACAGATGTAAACACAGATTTTTGTTGAATATGAAATTGACACGCACCACAATACTCATCTTGGCTCCTGGGTAACTTATTACGACTTGAACGAACTATGTAAATTGATTATATTCCAATCTGACTTGAGAAACAGCTAAGAACTTCGATCTGAATCTGGTGAAATTCAGATGACAAATAACTGAAGGTTAGCTAATCCCAAACAGACAAAAGGTATAGGCTTAAGTATCTCACAACCGAAAAGGAAACATGGATCAGTAATCATTACTGTTAATTGAATGTGTATCAACAATTGAAAAAATAATCCTTGACTCGAACAGGTAAATGTTAAACCTAAATGTATTTCATCATTTATTGATCATTACATTAACTGCACTCAAAACTTAAACTTGTATTATTTGTAATTACACTTGAGCGGATGACAAAAAATAATAACGCTTAACACATGTTATCGGTTCATTGCTTAATAAGTTATCAATAACAATAATTGATAAACTATCTAAATTACAGCAAGGCTTGATGGATTTGAATTGTGAATTAATCTAAAATGGATAAATTAACCAAATATTAATTCTTTCATTAGCAAGCTGATTTTAAATAGACATTGTTTACTTATTCTAAAGCTAAATGTATTTGGGAAGTCTTGCTAATCTAATCACTGTCCAAATATTACTAAGAGTTGATAAATCATGGAACCCATTTTAGTGTTACTTTCCCATCAACAATTGGTTAACAATTATTTTCCCAGGAACTTTTAGCCAGACTGAATAATTTTGCCTTAATATTTTCTTACTCGAATGATGATTAACGACCTCACAGTGCACTTGTATTCCCAGGAAATGGATTTTCTTATTAGCATCAATTCCAATTATCTATAACTTCCGATTAATTATATTACATGATTGTTCTTGAATGCCATTTGAATTTATACCTTTGATTTTAGAAACATTATCTGCATCTTAACATACCATTAATGAAATACTATTTACAGTCTATAATAAATTACGTCTAAATTGACTCAAATTTCAATGAAGTAGCAAGTCAACTCATAAATCACGAATCTCAAATTAAATTGTGTAGTATTGAGTAAAGACACAATGTGCAATTGTATTCTAACACAAGTTTCAGTTTGATTTTAATTCTCCTGGTTTCAGGATGCAACATGATTTATGCATTGGCAAATAAAAAATCACGATCGAAAATGGTAAATTGATAAGGTATAAATGCCACATGATTTTCAAAAAACTAGCTTTTTTGGTTTCTCCCATGGGAATTCATCTCGTCCAAAGTGACCAAAAACGGCGGTCTTTGAAAAAATTGGTTGTCGAAGACCCAATTCCCTAGAAAGTAAAATGAAAAAAACGGAAGATAAAGGTTAAAATAAAACTAGAAATAAAGTAAGAAAATGGTCATATACTTGATGATTATTCCTGGTCTAAGATCAAAGTTTTTCAAAACTATGTCGTGTAACTCCTTCGATGATTTTGTTGAAGTACCATAGGAAAAAATCGTGACTGACAATGGTTCAGAAATTCCAATGGCATATGAGATCTGAAAGATTAAAAGAACGAAGACCAAAATAAATCAGTTCGATATTGAATGACATAAAATAAAATTTCGAAAGCATTACCTGAACACTAACTCTTCGACAAAGCCCACTCTTAACTAATGATTTAGCGACCCATCGAGCAGCATAGGCACCTGATCTGTCAACTTTTGTGGCGTCTTTGCCGGAAAAGGCTCCGCCACCATGAGCACCCCATCCTCCATAAGTATCAACAATGATTTTACGTCCAGTAAGACCAGCATCAGCCTGTGAAAATATAAAAATATGAATAAGTGAATGAGAAATAAGGTTCACAAAATAAAAGACGAATTTTAAACTCACAAGAGGACCACCAGTAATGAATTTCCCACACGGGTTAATATGGTAAATTGTTTGATCGTCCAAATATTTTGCAGGAATAACTACTTTAATAACTTTTTCCATAACTTGTTCTTTAAGCTGAGGTATAGTTATTTCAGGAGAATGTTGTACAGAGATTACAACAGTGTGCACTCTGGAAGGAATAGCAGCTCCTTTATCAAATCGATATTCACAGGTGACTTGGGTTTTGGAATCAGGTCGAGCCCATGGAAAGGTTCCATCACGTCGTAATTGAGACAATTTTTCATTCAATTTATGTGAAAGAACGACAGTCAAAGGCATACACTCTTCAGTTTCGTCGGTAGCATAACCAAACATTAACCCTTGATCTCCAGCTCCCAAGTGTTCATCGTCTTTATCAGTCCAAACTCCTTGAGAAATTTCCTGAGCTTGGTGTTCAATGGCTACTAAAACATTACAAGTTTTATAATCAAAACCTTTGTCACTGTGATCAAATCCAATGTGTTTAACTGTTTGGCGGACAACTTCTTGATAGTCAACATGGGCAGAGGATGTGATTTCTCCAAAGACCATAACCAAGCCGGTTTTACTTATAGCTTCACAGGCAACCTTAGCATAAGGATCAAGTGCAAGGTGGGCATCCAGAACAGCATCACTGACCTGATCACAAAGCTTATCTGAAAAATAGAAAGTTAAATTTTGATTTAAAATAAACACTCACTAAATTTAAAAACATGATAGAAAAACAAAACAGTCGAAATTTTGAACAAAATAAAATTAAGAAAAGAGGTGAATAACATGGAAAATAAGCTGAATACCTGGATGTCCTTCTCCGACAGATTCAGAGGTGAACAGGAATGTACCATCGTCGTCAATTGAATTCATTTTGAGAGTCACGAAAGTCAAGTGTAAAAGAAAAAAAAGAACAACAATTAACAAATTTAATAAATGAGAGTTGAAAGATTGAAAGAATGATAATCACGAGGCGAAAGTTGGATGTAAAAAACCAAACACATATTGAGTTCTAATCAACGCCATCTACCGTATTGCAACTACATATATACTCTTTTACTAATTAATTTTATTCATTTACCAATTGATTAATTGACTGAAAATTCATTTTTAATGATTATTTAAATAGCAATTTTCAAAAATAACATCCATAAGGTACTACGATACAACCAATCAGTCTTGATGAATAATCTAAGATGAAATGAGTTGTTGACACTTGAAATAGATTGATTGATAAATAATGAACAATTAGTAAATGTACAGCGGTATTACCTTGAACAATCTGCCAATGAACAAATTGAAACCATCATCATAATTTACGATTTTAAATTAACATATCATAACCACATTTTAAACAATAAGACAACATGTCTGTGAACTCATTTCAATCAATTTTCAGGAAATTGGAGATTCAATTGGCAATTTTTGAAAGAAAAAGCTCTTGCTATAGACATTTGATTCCCAAGAGAAGCAAAGAAAGAAAAAAAACGGTTTCTTCTCTCAACAAAAATCGGATTACTTTTGAATTTAAAAATTTAACCAATTTTTAGTTAATTTTTGTGTTTTAATTTTCTCTAAAATGGGAAGAGTATGTTCATCTTAAGACTTAACCATTAAATGAAAATGTTTTTTTCCCTCGAGACTGTTTACATTTTTCTCTGTGGTTGGTCTGATTGTTTGAAAATTATTAAACTCAAAAAAATGAAATAAAGTTGCTCTATGACGAGATCCTAGGGAAAACAATGTAAAAGCTTAGTCAAAATGACCTTTATGATGAAGAAGATGATTCAATTTGCTCCCACCTTTTTGCCTTTCTCCATTTTTTTGCTTTCTTTGTTGGTGACAACCCTTTTAAAAGCCAATTAGCTGACGAAATCATTTAGTTATATTTAACCATTCCATCAAAAATCATCAATCAATTCACTTCAATTTATAATAATCATGGATAGTTTTTCAAAACGACGTCCACCAAAATTCACTGAGCCTGTTGATTTCAATAAAATCAACAATCTTTTTGAACCCGGTAAGTTTTTGTTAATTTTTTTCTCCATTATCTTTTGATTTCTATTATCCATTATCTTGGATCCATCTTTAATTTCCACATTTGCTTTTTCTTGCTCTTTTTCCTATTTTAACCCATTACTTTTGTTAATCTTGCTTTCTTTTTTTTCATGTTTTTTCTTCTCTAATCTTATCATTTGTTATCCAAGGAAATGATTATTCTTACTCTAATCAACTTCTGGATCGTTTCACTGGACTTTTTTCGAGTGATTGGAATTCATCGATTGACCACGGACCATTTAACTTTAGTGCGGATTCACCTATGAATATTACTCCTAAAAATAATCTCAACAATAGTACCAATCATACTATTGGTACCAATAATAATGGTAGTCTTTATTCAAGTAATCTCGCTCATACTATCAGTGGTATTGGTAGTAATCCATTTAATACCAAGGGATTGAACAGTTTTGATTATACCAATCAATGGATTGCCCCTCGAAGTTGCCCACCGATTGGATCCAGGAATTCATTAGCATTTAATTCTTTCTCAGTTAACCCCGCCAATCAACCTAACAATAATAACAGTAACATCAACCATAATGCCAACCATAATGCCAACCATAATGCCAATAACTTAAACAACAACCTAAACAACATCAACACTTCAACTGTGAACAACAACGCTAACCCTGCCAACAATTTCAACAACTCTACGAATAATGGCCAGGTTTTGGTGAACTTAAATGAAACCCGTAGTCCAATGGTTATTGGTTCTAACCAACAAGCTCACCTCCATAATAATAATTCTGCTTTTGCTGGGGCCAACAATTTGAATCCTCTCTCAGCTTCTTATGTACCACCACGAGTTCGCCGACGCAACCCTACCTGCACTGAATGTGTTTTTTGTAAAAATAATGGCCATCCCCCATCTTTTTATAAAGGACATATTCTCAAGGATCCTTTAGGTAGAATCGTTTGTCCAATGCTCCGGAGTTACATATGTCCAATATGCCGCAACAAAAATGCAGATATGGCTCACACAGTCAGATACTGTCCCTGGAATAAGCCTTCCTTCTGGAATAATTCAGGAGTAAGACCTAGCATGCCCAAGAACCTTTCCAGATTCACTTCGTGATGAACCTCCAGTTGCATGGTTTTCATTGTATGCAAAAGCATGATTTCCCAGAGCATCTTGACTTCAGGTTTGTGATGATTAACCAGTGCTGACAATGGCTGCTGGAGCAGCAATGATACCAGCTGAGGCGATTCCGCAGAGAGCGAGAAAGATAAATGACCTAACATTATATAATTATAAGGAATTAACAATAGATTATAAAACGAATAAATCCACAATTTAAAGTTTATTAAATTTGATTGCCAGAAATAATCAATGAAAGTTTTAGAGACTTACCTTCATGATGAGATTTGAGTTATTGATAAATTATATTTTGACTGATTGTTATTGAGATAAAATTGAAATGAAACTTATACCAAATGTAAAAGTGAAAATAAAATTAAAGGAAAAATGAGAATGGAAATTTCATTAATACATCATTTTTTAGCTGAAAATTTTAAATTCAACGCTACCCGATTATCAACAGTTTCATACTGAATTGTTGGTTCTTTTGTTTATTAAAATTCAATTTTTGGTTAAAAATCTTGACTTTCTTTTTTACAAAATTTAACAAAATCCATCGAATGCTATCGCAAAGCTGAACGGTAAATGCTAAATAATAACAAAAATTAGATTAAAATGTTAATTTTGACTCAACTTGTTATCAAAATTCATCTTGAATATATTTCAAATACAGCGCTCTGTCTTTCCGGCATCTATTAGTGGTGGAGTCAAAGAGCCTCTCCTCTTCACTCCTCTTTTGGTGAAATTGACTAAAAGCGTGATCCAGAAAGAGTCAGAATTTCGCTTTATTTCCCTCTGATTATTTAGTTTGTTTAATTTTCTATTATCTGTCCAATCTTTTTATTTAATTTTCCCTCTAGTTTATGTTGTAAGTTCATTTAAAGGCTTCATCAACTTGAATTTAAAAAATGGAGTTGAATTACCCGCGAACCAGTAGCGCCACCTCACCCAAATTTATGCTACATCATTTTCGGTCAAAGGCAATTCATTGACAAGCAAAGAGGAGCAAAGAGACAGCACGAGAAGTATGGGGTTACAAAGAGAGGAAGACTTAGTTTCTAAATCGACTGATAGATAGCAGTGATGTTAAGGGCAAAAGAACGAGAAAAGAAAGGGAAATGAACATTGAATGAACAGTTATGAATCTTACTATGTGTTACTATTACTAATACCTTTACTATATTGGTTTTACTATAATGTTAATTTTGCCTTTCTTTTCTTTCTTTTTTCATTAAAATCACTGCCATCTATCACTCAGTTTGCAAGTTGTCTCTTATCTCTTTTTTGAACTGAACCCCTTGGTTTGTCGTGGAGTCTCTTTTTACTCTTTGTTTGCAACGCTTTTTTTCACAAAATGTCTACCTACAATGTATCTGATTTTTCTCAGGAAATGATAGGTTATGGTGCTGGTGGTGCTCATGGTGGTGGAGGTTATGGAGCTGGTCCTCCACCAGCACCCGGTTATGGCGCCGGTCCTGGTCCTGGTCCTGCACCAGCACCGGGTTATGGCGCTGGTCCTGGTCCTGGTCCTGCACCAGCACCCGGTTATGGTGCTGGTGCTGGTTCTGGTGGTTATGGATCTAGCTATCCAAGTGGAGGTTCTGGATCTAACTATCCAAGTGGAGGTTCTGGATCTAACTATCCAAGTGGCGGTTCTGGATCTAGCTATCCAAGTGGCGGTTCTGGATCTAGCTATCAAAGTGCAGGTTATGGATCTAGCTATTCAAGTGGTGGCTATGGATCTAGCTACC